TTCTGTTCATATTTGATATCTACTACATATATCAAAACGAATATTACCCAATTGCCCATTAAGAATATGTAAGGGTTATGTACTGGGAGGTTTTGGATATAGGGTATCCATCGGGATATATTTATATCTCTCCGAGTGACCGAAGGGACCAAGGGAAAATATAAATATTTCCCGAGGGATATACCCTATATCCAAAACCGACCGTACATAATAACTGGTGTATCTCATACTTGAGTGGGTTTGGGGTTACAACTTTTTCAAATGACAAGATTGGCCTATACTGTAAAAGCACAATTTATATTTAACATTTTCGTAATACACTGTACCTTTAGTTCAATACAATGAAATTGTAACATTTAAACTTTTTAAAAAATTTTAAAGTTAAAACTTTCAAATTTTTTGAAAATTCCCGGGAGCAGGATGGATATATTTATATCTGCCCACATTTGGCCTGGAGCGGGACATATACTATATATCCTGCCCGCTCCTCAGATATGATTTATATTTCCGGGTGATATCTACTCCAAACCAACTAAAGTATGAGATACATAATATAGAAATATATATTGAATATGTACGTTATATCCACCAAAATGAAATCATACCAACACCCAACACAGGTTGATTGGGCATAGGCATACAGTATTTGTTTCCTGAATGAACACAAGTACACTTTGGAAATGTTTCCATGGTGTACTCTCTCGGATTACCTTCGAATCTGAGACTGCTGCAATCCTATTATTTTGTCATAGATTAAGGGTTCTGATGAATGAGATATCACCTTATTCAGCTGACATTTTGTATGTATTAGGTAAATAGAGGCTAAGCTTAAATGAGTTGCCCATAAAATAGCAAGTAAATCCGGTAGCCAAATGAAAATCAAACTGGTAAGCGAATATGATTGTGTACCCTTTTATCTTTTATTTCAGACCCACTTTAGTTTTCAAATAAAGTGTATTAACATTGAAGTTCTGACACAATCGCTCCATAAGAGTTGAAATATTTAATAAAAATGTCACCAAATACAACAATTTATATAACAAATATCTCTTAATGAGACAAATAGTGACTATTTGACTAATTCATTTTAATATTTATTTCTTTCATAATGAAATTGTCTTTTAATAAGCAAGCTTACATAACTACAGATCCGCATCTATAACTCATATTAAAGGTTAAGGTGACATGCAAAATCAATGAGATGTAATATTATGTTCATGAATCAAATATGAACAGCACCTATTACAGCTTCTTTGATCATAGTGAATTTCTCGATCATATTTCATCATCAATTTATCAAGCCGGGTCATTGCTCCCAATGGAATTAGGCTTTTCGGTTTGTTGCAACCTCACCCTGGACGAAGTGATAAGGTCAAAACAAGTGGCTCTGATTTAGGAAAAAACGATCTTCCTAAAAATAAACATGGCATAGCAGGGGTGAGTTTATTTCTTTAAATTATACCCTTTCTTGGCCACCTGACATGTTCAAACTCGGTACATTGATCCAAGACATATCCACCTCTCTCTATATAATATTGTAACGATTAATACTAAGAAACGAAATGAATACGAATTGAAATAATATATTTTTGTAAATAACCGCAATATTTTTTTTTGATTATTTTCGAAAAAATGGTAGATACTCTGTTTCAAATGCATTGATATTTGGCGATATGATAGTTTATGAACCAGGGAATGTCATATCACCATTATTTTTCTAATACAAGAAGTAATTTACGTCCCTGAGACGAGATTAGATTTATTTTCTGGAAAAAACGCGGATCTGATTCCCACAGAATATATGGAAAATACGTGGAATGGATGTCTAATTAATAGGCTACATGTTAAAATGATTTTAAAGATGAGTTTTAAAATGTGAAATACTTATATTATGTTTGTTTGGGGCACTGTATATGAAATATATACTAGATAGCTCTACATGTTTGACATGTCATAGATAGCAAATTATTTTGTTACCTCTGTTTTTAATAATTTATACTAGGATGAAGAAAATCTAGATTTTTACAAGTGATGATTGATGAAGTGAAATATATTTTTGATAATTCATCATAAATTGCAATTTAAGAAAAGGGTATTCTTATATATATACTTTGTCATGATTCTGCATGTCATACAATTTTGTAATGCATACCTAATGCATACCTGACCTTATTTTTATAATAACTGTTGGTCATTACTATTTGAGTAACAATTTTAATCATATTTTGGAATAATTATTATAGGTAATTATATGATTATTAAAGGTAATTACATTAATATTATAGGTAATTATCAACACAAAAGTGCAAATATCAACACTGTACTGTAGTTATTTGTTTTCTTAATTGTATAGTTCTTTACACAGATATAGATGATAGAATAAAGTTTATTTTTGAAAACTTTATTAATACTATTGTTATTTTTTAAAAAAGTGGAACTTTAACAAATACATTATATTATTCCTTTGCATTCATTCGACTAAACTGCTTAAAAGAGGGCTTCATCAAAATTAATGAGATTGAATCAAAAATCTAAACAATCACTGTGACTGCTTCTCAGGCTAAACAAAAGATACAGTAAGGCAAATGATTTGTTCTATAGTAAATGTCCAAGACGATTTACTAAAATAGTGGACATAAACATAATTCCCATTTATGTACAATGGCAGTGTAAATAAAGGGGTTGTTTTGACAACGGGCATCGTACATCTAACAAGCTGCATGTATCTTAGACTCTTATTTCATCCAAAGGCCACTTCCACATGACTTGATGTAATATAAAGAGATTTTCATAACGGCGATTGTCATAGGACATGACTGGAAAACGTTAAATTAATGAAACTAAATCAGGTATAGAAAGCCGCGTTTTATCACAAATCACAATCGCAAATCAATAACCGCTTATTTTCCTCAAATGTTCGTCGTCGGGAGTAAAACAATAGGCATCACATCAAATTAAAATAACTGTCGATGCTGTAAATGCACATATGAAAAGAAACATACAATCTCGGTGTGCATGAACGTTTATATGCATCATTGATCATCAATGAAAGATATTTTGACAATATAAAACCGTAATTTTTAGCGGGAGATATAATTCTCAACTTTAATTTACACTCTAGCCACTAATGCGCGTTCCATTCAATTTAAAACACACGAACTGAGTAGTTTAAGATGTACCACTTGAACATAATACAAAATTGTATATGATTCTCCTCTTTGTCCACAAGAATTTAACCTTACAAAAATTGGGGTACAAAAATTATTAATTTTTAGGAAGATCGTTTTTTCCTAAATCAGAGCCACTTGTTTTGACCTTATCACTTCGTCCAGGGTGAACCTACGGCTGTCAAGTATTTCACCGTTTATAGCTGTAATCTGAACAGTCATGTGCGTAACCAGGGGGGAGGTGTGATCGCATTCCGCCCACAACATTACAAAAATTATAGTTTGAAGTGCTGAGAATGCACCATATACAAAGTAAATTTTTTAAAGTTGAAACCCCGTTCTCCCCTTTTTGCGGCTCACTTTGCGCCCTTGAGAGTGATCAATCTTCAGTTTTAGTAACCCTCAAATATATTTGATTCATACGGATATGTTATTTTGTATCAATCAAACCACTTCATAAATCTTCTTTCCTGACAATATCAAAGCTTGAAAAGAATCCCTGTCCAAGCGAGCAGTACAACAATTTCCGAATGGTTGCACCTTTTTTAATTTAAAGGAAATTTATTCCACTTCTACATTCATGTGCATGAATTCTTTTTGATTCAAATTAGTTACAGAAAAGAAGGTTTATGTCCAAGACTGTTGATTGTTTAAATTACACATATAATTATGATTCAAAAATATTTTAAAGTTATTTCAGGAGAAAAGTACATGTATCGGCCAATTTAATCAATATCTTTATTTCTCATTACCATATGTAATATTTGCACTTTAAACAGCCTTACACCAAGCTTGCTCAACAACTACATGTACATACAAAGTAGAAGTACCCATTAATCCCTAAAATGTTTCCCAGACTCATGGTCAAATCTATAATTTCAAGATAACTACATGTACCCAAAGGCTGGTCTGCTAGAGTTCAATGCTATCTCAAATTTGAACTGAATCCAACTAGCAGTCTATCTGGAATTGCAATGACAAGAAATATTGAAAAAATTCAAAATGGCCACCCAATTCAAAGTGGAGTTAATCAGATCTTGGTGCTAGTTTGCTCTTGTATCTGTAAAAATTTCAAGCTAAGCTCAACTTCGTTTGCCAATGCTAATAATGACACTCCTGTCACGTCTCTTGTAATTTATCTCTTCTAACTAATAGTCGAGACACGAGAGACAATGACAGACTCGACTTCCTGATCGTCTGCCTGTGTGTTATATGCCAATAGCTGGATAAATACTATACATGTCTGTTAATGATATTCCTCAGTTTATTGCTCTCTATTCCCCTCTAAAATTAACTTGATAAAGACCTAGTTAAAGGTTAAGATAACCTAGCCAAGGATTAAAATAAATAAGTCCAAAGTTAAGATCAGCAAGTTCAAGGATAAAATGCCCTTACCATAAGATACACTACTCAGAGGTTAAACCTATTGTTTAGATTGCCTAGATGACCTAAACAAACTCTAAATATAACATTTGTAGCCCTGGATTTTATTAGCTCCTCCCTTGGTTAAACCGACTTTATATCCCTGGATTGGGAAATGAGTCAAACATCATACAACGTACCTTGTCCAAATCTTATATCAAATTCAGTGCTTGATTATTTTTAGACATTTTAGGCCAAGGTTAATGAATTTAATGTTTACAATTCTCAACTGCATTATATTTTATATTTAAGGAAAATACCACTTTATACGTAGCAGATTATGACAGAAAATGTGTCTAACTACCAAATTAACAAAGGATTAACTAAAGGTAAAAGCATCATTCCCCATGGACTACTAACTCTGCTACAAAATCAAACAAACACAATGCTCGATAATGGAATTAAATTTTTCTCGCCTTTATTCTCAATACTGTTTCTTGATGTCTCTGACTGAGATTCTTTCAAAAACATTTCTTTTTATTTTAAACCAGGCCATATAATATTGCACGTAATGATATTCCATGGAGTCTACCTTGATGTCAAGATTCATTATGACAGGATTTCTGGCATTTATTTCCAGTCCATTTTAGATGTGCCTAAATGGTCTTTCAATAGTAACTTTACCCTATATCAGATACGGGTATCATCCTTTGTTGACATATACTTGTGTTATATGCCAAGGGCCAATCCAAGCATTCCGTGATAAGTCAATGGCCACTGTGGTAGGCCAGGAGCTGCTCCTCTATAGGTCGAGGGCCATTTCACACAGGCTGTTCCGTAGTTATAAGCGGTTAAGGCCACTTCATCCTAAGCCAATGGCCACTCTATACATGTATAAAATAGCCAGGGACCATTCTGTGCTAAGTCAAACACTGTTTAAGAGCCACAACAATGTTCCATGAGTAGCTTTACAAGGCCTCCTAGAACCTCTCCTATCATTTAAGGTGGCCTGTGAGATCCTTTGGCTGCTTAATTGCTTAATTGTGTCTAAGCTCTAACTGAAAAATGTGAAAACAATATTTATGTATACTTTATGTATAAGTTAAAATAAATTATTCTTTGTGCATGTACATCTACACATTCAGACAACTCTTCAAAATAAAAATTAAAAAAATATATAATAAAAAATATACTAGCATACACTTACGAAATACACAGCATACGAAAAAATATACTGTAAATTTTGCAGAATATTGTTCAATCAGAATGTACTGCATGTACTAGTGTCATGTAAGAATCATGTAAGCAGATAAAAACAAGGCATTAACATGCAAAATGTCACCAGCTGCCATTTGCTTAACACCAACCACCATCCATTTGTTACAGACGCCAGACACAAATCAACATCCACAAAAAAGTGTAAAACCACAAAACCTGATAAGCACGCGGTACTAACTTCGACCGTTAATTTGAATTTTTGACCTACCGGATGTTTGAAAATCAATGATTACGAGTCTCATACTGCATCGTTTTTCTTCAAACTTGTGTCATTCAAAGCATAACAAAAATCCCTTTCTGTTGATACATTATTCTCTTAAACAGAGTCCCTACTTCCAGCGGCATTTTGGTCCCCAGCTGTAAGAAGGCCTTCTAACAGCAGGGGACCAAAACGCAGCTAGAACGATGAATATGAGGAGTCTAACCTGTGTCTTTTGTCAGCCATTCAAACAACACAATACTTGTACATAATACTCCTTGCATAATCCTTGGATCCACTGTTCTGTAGTATTACACACATGTTGTATGCAATAGTAGGCCTTAAGTCAAATATCTACAACATTAGACACAATCAGTTTAAAACGTGTAAAATTGTATAAGCCTGTTTTCAAGTGTATATATTTTCCATATCATTATTTTTTCTAAAATGGATTTTAAGGTTTTTGCAGTCTTATTATGGGTGATCTAGAGATCTATAAGCTGATTATACTCGGTCCAGGTGTCATTTGATTAATAATTATATTGTACAACGTCTACATATACATATAGATTTACCTCATTGTTATCTGAAATAACAGGCTCGAATGTCAAGGCTTTTTCATAGTAGTGGACAGCAGCATACAGGATACCTGCAAGTTGATACATAGAATATTAACATAATACATTTTGTGCAATTATCACATTATGATGTAAACATAATCTTTGCTCAAAAATGGGCAGCTTGGGTGGGCCCAAGGATTTTTATTCTGCGCTGTATCAAATTCTTTCAACACTTGGCCTTGTACAATAATACAATAATACCTACAAGAAAATGTGAAGAATATAAGTGCATTATAAATGATTATAAACTCTGTAGAATTATCATAACGATTTTAAAATATCAGAATCATATGTTTGTTAAGGGCTCACAAATTGGCAGCTGCATTGGCTCAAGAGTTCATTGCATTGACAATGTGTTTACCTGATCCACAGCACAATGTAATTGGCAAACTAACTTGATAAGTCACAATTTGCTTGTTAGATTCATATTGTGCTCATGGCAAGCTGACAGTCTGCTAAATACTGTATATCTAATACCTTTTAATTAAAAGCTGAGGTCAATAATTGTCTATGTATCCGTGGAGTCAGCATATCTCTATTGACATTTAATCCAAAGTGAATTAGGTTTGATATACAACTATGTACTCACCTAATTGGTGCAAGGCTCTTCCCATGTTATAGTAGGCCTCTTGACATTCACCCCTCAACTCTAAGTAGCGATTCAGAAATGTGCAGCCCTGTGTGTACAAAGGATAAATCAATGGTACAGCTCTTATGTGAAATAACAAGTGACAATGGGTAAATAGTACTGTAATAAGGGCTGTACAAGGATATAAATGGAATGACCACTCAAAATTGACATTAGTATTCATTATCGACCATATAAGGGAATTATATAACATTGTTTTGTGAATAATTCCCAAATGAAACTGCTATATAATAATGTTTTCAGTCAATTAAATGCCATAATATTAAAGAGAGAATCAGATATAGCGAGCAGGCTAAACAAAAAACTGTTTCAGTTTTAGAATATTTTTGGCTCATGTCATTCCTTGTCATGTCTATTTTCTAAAAATCACAAAAGTGCATACTTTATTCCAGGAAAATTTAAGATTTTTACAGTAATGTACTATTTTTCTATAAGAATGGTTACCATTCTTATTATTTGGGAGAATTTAAACGTTTTTGACCCATTTTTGCACTTTGAATCATTAATAACTTCACCAATTTATAACATATTGTGAATCTTTTCGGAGATATTGTATTTGATAGTGTAAGGAATAGATTGGTAGGTCAGTTATACATGTTGCTTGTAATTTTGTCACCCCCTATAGATCAGATTCTGCCTTTAAGTTTGCAATTTAATTTTACATTATACTTCTAGAATATATTATTGTGCGTCTGTGTACAATAGTATAGTTTCCATATAGCTTTTGAAATCTCACTAAATCTCGTTTTTCGTGAGATTTTAAGAGAATTGCATATTAGACCTCTAATGACTTACATTACCTTCTTTTAAATGGTATATTAGAATTCAGTGAAATGTTTTCTCCTAAAATAGCTTTGATTTACACAGTTATGTAATTTGAATAATTTTCTATGACAATTTAAAAAAAACTTGGGCCAAATGTCCATAGATGCAATGCTAAAATTCATTAAAACCGTGGATTATTTGTATGTCAATCAACATTTGCATGTTTAATCACAACATGCACATAAACAGGGTCATCATGTGGTATATCATTCAAGTTTTATACAGATTCAACAAACACACTTTGATAAATCATGAAATTAAGCCACTTTTCAAAGATTTTAGCATGTAAGTGAATGGAGCTCTAGCCCAAGTTAAAAGCTGAATAAAAGATGGCAGCACGAGATTTCATTGATTTTTCTGCTATTTAGAAACTATCCTATCATGATTGAAAGCTGGCAACAACAACAACTGTCTATCCAAGTCAAAAGTTAGTCATGATAATACAATGTCATAAGACTCTTCCTATAAAACCAAACTGACTACTGTATGGTGTTTAATTGTTAAGTGACACCTATCATAAGACCGTCTCCCTTTAAAATCCTACCTGTATGACTATTGTATGACTTTTGGTCTGGAACATCTGGCAAAAGAGGTGGAAATAAGTGACACCTTTCAAAAGACCCCTCCTCTATAGAATCCTACCTGTGTGACTATTGTATGGTGTTTGGTCTGCAATTTCTTGCAGGCAAAGTAGAAATGAGTGACACCTATCATAAGACCCTCTCGCCATAAAATCCTACCTGTATGACTATTGTATGGCGTTTGGTCTGGAACTTCTGGCAGGCAAGGTGAAAATAAGTGACACCTATCATAAGACTGATCAGGGGATTACTGCTGTCCTTCCTAAATGCCATCACATACTCTCCTGTAAATTAAACAAGTAAAATTGAATTGGACAATTACAGTATATTTCAGTATTACATACCCAGCGAAGCATTTGTATGGAAGTCAATGGAGCTGAAGGTCGGCTATATATTCCTTTTGACATGATTTCTTCTAAATTTCACTTGCACACTTGGTCATCGTAATATTGATGACAGACCTCAGGCATATATTCAATGATAGGGACATAATGGCTAAATATTTTAAATTTATTGCAATTATAGAACCATTCATTCATTCTTACTTATATTTTTCATGTCATACACAAACAGTTTATATCCTCAAATATTAAAACATTCCTGTAAAATACAATCATTTTTCTGCCTTTTCTAGTGGCAGTACTACCGATCGGTGCATTGATCGTATTTGCTGACGCACCGATCAACGCACCGAGATAGTGCGCCACGATGAACTTAAATGAGATCCTCGGCGTGACCTGTACTGTACTCACCAAGGGCATGTTTGTAGCTGCCAGTAATAAGAGCATTGTGTCCATTCAACATAGCTAGAGGTAGATGATCTTGGTACTTGAACTGCTGCCTCAGTACAAATCTATTATGACGCATATCCTCACATAAGGTGACCACTTGAGCAAATAGGTTCCAGCCCTGGTTGTTCTCAGGATACTGAAAACAGGGAAGACATGACCACTTGAGCAAATAGGTTCCAGCCCTGGTTGTTCTCAGGGTACTGAAAACAGGGAAGACATGACATCCATGTGAATAATGAAAATAAGCCCTCAAGGTCAAGGTCAAGCTCAAGGTCAACTCAATCAGCTTCTACTCTTGGATGTTTTCTGTTTTCTGGCTGTGTTCTGTAATCAATTTTTGATACTCTTCCGTTGGCGCATATATATACTGGATTGGATGGCTGATACAATATGATCAATGTATGCTATGGTTGACATTGGTCAAATGTAATTTAGATTATTTGGTACTTTGTGTTCTCTTATCTGTTTGTCGGAGTCTTGGTAATGTTGCATATTTAGTTGAAAATATAGAGTAAAAAGTTTTATATTGCAATTTAAATTGATTCATATTTAAAGTCTGATGACTTCAACTTAAAGTGTGCGCCTGACCCGGCTACGTATAGCACAGAGTTTATACTAGCGGATTAGACTAGTTCATTTTTTATATGTGTGTGAAAGCTTTCTCTTATTTGCGTTTTTTCGTTTAGTACGGTTTTGTTATAATTGCCGAGGTCATATAACCGGGATAAAACAATGATTATCGTTGACTGCCCACACACAAAACATACGTTGAGTGAACAGTGTTATTACAAACAACAGGCTTTAGAATACAAAGCGTAGTGTGATAATAAGCTGCACACTACCTCTGCTGCATGTACATATTACTAATTTACTAGGGCTCCCAAAGAGTGGATAGGGAGGTTGTGTTTGTCACTTTTAAATTTTACATTTCAAAATTGTCATTTTACATGTCATAATTTGTTGGTTTCATTCGTTTAGCCAATCAAAACATTGTAAAACAATAAATTGTCTGTTACGTACATTTAAAAATGTTTAGTTTTGATTAGTTGTCAGAATAAAGTTACGTTCATCTGAATCCATGTATCAAAACAAAAATCCTATTTTCACTTCAAAATACTTCAGTGAGATGAAGGCTCCGAATTGTCACATGCAATAACTTATTGTTGTATTCGTTATTTTATCTTCTCGATAGTAGAATTTAGTCGCACATTTGATGCCAGGTCACCTTGTCGCGTACCTCTTGGGGAACCCCACATTTATGTGTGTACTCATGGAAGTAAATTCCCCGGTGTAGCCGAGAGCCACAAACTTTTCAACAGGTTCGAAATGACCAATTTCTCTCATATATACTCTAAATATTTTATTATTTAGCACCTACAAAGTATTGCTAATAATCATATGTAATTTCAATAAGGAAACTTATCTGGCTACATATAAATTCAATATCAACACTAGCTGTTCTCTCAACACGTCCTGGCTTACCTTGTGGTGACAAACCCTGGATTTTCGCTATTTATAGTTTATCAACACCTGGACGCATGCGCATTTTATACTTTATCGGGCACTTTAAACAGGTGTAAAGTTTCATGTAAAACTGATGGGATAATTAGGTCAGGGCTGCCGTTTGAAAGAAAACTAACTGTATGTCCTCCTTTGCTAAATGACATCAGATTATACTGATCAAATTGATTATGTTGTTAGTTAGACCCTTTAATTGGTGTTTTCCTTGTATTACCTTGACACATATATCTCTATTTTCCTTGTATTACCTTGACACATATATCTCTAGCATATGAGTAAGCAGCACCCCCATCTCTGTTCAGCATACTAGCCACCATCACAGAGAAAGCAAACCTCTAAAAACAAAAACAACCATGAAATATATGTGACTCACAATGAATGGAATTATGAGTGGAAATGAGACTTATAGTGATGAAAAATTAGGAGAAGGGCCTAAATAAAATGTTTTGTGTTGATCATCCATTCACTTATATGGGTTTAATAGATCGACCATTACAGACTTGATCCATTTCTATTCTGCATGCTGCTAATGCACTACATTCAGTTTTAGGTCTAGAATTTTCTTAACTGGGTAGAAAATATATTATTTTACCATCTCTAATAATATTCCAAATCGTTCCATATTTCATCCAAGAATACAAATGTTTCGTGATTATCTACATTTATTGTATAAAATATTTTGATTCATGAAGAATATCCTTTGGTATGAGTGAAAGAATGTGTAGAAATACCTTCTCAAGCTCTGGTGTACCAACAAATGCTCCATTCAACACAGATAACTGAGTGAAGAACTGCAACTCTGAGAATCTTTTCAGTTTTATATAGAGGTCACACACCTAGAAGTATATGTAATCAAAATCTTATTTTACTGAACGCTTCATTGCATCTGAAAGTACATGAGAATTATGAATTTTGATATTGGCCGGAGATAATCTCTAAATGCCTTGGTCAAATTTGCTCCGATTCATTGGCCGGCATCTGGCCGATAGAGTATCCTGTTCACGGTTGTATTCAGTTTTTAACAGAATACTCAATCGGCCGGATGCCAGCCGGTGAATCGGGGCAAATTTGACCAAGGCATACATAGTCTACCAGTTTGCTAGTAAATCAAAGTATATTTGGTCAATTCTATCCATCAAACTTATCAAAGAGCAAACATTTTTGATTCTATTAATTGGAATGTGTAAAGCTACTCACTTTGAAATATAGATTAACTGAGTCATCCAATGCAGTTTCTATTAACACTGCAAAATCTGAAAATAAAGAGCATCAAATTAAAACATCTTTAGAGGTGTACACTGTACATACCTGGTATATGAATCAACATACTTATTCGACTCAATCTGAATGCAAAAACAACAAAACATTTAATATTTCTAATCAAATAAGACCATGATAATGAAAAAAACATCTATATATGATGCTTACTAGATAGGGGTGAGACGACAACCCGATGAGTCGCGGACTCGCGGGTTTGGGGCTTCGAGTCGAGTCGAATCGAGTCGAAGTTGATGAATCGAATCATTTTCGAGTTGAGAAAAAAATTCGAAAAAATAAAAAAATTCAGAAAAATACTGTCAATATGCATGTTTTTACTCGATATTGCGTTGATTATATAAGTTTCAATGACTTGGATATGCTTGTATTAAATTATTATATTGTATGTACACATAAATGAAAGAATATATGTAATAAAATCAGAATAAACTTACGACAAATTGTGTTTGTTTATATTTCCGGCTTTCAACCATTGACGCATTAAAAATACGAACGGTCAAAAGCAATGTTGTTCGCACTTTATCTGACTCGAAACGGATTCGAAACTCGAATCGTCATTTTCTGACTCGAATCAGATTCGACTCGAATCAGATTTTTTTGACTCGTCTCACCCCTATTACTAGATAATTTTCTTGATTCTATAACAACATAAACATTTTTTTTATTCTCACAGTGTTATAAGTATTCTCAGTACTTAATATCATGTAGTGTAGTGTAGCGTAGCATAGTGTAGTGTAGTATCTTAGGCTGAACGCCATCAGCAAACAGAGTTCTGAAAGAATAAGTAATAACAAAGGGACATGTGTTTCACATGACCTTTTGTTTCAGCTTCACGAAAGTAAAAACAATTCTCTCTCACCTTTCTTCATCCTCTCAATGATGACCTTCCCCTCTGGATGTGTTGTTTTCAGTTGGTCCAGCCTGTGTCTCAGTGATCTCGCAATCTCTGCAAAATAAAGTGTATAGTATGCAAGTATCACACCACAGCTAGGCAAGATCTGTCTGACTCCATCCAATCCGGACATGTTATTTCATATAACTGCATTGCATTATACAACCAATAACCAACTCAAAGTCGCTTGATAATTGATGCTTTGACAACTTGACCCTTGCAAAAAATGTCATTGAAAATATGTCCTTTTAGTGGTTTTGTATCTTTAGTTTATTTTCTAGAAAATATTTTGCAATGTGTGAAAAGAATTTAAGCCAAAGGACTCAAGTTTTCAAAAATGCCATAGCGTTTTCAGCGTAAAGTATCATATGCAAAGTCTGTACACAGTACCTGTGACATCTATGTCTCCTCTATGGACCCTGTGGATATAGGACCCATAGAATAGTTTCTTAGCACAGTCGAACACCTCATCATGTTTCCCTTGGGACAGCAGTAATGTACATTTGTGTTGAGAAAGTTTTACAGCCTACAAAACATACATGTACTGAGGTTTCATGAGAATTTTTCACAACAGGCTAAACAAATGAAAACAACAGGCAAAATTAATGGAAATCATAGATTTAACATGGAAAAGTTGAAAAGTCCATAAAAACAACAGGCGATTTTGATTTTGAAATCACCTGTTGCCTGCTGCTAATGAAACCCCTACATGTATGTGAAGTTCATAAATCATCGTTAATCTTCCTCATTATAATAATTACCAAGTCATAACCCTTGAATATAAATCAGAAACAGAAATACTATAATCATATGGGAAAATCATTCCATTACTCAATTAACACAAACAGATGAATGGATGGATGGGTGAGTGGGCAATTCAATAGGCTCACCATGTTCCATGTGATCCAAATACGCTCTTACAATACATGGAATAAACTGTGTTCCATCTAGTTGATGGAAGACACAACGACACAAGTGTCTTTTCTCTTACCTGGGGAGTCAGAGCTGGTTCCTCTTCATAGGATTCCTCCTCTGGAAAATAAGGAAGGTGTTTAGGCTTTTATCAAGATGACAGAAATTAAAAGTGCCTATGCTTGAAAAACAACCAAAACCAAATTAGAACCAATAACCAGTTCCATAATCAAAAAGACCTATAATATTAGTCAACCAGAACAACGGCAACGCCAAAGCGTAGCGAATCCCATCAAACAGCCATGGATGGCATTTTTACAAACAAAGTATATAGCAAAAATGGCAGCCATTTTTCAAAATGGCCACCTTCTACCAAAAGTGCCATTAGACAGTGTGCCGTGCTTATAGTATTCACATACCAAATATGAACAAAATCGCTTCACTACTTTTCGAGTTATAGTAAAATACGTTAAAATGGCGGCCATTTTTCAAATTTTTTTTCAAAATGGCCGCCTTCTACTAAAAGTGTCTGTAAGCAGTGTGCAATGTTTATAGTATTCACATACCAAATATGAACAAAATCGCTCCACTACTTTTCAAGTTACAGCAAAAATCGTAAAATAACGAGTAAAGGCCGCCATATTTCAAGATGGCTGCCATGTGCCTCTTTAATATCTACATTTCTAGCTTTATTAATGTCCTATATAATTTTTTTACATCTCAAACATATTGCTATTACAGTTTTACATATTGCACCTAAATTACTGTAAATTCGGCACTAAAATGACCGCCATTTTGAAATGAGCGGCCATTTGGAAAATCGGCTTTCGAGCAGAACTTCTATTCCCATAGGGTATATGTGTACAAAATATGAACAAAATTGGGCCAACAGTATTTGAGTTATTGCCCGGACGGACAGACGGACGGATGGATGTACGTACAGACGGACGTACGTACGTACAGACGGACGGACGGACGGACGGACGGACGGACGGACGGACGGACGGAGGCGTTCCCTATATCCCTCCGAACTTTGTTCGATGGGATAATAACAATTTATTTACAAAAGGGGCAAGGCACAATAGTTAAAATAAACAGCAAACTTCAAATACGATCAAGAGGGAAGACACACAGTAATTAATAGGGAGGTTAAGATAAGCGTAAAAATATACGTGTACCTATCCCTATCCGTATGTTTGTTGCGTATACGTATAGGTAATGCGTATTGCAAAATGAGTTTAAGATTAACGTAAAAGGCTACGAAACAGTATTCTACAGTTTATGATAAAGTTAACATCCTAATTATAGAATGAAAACCATGCGATGGCTTATATGGCATGTTCCAGTACATGTCACCCCCAAGAACTGTTATATACTTCAGTGAGAGTGTGATGTGGCTACTGTAGTTGGGAGGGGGTGTTGGTTGTGGGCCCGCTAATGGGGCAGTGACTTAAGGTGAAATGTTAAATTTCTAGCATGATCCAGCAATGAGAGTGACCAAATAGTAAAGTTAAACAATTAAAACCACGAGAAAATGTCTGATTTCGTACATTTACAATAAGCAAAACTGATGAAGAATGTGTAAATTCAACAATTTCATGCATCATCAATGGCATCGTTTATCGCATCAATGAATGTGTTCGACCACTTAATTTCTATGCAGATCGAATGAGAAATGTTTGTTGTTAGTATTCTAAAGTTTAATGGATGATATTTGATCTAGAAATGACATAATTTGTTGGTTTTCGAATTACCTATCTTCGGCCATTTATAGGTAATTACGTATCGTAAACCCTGTAACTTAGGTAAAATACCGCTTAGTGTAATAACAAACTACGTATAGGTATAGGTAAATGGGTTATTTACGCTAATCTTAAACTCCCTATTATGGCACTTTTTATGTAAAAATTCAAAATGACCACCGAGTAGTTACCCAAGCATTCACAATACCTAATAATCAGATCTTGGCAGAAGTCTGCTCTTGCATTGGTAAAAAAATTATCAGCACAAGACCAACAATAGTATAGCACTTAGTAATAGCGCAATAAAAACACTCACCTTGGGAGAGGGCTTTAAGAGCTGCCTCTGGTCTACCAAGCTGCTGTTGTAGGAGTGAGAGGGACACCCTGGCTCCAATGTGACCAGGGGCAAGTTCCACAACATGTTTATAGGCCTGAGCTGCACTTTGAATGTCCCCTACTGCATTTAAACACTCCCCATAGATTAGCCACACTGCAGCCTATAATGAAGGAGGATATTACTATCATACTATTTCAGAATCAAAAGTAAAAAATCTGGTGTCTCAGAAACAAATAATGTTTCGGTTTCATATCAGTCTTAGTAGTAAACCTCAATCCCATTGTACTCTTTGATACTTTAAAATGTACACTTACCAAATTGTATCCTTCTGTGCTGACCAATGTCCCAAGTATTGGCTTTGCTTCCTTGTATTCACCTACAGCCATATAAGCCTCAGCTATGTCTAGGTACAGATCCCCAGTGTCCTTAGCATCTTCTTCGAACAATACTGCTACTACAGCCTAAACATTGATGAGCAATGAGCTTAATAACTCTATCTACATTGAATGATTATATATCGGTCAGTAAAAAGGACTGTGATGGACTGCATTAAGATTACCAAAATTTCAAAATCCTCATATTCCTTCCGCAATTTTTTTAGAAATAATCATTGCTTGTTTGACAATAATATCATACTTTAATTTGTGTTATAAAAAACTCTAATAAAATAGGAACGTTTACAGGGATGAGGGAGGGAAGGGGATTTAGGAGGGGAGGGGAATTTAGGCCTATCATGATTAGTTGATTACCGTAAAAGCTACCTACCTTTATACTGTCTCTAGGGAGTCTCAGATGAATCATACATACAACCAGTTTCACCCTCAAGTCAATAGGAAGCTCTTCTGGTACAGTGCACCTATTGGAACAAAATACAATTTCAACTTAAACTGACATTCTGCCTCAAAAATCACCCATTCTTTTCAATTCCTGCGAACCATAAGTGTCCCAAAATTTGAATGTCAAACAATAACATTACTGTAAAAGAGTCCAAAAGAAGCCTTTTACTGGAACATAATTTAAATTTTCTGAAACAACATAATACAATCACAGATGTTAGATATTTCATTGAATTCAAAGATTATAATTGGACTTTGGGAACTATTTTTATATCTGTACCTCAAACAGATTTGACATTATTATTGTGTTTATAAAAGGCTGGCAAATCCTATATAAAAATAATAATAAAAAATAAGTTAAAGTCTTCAATATTTCTTACATTGTCTCTTTCTCTTCTCCCTCCTCCAGTTCTATGCCACAGTACTTCACAAGTATCTGAAGAAATTGCATTTTTACATATAACAATTGCATTCTTTAGAAAAATCTGTACTCTAAAAAATGAAAACAGTCTTTAACTGCATGGATTTTCATTTTTTACAACTTCATGTTTTGTAGATATATTTGTTTTATACGTGTAGATGTATGTAAAATGACAAGCAATGTCTCACTTCATTTGGTGAATTCAATAATGTATCACTTGATTATAATGTGAAATTCAAATACTTTTCAGGTGGTTCACTGTCCATATTGTTTGCATATACGTAATTTAAAAATTGCCATTCCATGCCCTTTTGTAAATTTCTTAAAGAAAAGCTATCAATTTATTTGGAAATCCACAAACCTCCATAGAAGTCTTATGATCTTTCACAGATATCAACAGTTCAAGTAGAAGATTCACATCTAAAACAAAGAAACAAAGGATGACACAGAACACAATGCTAATTGAACAGCACTTAAAGTACATTCAATTTGAGAGATCATATCAAGTCTTTAGAAGATTGTAATGTTTCCTCATATCTGTATATATAATAATAAATATACAGTGAAACCTGCAATTCTGAACATCTCTCTAATCCGAACACCTCTCAATGTGAACACTTATTCTCGGTCTCAATTTGTTAGCTCTCATAGACTCAAGTATTATTAAGAAAACCATTATTGTGAACAACTGCTAATCAGAACAACTTTTGACAAGTCCCAGTGACATTTGGATAGGACACGTTTTACTATAGATGACACTTAACTAGGACACGTTTTACTATAGATGACACTTTACTAGGTCAGGTTTTACTATAGATGACACTTAACTAGGACATGTTTTACTATAGATGACACTTTACTAGGTCAGGTTTTACTATAGATGACACTTTACTAGGTCAGGTTTTACTATAGATGACACTTTACTAGGTCAGGTTTAACTATAGATGACACTTTACTAGGTCAGGTTTTACTATAGATTACACTTTACTAGGTCAGGTTTTACTATATATGACACTTTACTAGGACAGGTTTTACTATAGATGACACTTTACTAGGACAGGTTTTACTATAGATGACACTTTACTAGGACATGTTTTGCTATAGATGACACTTTACTAGGACAGGTTTTACTACAGATGACACTTTACTAGGACAGGTTTTATTATAGATGACACTTTACTAGGACACATTTTGCTATAGATGACACTTTACTATGACACGTTTTACTATAGATGACACTCAACTTGACTTTTACCTTCAGATGTGATATCACTTGGCAGAATCTCAAATGCATCCTTGTATTTGTTAATAGCTTCTTGAACATTACCAACTTTATGATAAGCCTGAAAAATATTAATTTACATGTAATGGTGATGTAAAAATATATCTTATAGAACATGGGTGAATAATCATGTCCTAAATGCATCAAGGAATAAATAACCATCGAATATTATGCACTCTGGGATATTTTTATTTTTTCTTGATACTAATGAAAAGGTGCAGTAAAATCAACAAAAAATATGCAGATAAAGGAATATCAGACGATTGTTTTGCTTGGTCTATTTTGTTACAGTAAAATCATGTAATGTATTTTTGCACCATCTGTATCTAATGCCATATGTAAGACTTGCAAAAGTTCTTTATATCAAAACAGATGATGAAAACTGCAGTGAAATCAACCCTCTAATTTTATGAGAGGATAACAGTTTATATAAATATGGTACTTCTACAAATAGGAGTAGAGTATGTAAGGGAGGCCTAACCTTACAGCACTCTCTGTAGATTTGCATTCCTTTCTCTCCATTCTCCTCCGTGATGTAGTTAAACACAAACTTGAAACTGTCCATCATTTTCTTAGTTTCACCTAACTGTTCATAAAGAGCTGCACGGTTGATGTAGTTGTCGAGATTTCTCGGGTTTGCCCTAACAGCTGGTAAATACAAATAGCATGTTTAGGACTTTATTCAATAAGGTTTTAAAACATAATGTATAACTTTAACCATTAGTAATCATCCTGATTTGAACAAAAAAACAAAGTAACAATAATACATCTGTAATTGTAGCTCCATATTTTTTGAAAAAGTGGTTGCATGTATGAATTAAATGGAGACACATACCAGATCGTTTAATAAGTTCATGGAAAAATGCTCTCACTTCAAAGATTTTTGATATTTTCTCATGAAATTTTCACACAACAAATAAAACATATTTTCTGATTGATTCTTAAAATATCAGCATCTCAAATTTGATTGGTCAAAATGACCTGGTATTAAAGTGAATCCCAAAACTTACCTTTATTGTAGCAGTTGAGACTTGTTGTTACATTGCCCAGTTCCAAGGACATCTCAGCCAGTCTTGACCACTCATCGGAGTCATTGTGCAGATGAGCACCAATCAGGCCAAACTGTAAGGCTTTGTCCATCTCCCCCTGCTCTTCATATATCATACCCAGTGTTTGAAAAGGTTCATGGGCAGCTGGCTCTGGAGAGAAGAACATGGCTTATTAATACTCAGGAAGCAGTTAACCTCTTGACTACCCAGAATGACGAGATTTCTCGTCACCTCAGAAATGACCTTGAAACCCAGAGGGACAAGAAAATCAGTCTCAAAGTTTTTCACAAAAATTGCTCTCATTTGAACAATTTTCATCCAATTTACACAAAAACTGTTTTAAAACGTGTGGATATGATCTCTGCCATCTAATTTTACTAAGTTGAGCATCTAAAGTTGTATAGGTATGTAGTAAAATGTCAAAAGGTGGCAAAAATGAAAAATTCTCTGGTTTCAACCGATTTTAGAGCCTGGGATTCAAGAGGTTAATTGAAAATAGCAAGAACTAAGAATGGTGTCCAATTGTCTTATGCTTCACATAATGCAAATTGAGTACACAACTCAATTTGACAAAATGATAAATCCACTAATATATATATCTGACACACAAGACAGCAAGAAAACATCTTGATAAAATATCCATATAAAGATCTAGTACCTAGTCTGATGACCTCCATGCACATCTTCACAGCCTCCTTCAGTGACCCACGTGCAAAATTCAAGTTAGCCTCCCCCATTAGGCCTTGGAGATCCTTAGGCAGTTTAGTTCTTGGCCCCTTAAATAACAATGTTAGACATGTAAGATGCAACACAAGTTCAACACAAGTTCAGTGATCAGTTAGTTTCTAACTGGGCCATATTTTTAGCATGTATACAAGGAGAATTGGATCACAGGGATGCAACTTGATATTTTTCAACAATAAAAATGTCAGAATGTCATTATTGTCTGACATTTAACTGGTTATAAATCACCAATTCATAAGACTCAAGCTAACATCTTGGTCACTTCTTGTGTATCTTGCATTTTTGTGATGTAATAAGACCAAACTCGCAAATCAAAATTTGAAGTGAAAATCACGACATCCTTGAAGATTTAGATTCATTGTTAGAAAATTTGGGGATTGCATTCTGGGAGCCAGTCCCCCTTGGAATGTATACAGGAAAACAGTTTCATTAAATTCTGCACAATGAAATATGTTTATTCATGGAGAATTTCATATATGGCACTCTTTTTGAAAGTACAAATAATTTTTAAACAAGGCATTAACATGCAAAATGAACCACCTGTCATCTGTTACAGGCAAAAATCACTCAATGCTGTTACGGAATGCTGTTGCCAAATACCAACTGTCACATAACACAAAAAAGTTGGAGACTGTAACAATATGTTACAACTTCTGTTGGTATCTGGTGGTATAAAAATGGCAAACTCAAACATGTTTTTTGCACTATTCATTTTATGGAACACCAATTTCACATCTACTCACTATAAAATGCAGATAGAGATTATGTGTTGAATTACAAGTACAAGTGCAAGTACAAAACATCATCTAGCTGCTACAACGTTTACCCCAAACACTCGATCGTACTTACTGCAGGTCTCTTCTCTCTTTTCTTCCTTTGCTTTTTCTCTGATTTGGAAGCAGGTGTACCACTTTCTTTCCTCTTATCAGCTTCTGAAATTTATTAAATTCATGATAATTCTAAAATTGGTGGTAGTGTTGTTTTGTTTTTGAAAAGTTCTGTTACACTATATAAACTTAAGATACAAAACAACACATACTTTTTTTAGTTTTTGTTTTTTTCATAGAGTGTATTTCAGGTATCCAATCATCTCCACTCCCAGCACCATCATCACAGCCCCCCTCTTCTTCAGCATTTTCACCATCTGATTGATCATCATCGTCATCTTCTTCTTCTTCATCTGCCTTTTCTAATGACTTTTGCAGATTAGCTGTGAATTCTTCAAATGTTACTTCACCTACAATGCAAGGGGACACTAAAGTGATTATGTCCAATTAATTGTAGTTTTGAGTGGATTCAGAGAGCAGGTCAGGAAATGTATAATACCAAATTTCCTGTAGGTTTGATTGTCTATGATTTACACTTTTTGTGCAAACTAGAAACAATGGAACTTCTAGCAATTTAGGTGTCCAAGCATCAAGATCGTATAGTAAGACACAGAGTCTAATAATATTGCTATTGGATGCCAATATACTGTATTTCTCCTTAAAGGTGCAACAATTAGTGCAGAGGGGCCATTCAACGATCATGGACCAGTGTCAAAATATATTTAAGTTTGGATAATTTATCAAGACTTACACCTGTTTTAATTATCTACAAAGAAACCCCCTAGATAAACATTATTTCAGCTGATATTCCTCTTGAAACATGGTGGATCTTAAAAATATAAAAGTGGATTTCCTCTTATTATCTATTTTCCACTTATTTTAGCAAATTTGCTGTTTTTGGACATTTGGCGGCTACTTAATTTGGTGAACTTGCAATATGGCAATGCACTAGTGGTACTAATTTACATGGTACTAAAATTACTGATGAATTTGGTGGACTTCAACAATTTGGGAGATCCATCAAATTAAGTAGAAGCACAGTAACTAGAACCACACACTTTTCAGAATTTAAGCTATAATTTTTCAATGAAGCATATAATTGCAGAATTGCTAAAATTCCAATTACTAGTATGATTTTTAAGATGTCAGTTGAGACAAATAAGGTATAAAATGCCACAAAATTTCTCAAGAACTTGTAAGTCATTGTTTTTCTGAGTGGAATTTGGAAATACCCCCCCCCCACCGACCCTCTTCACAATGGACATCATATAGAGGTTAACGGGACAGGCTAACTTAAAAATCTAACACCCCTTACCATTGAGGTATCTCAGAGTTAGAGCTGTGTCTATGTTGCCACCTCTTTGTGACTCTGCAGCCTGCAGGAGCCTTTGCCCAGCCTCAGACATTGGTACATCACTAGCATCTACTAGGTTAGCACCACTGCCATAACTAGTACAAGGTCTCGCATCAGTTAACTGAGTAAATGTAGGATTTGGTGCTGTGAGTGTAGAAAGACGCATGGGACTGGTACTGTTAACTGAGGATATGGGCGTCATTGATCCTTCCTCAAGTTCAATTTGTTCAATATTGTGTACCTCTGTTATTTCACTACTTGGTCCCCCTGCATCCAGTACATGCTGGACATAGTCTGAACCATGCTGGAATTTCAATTTTATTTTTATTGATTATGGGGAGGGGGTGCGATCGCACACCCACTGGCTACGCCTATGTCAACCCCACATTTATGAGGGTAATCCCAAAATGTCGTTTTCTCAGTAACAAATGAGAGTGTTCAAGAGCTGTTTATGGAAAGAAGATAAATGTTCTGAAAATTGTAATAGTATTAGCATTGGAATTTCCAATGAGAACCATATGCCAAGGAAAAAGTAGTAGTAACTCAGATATATATATGTAGAAACTCAGATTCAATGTTGAGCTTACTACTTCTTTTCCTTTGGCCTACATGTACAGTATGGGGAAAACTTATCCCGTTCCCGGACTATGGTCCTGTGAACATCTCAATCTTTTGCCTGTGCGATTACAACATGGGAGAATTTTTTACTGATCTTACACTTCAGATACCTACTTCAATAGATTCCTTGGTAATTTAGCATTCTTTTCGTGTAGTTGAATCCACAATTGTCTGGGTTTATCGGCAGAACGAAGACATTTTCGTTTTTGATCGCAATATTTGCGTGTAACATTTAACTTATTTCAACCGTCAAATTCCTCCATATTGGTACTTCCGGGCTACATCCGGGACATCCAAACGGGGGATTCCCCTTTTAAATCCAACCGCCATTTTGAAAAGTGATGGAATCTCTCTCGATGAAAAAGAGAAAATGTTCCCGTTCTGCCGATATACCCAGACAATCGGCGGTTCCAATATATTAGAAGTTACATCTTGAGTTCTATAATGCATTGAGGTAGGTATCTTAAGTGTAAGGGGCGTAGATAATTCTCCCAAGTTGTAATCGTACAGGCAAATGAATGCGATCAGTGCAGGACTATAGTCCGGGAACGGGATAAGGGAAAACTTCAGGAGCATGTAGTACTATGATATGAGATGCTTATGCCAGATCTGAGTCAATATATCTATCTATAAAAACTTATCATATACATATTGACTCAGATCTGACACAAGCAACTCATAGAGTTAGTGCTACAAGTTCCTGTGGGAAAACTAAAAAAATACGTAAAGGCTAGAGTACCGACAATTGTCGGTACTCTAGACTCTGATGTGGTGGCACGCTAGAGGACCGACAAATAAATTGTCGGTACGGGAGATATGCTGTGTTTACACGCTAGAGGACCGACAAATATTGATTTTCGAATTTTCTGGCGCATGCGCAATGCGCGGGGGGATATTTCAGATATCATACGGATATTTTGGGAACAAGTGCAAAACCCGGGGAGGGCATTAGCCCCGGTTACCCGGGGATTACCAAACCCAGTCAAAAAATGGTAGCCCGGGAACAGGGAATGGTAGTTAACGTTGAAAACCCAATAAAAAGGAAGGGGCGTTTGTACCTGTGGTATCGTTCTAAATAACCCATAGTTGGCTTCTAGGGTACCTAGTATGCCACTATTTGGTATCAAAATAAAGAGGAGTTCAACTTTCATTTGAATAACGAAAATAGCGATGTAGGTCAAAATAGTTCCGAACGTGAGGATGTTTACTACGTGTTTGCCTGTCATATCAGAATTGAGGAAGTGGTAGCAAACGCGAGTTACAATAAACGGACGCTGATATCTCAAAAAGTAACCTGACTCCCTATAATTTGATGTAGGTCAATCGAACCCCTATATGGACAGGTGCATTTTGATATATAACACTATGGGGTGTAAGCGTTTCATAGTTGGTCACGAACGCCATATGTGCAAAGTATTGTTATGAATTTTCGAATTTGGTGTTGGATTACGGTACTCATACCTTATAGCACAATTTTTAATGGAAGTTGCATTTGGCTCCCTTAGTTAATGGCCACGATTTCATCTCGCATGAGAGAGCTACCAAACGCAAAGTAAACAGTGATATATTCCAAATGAGATATTTCTCCTGTGCCATGGCGTAGTAAGGGTAGAGGTCGACGGGGGCGAAAGCATCCCCTCCTAATTGTATATATCGACCCATTAGATAGAACAAGAAAAGAGCTTTAAAATGTTTTTTAATTGAAGCTTGTAGGACAATTTTGATGGAAGTTGAATCAATTTTTGTCGAAATAAATTATGGCTGACTACAAGTTAATGCCTGTACGATTCCATACTGCAAAAGAAACACTATCCCCCCTCAAAAGAAAAGAGTAGATCTCGACGGGATTCGAACTCGGGACCGAGTGTGATCGAATCGTGCTCGCTAACCACTAGACTACCAGTGATGAAGTTCTTTAAGGAGTTAAATGTAGTGAATTTATTTATGAAATTGTCGGCTCTCTAGCAAAAACACGTAGCAGCCACTTGCGTACCGACAATTGTCGGTTCTCTATCTGACACTACTAGGTGACGATAGAGTGCCGACAATTGTCGGTACCCCAGCAAATACCCCTGGACAGTCTCCAGTACCGACAATTGTCGGTCCTGGAGCCACTCCGAAAAAAATAAAAAAGATCAAAAATCTTTCAAAATATGTTTTTCAACATAATATTTTGGCAGTAAATTTATACATGTTTTGTTAGCATTTAGGGTCAGACTGTTGTAAAGGACTAAAACAAACCTCTTGTCGGTTTCTCTGGATTTCATCCCACTCTCCAAAGGTGATATCACCTTCTAAATAACGCAACAAATCTGGATCTTCCATGCTTCACTGTAGCCTCCGCAATTGAAGAGCTCTCAAAACATTCACGACACACCCCGAATAGATTACCATAATATTTGTTAGATGGTGGATCAAAAAATCGAAGTTATCTTCATTGCTGTAGACTTATAAAACATGTAAAACGCACGACGTCTTATTCAATACCTGCAAACTGATCCCAATGTTAGATTCCTTAACTAGGAAACAATAACAACTGATGACAACGCTGCTCGTTTGCAAAATTGGAAAACATTTAATTTTGAACAAATTGAAATTGTCCTTCTCAAGTTACACAACAGTAAAAATGCCATTGAAATTTGCAGCTAATGTATCAATGCTCTTTCAAGAAAATGGAACTCTTGACAAACGTTACAAAGTTGCGGAAAATGCTGGATTCAAATATGTAGAGTGCACATTTCCTTATGATATTCCAATAGAGACGCTGCAATCCGCCAAAGAAAGTGCAAATGTTGAGCAAGTTCTCGTCAATGGATGGCCAGGTACATCAGGGGCGGATTTGGGAACCAACAAAGGGGGGGGCAAATTTCAGGTCTGAGAAAAAACTTCAGTGCTTGCAAGCGCGGGGAAAAATTTGGAAATTTTGAGGCCCATTTTCTTCAAAATTTGGCCTAAATTAAAAAATAAGGCCTTACAAGGCCGAGTAATAGCCTATAAGGCCCATTTCTTGAGGCCTTAATGCCCATTTTGGCCCAAATTTTTGTTACTGTCGGCCCAATTTTTTTTCTGGGTGCACCCAAAGGGAGACCCTATCTGTTGCAAGAATTATGCCTGGCACAACCGTCACCATGTTTTTAAGTTTCGCAAGGATCCTGCCATGACATATGACATATATACGGTATAACCGTGACAATGCTATATTATATTACATGGTCTGTCATGACCGTGGTAATGTTAAAGCCTGATATGAGCGTGACAATGCTATACTATCTTGCAAAGCCTGACATGACCGTGGTAATGTTAAAGCGTGATATGACCGTGACAATGGTTGCAAGGCCTGTCATGACCGTGGTAATGTTAAAGCCTGATATGACCGTGACAATGGTTGCAAGGCCTGTCATGACTGTGGTAAAGTTAAAGCACAATATGACCGTGACAATGGTTATATTAAGTGACATTTAGTAGCATGAAAATACTGTAATGATAAATGTCATCGTTTATCTACCTTAAATATGTAAATCTAGACTACTACTACTACTTTAACTCATAATTCATTTCCACAAACTATAATTCTAATCTCATTCAAGAATGTGAACGGTCATGACAGGCCTTGCAATATAATATAGCATTGTCACGGTCATGTCAGGCTTTAACATTACCACGGTCATGACAGGCCTTGCAATATAATATTGCATTGTAACGATTATACCAGGCTTTCACATTAACAATACCATGGTGATGGCAGGATCCTTGCGAAACTTAAAAACACTTAATAATATGGCGACGGTTGTGCCAGGCATAAGTCTTGCAATAGATAGCATGTGCCCAAAGGATGTCCATATTTATGTGTCCATCAAATTATTTTTACTTTTGATGACCTTCAGTTTATATATTTTTAGGTGATATGACCAAAGGTGATGTTGGAATATCCGCTCTCCCAGACAGAATTGAAGAATTTAGGGAAAAACTAGAAACATCTATCAAATATGCAAATGCTTTAAACTGTAAAAGGTAAAATAACCTGTGGTGTTATAAATACTTTACAGAATTATGTTATAGAATAAATGTTATTAGAAAGATGGCAGTACTGATTCACAACTCTTACATAAAAAGTAGTGTACTGTATACAGTTTGTTTTTGTATGTTACCATTTCTTAATTCCATTCATAATTTTTGGTCTTTTTTTATTAAGAATGCATATCATGGCAGCTAGGGTTACTGATAAATTCACAACCAAACAAATGGAGGCAGTGTATATTGAGAACCTGAAATATGCTGCAGACAGGCTACAGAAGGTATTTTGATAATAAAACTAGGAGAGGTATTTTAAATGGGCAGATTGAGAATGTACAGAGCATAATTGCACAGAACCATGTCATTTCACTATTTGAAAATATCATAACATAGTTTTTGTAACCTTTAAATTAAATGTAATTAACATAATGTAGTCTTGCACCAAGCCATGGTGGCTAATCCCTTAATGCCTAATCTAATGTACAATAAAACTTGTATATCTGAATACATCTAATCCCAACCCCTCTCAATATGAACGCTTTTTCTGTATCATTTTTATATCATCACCACAACTTTTTTGTGATGGCAGTTGGTGTTCGCCATTCAGTGTATGTAACAAATGGCAGGTAGTGACATTTTGCATGTTAATGCCTCGTTTTAATCTTCCATTTTCCATGTTTAAAAAAACCTCGAAATGTTAACATGTGCCAATTCAAACATTTTTGACTGCATACAAGACTCCTTGTTTTTTGTTCAGAAACCTTCAGTTATATATTATTTACAGGAAGGGATTCTTGCACTAATTGAAGCTGTGAACTCAAGAATATCCGTCCCAGGATACCTGATGGACCATCCGCAAAAAGGTACATAAGTTAAGATAAAAAAAATTTCACATGCAAACCTCTTTTATTTCAAACACTTCTTCCTAAATAATATCTTTGGAATTTTTGCAGTTTTGTGTCAATTATATTTTATTGATTATATCTGATTATGATTTTTTTCAATTCTAGCTGTTGAAATAATAGAAAAGGTGAATCATCCTAACCTAAAGATGCAACTGGTAAGTTTTATATTGTGTTTTCTTTGACTTCTCATGGTCCTTTAAGAATTGTATATTTGGACACTTCTGCATGATATTGTATAAAGACACTATACTCATATATGTATCAAGACCTTTTTTGCGACACATTTCATGCTCCTAGAATATACCTAAGCAATACATTCTTTTTATTTTTCAGGACCTATTTCATGTTCAGATTATGGATGGTAATCTGACAGGAAATATTAAGAAGTATCTCCCATATACAGGTAGGTGCAGTATACATTTCAATGGAATATTTCGAGACTGCTTAATTTAGAAGTACAGTAAAACCTGTATTAGTGAACACCTCTTTATAAGTAAACACCTTTCTCTAGTGAACACCCCTTCTAATCATATACTCCTCTGACTTCTGTATGAAATTGTCTCTATGTCCTGAACACCTACCTACTGTGAACATATTTTTGTTGCTCCATATGTGTTCACTATACACAGGTTTTACTGTACATTTGATTGGTTTTAACATTAGGTTGAAACAAGAGGTTGAAAGCACATATTAATAACATGTATTTTTTATTATGTAGCCAATATGTCTTATTGATTACAGGGCATATACAGATTGCCCAGGTGCCTAAACGAGGTGAACCTGACACTGAAGGAGAAATTAACTACCCATATGTATTCAAAGTACTAGAGGAGAGTGGGTACGATGGATATATAGGCCTTGAATACATTCCTGCTGGTAATTAAAAAATACAGACCGAAGACCAGGGGTAATATTGTCAAATACACCCCGCGGGGCTAGGCACGAACATTTTCTGTACCCTGAACGACCGAAGGGAGTGAGGGGTTGGAAAGCTTTTCTGCCTAGCCCTAAGTGGTGTATTCGACGATATTACACCTGCTCTGAGGTCTATATTACAATTCGAATATGAAAACTCACCAAATGTTTCGAATATTCATTATGGTCTGCCATTACTATGATCTGCCGTAATGACGTCACACATTACACATTTTACCAGGGGCAATGTTCGCGAATATACCCCGGGTGAAATGTTGACTTTGTTTACAGTTTATAGAAGGCGTGAATACAGCCATGTTCGAATTATATATATAGTACTGTGAATAGTGACAACATATGCGTCGCCATTAAACAAAGGTTAAACTTGGATACCTATGCCTTCAAATGATACTGGTCTGATTTGATTTTTTTCATTGATTTCCATTAATTTTGAGCTTGAAAGAATCATTTTATTTTAATCTTGCAATCATCCAATAGGTGATGGATCCAAAAATAACTCCATCGGTATCACTTATTTACATGTAAATGTACACATTCTCTTAAAACAACATGAGTTTTTTTAGTTTCCCAGTTTTTATATATCAAAGGGCCTCAGATTCATTTCCTTGTTTGATTTCAGGTAAAACTTTGGATGGCTTGAAATGGATGAAGATAATGGGATTTTGAACAGACATCTACTGTTCTCAATCTCTTTAAGAAGCTATGGGATATATCTACATACTAGTATATGGGAATACATTAACATGCCTTTAATTGAAATGGATTTAATTGGCATACCTAGCCTTGGACATAAGTTGAACCTAAATGACGGTAATTTGATCCAAAATTGAAGGATCTAAGATGGATGTAAGAATAGTGCAGTAACAAATATATTTCTATCAATGTGTGTATTCATTAAATCAAGTAAATACATCAAACATGTTTTTTATTATCACTCATACTTTTGGTGATTGAATATATAATCACCATGAAATTGGCAAGAAATTTAATACAAATGCATAATGAAAATACTGATAAACATACAGTAAAAACTGTGTAAGTGGAACACATTTGGTACTCCACTTGGATAGTGTTTGTTCTACTATGAGGTACATTTAACATAAGTCAGTTGGTCTTTGGATTCTAAAAAGTGTTCCGCTTGAACAGTGTTCAGCTATAAGGTTCATTTAAGATAAATCAGTTGGTCTTGGGATTCTAAAAAGTGTTCCACTTGAAAAGTTTTCTACTATGAAGTTCATTTAGCATAAGTCAGTTGGTCTTTGGACTCTAAAAAGTGTTCCACCTGAACAGTGCTCTACTATGAGGTTCATTTAACATAAATCAGTTGGTCTTGGGACTCTAAAAAGTGTTCCACTAACATAGGTGTTCCACTTCTACATGTTCTAGAGGTGTTCCACTTTACAGGTTTCACTGTATACAGTTGTTGTCTAATATGAATAAAAAGAACAGTCCTGTGACAAGCTAAAACACTCAGGCAGTACAGCAGAGTATATAGGTAGAGTAGAGTTCAATACAGTACAGTGCATTACAATACAGTACAGTACAGTACAATACAGCACCGTACCGTACAGTAAGGACACAGGTTTTTAACTATGTACAAGTTCTTTCAAAAGTAAAACAAGAGAATTACATGTACTGTAGAGGTATGACATGCAAAGTGCACTCAATAGTCCGGAATGAATGATTCTATTCAGCCAAATAACTATAAGGTGGTGGAGCATCATTTGTATCTTTACTCTCTCCACCCTCTTCTGTCTTAACCTGAACTGCCTCAGGAGCAACAGCAGGAGCAGTTTCCAACTTAGGGAGCTGCTTTGGTTTCTTGCCAATCGCTGGAAGTGTTGGGTGGGGGCTTGGGAATTGTTCTATTTTTGGTTCTTCCACAGGATTTGGTCCATGAGATGTGGTGACTGGACCGTGTGAGTACTGGGCTACCGGCTCTGAACCATGGGACGTTATCATTGGCCCATGGGAGTAAGAGATTGTTTGAGATGTTGATCCAGATGGCACCATGGCTAAAAAACATAAAATGTATGTGGCAAGCACATTACTTTATAAAAGACCTAGATGTACGTGTAATAATTATGCCAAAACATTGTTTACTTTCTGCGATGAATTATGACAGAATATGCTGTTATGTGTTGTTCAGAAGAGATATTTACCAAGATTGGTTTAGTCCTCAACAATTCATGCTGTGATTGATTTAAAATAGATACCAACATATGGTGATTAGATTAGATACCATCAAACAAATACATCTCATTACTCATTGCGATTGGATTGGTTTAGAATAGATACGAATTACACTGTTTGGAATAGACACTCATACTGTAAAAATGTGTAATGAGCTGTGCCTGGTTTAAAATAGATATTCACCAATACTTTGTGATTGTTTATATTAAGAACAGATACTCCTGGACAGACACTCACCAACATGTTGTGACGGGGTCGTAAAAAAGACAATATGTCCATCCTCAGTCACCATCTGGCTCATTGCGGGTCTTGTCATCACTAGCTCAGGAAACACGGACTGAAAGAGGAAGAAATGCATTGAAGCTCGAATGCGCTATTAGCTCCATAAAATGAGTTGGTTGCACCCCCGCCCAATGTGTTAATTAAATTAGTTTTATTATGTGGAGTTATATCTGTATTATATCGACTAAAACAGAAGAAATACATTGGAAAGGTGTGGTATCGATATGGTGAACTTATTTTACACATCGTCAATTTAATGGTCATCTTTTGGATGATAACATTATAATTTGAATTATATATTATATATATCCTTTTCTCTATAATGTTTTAGGAAACATATCAGACACCTTCTTTCGTTCTTGGTATCATATGTTCGGAATGAAATGAAACATACATCTACTAGTATCCGAACCTCATTGGAACAAAACGACATAAACACAACGTGTGTTTAGGTCTCTCAATATTGTAATTGTACAAAGGAAAGTTTAATTTATTTTAAAAAAGTATCTTGTTAATGAAATAAAAGGTTTATCTTAATACTTATCTATTTTAGGGGGTTTTGTTTTAAGTTTTTTGCATACTTTTTGTTAAATCCTTTGTATAACTATAATATTGAGAGGTCTAAGAAAATGTTGTATATGCTATTTTCTTCCAACAAGGTTCGGAAAGACATTTTATTTCATTCTCGAGAATTGGTAGAAAGAAACAAAAAACAATTGCACAAAAAAATGTTAACAAAAACAGTTATATAAAATACATATAACATAGAGAAGAGCACAAGTTTTTAAAGGTAAACTTTCAAACGCTAAACATTTAACTAGATTACGTATAAGCGCCCACAATCTAGAGATAGAGAGAGGCCGATATACAAAACCAATTACTGATCTTAATAGTCGATTTTGTAAAATATGTAAGGACTCGGTTATAGAAGATGAAACACACTTTTTATTCAAATGTAAAAAATTGGAGTTTATCAGAAAATCCCATATTGAAAAACTTGAAAACCTGTGTAGTAATTTTAAAAACATGAATGATCACCAAAAGACAATTTTTCTATTGACGAGTGAGGGGATCATATTAAAAGAAGCTGCTGACATGATAAAGTATCTAATGATTGGTAGAGACAGGATTCTTATATCAAAGTAACATTTTATATATGTCATTTGAAGAATGTAATCCTATTTTCTTTACTTTATTGCTATATTTACTGTTATTGAAAACTGTATATCGGATGTACGTTTGGCCCTAAAAGGGCATCAGTACTAATAAAATCCTATGCATACATATAAATAATTTTTGCATTAAATTTATGCCAATCAGTCAACATTACATAAATGACCGTGTTTTTACAGAATGTTTTCAATAATTGCTGGTTTAAGAGAAAAACGTTGTTAAATTCAGTTCACCATATCGATACCTATCCTTTTCTTTTGCGTTATTTCTGTAAACGCTCAACATCATAGAAATCACAGGTTAAGGTGGTCGTTCGTTACCCCTGTTTTTTTATTTACTGAGCAGAATCAAATTGTATTGAAAATGTAGAATGAACCTACAGATATGGAGCTTAGATAGAAGTTGGCGAAGACGATGCCTAGGACTGCCGCGATGGAATTTAGTACGCTGAACGTGATAGTCGCCCAAAGTAACCCCTGGAACGTGCCGCTGATAGAGTCGCATGAAGCCACGCCCGAGTACTCCGTTGGTTGTGTGGACAGACTAAAAATTAATATGTCAAGTCATTAGCCAGGTTATTATTGCTTTGAAACAGAGATTTATTTGTTCTGAAAGAATATTGAACCTATCTTGCGCTTTGAACCTACAGTTTTCTCCCACAAGCATGTTACAGTGTTTAACTTGTATTTACAGATTTATATTACTTAAAAGCCTGTCATCATTTTTAGAAAAATTGTTAAATCAAAATTAAACGGTGGAGTGTGAAACTCAGCAATTTTTTTGAGAAAGTGTTACTGTGAGACAACACCTCCATCCCCCTCTTCGAACGATTTTGTTTCGATCGATCGATTAACAAGAAACTTTAAAAGAATTCATCAGGGTTAGATAAGAAAATAACTTCCGAAAAGTGTCTTATTTCAGTATATTTCCATTCCATAATATTACTTGAAATGCCTGTTTATAAAGATCCAAAACAATAACCAGTGAAGTTAATTTACTTCGGAGTAAAATGTTTTATTTTCGATGTTATCTGAAGTAAATGAACTTAGGTTATTATTAATATATTACCAGGGTGATGGATTTACACAGAAATAACCAGTGAGATTACAACCTCATCTTTGTCCTAATATCCTTAAAACGGTTCCGCATTTCGCCTTTTACCTGAATCCGTAAGACTCGCAACTGTTCTCCTTGTATATGCTACAACAGTAACAAGACTTGGCCGCAAATGACATCTCACAGTTGGTTGAGACAAGTCCAACTGTAAATGCGCTTCTACCACAATTTGCTGTACCGCTGTCACTACTGTAGGCACAATCGGCAAATGTTGTTTTCTGCAACAAAAAATTTCTTTAGGCTGTAAAGAATTTGATCTATTGCGGCACCCTACGAATTAAAACACATGGATTATGTTGTTTTTCATTATACAACAAGTTCTTTTTAAAAACATCCCGTGTTTCAAACTATATTTGATAGCCTATCGAGAAGCAAGAGTAGAGAGAGCAGCTGTCATAAGGCCATTCTGATGGTTCACCCCCATTGGGGTTCACCATTCTGAAACTTACATTTGTGATCTCTCACTTTAATGGAGGCCTTGTATTATTAGGGGAGGCATCAAAAGATCAATGTCTGATAGGAAACTAAATAAATCTAGTTTTGAGTTGGACCGCCCCCCCCCCCTCCCCCTCAAAACTAAATACAATGAAAGTTGATCGCGGACTTTTCACATGTTTTAGCGACTCAATTTGGACTTTCATGGGGCCAGTACTATAACTTATTTATGATTCTTAAAACATGTGCCAACAACAATAGGCATAATATTACATGTTGCATGCATCTTGGTGAAGAAGGCATCTGATAAAGTCTTTATTTTTAAACCATTCCAAGGCATTTCGAGTCGAAATTGCGAAAAATTTAAATGTTGAAATTTGTCGGATAGCAAACTGAAATAGCTTTGACCCCCTCCCCCAAACTAGATTGATTTAGTTTTCTATCAGACATTGATATTTTGATGTCTCCCCTAATGAAAGTACACGTTGTTCCACTTACTGCAATATGCGAGGCCTCTACGCCATCAATAAGAATAGCGGGAAATGCCATAAATAGTCCGATGACGTGAAACACTATTCCCGTCAGTATCCAAGCACGTCCCTTCTTGTGCATGTAACATCCTACGATTAATGCTATTCCACCAAGAACAAACTGAAAACAAATATGCACTTTATATATAATTGATTAATGTCATTTTTCTTAATTTCGATTCTTTAATATAATGTGCAACCTTTAAATATTTGTAATTCATAATCATAACATTTTCAAGCAAGTGTGCAAAATGGTCGATCCACCCCACCACCTGCAAAAATTGGACCCGTCGAAAAACGGAAAGGAGTCATGTACGCACCAAGATATGAGGCCAAAAGCCACCACAGCTGAGGTTAGAGGTATGAAAGAACGTGGCAAGACCGAGTCCGAAGGCAATAACCGAGATGCTCACTTCGGCTATGGCTATGCTCATACACTGGCGTCTTTTCTCAGTCTTGGCTGAAACGTATCAAAGCAAGATGTAACGTGCATTTTTGCATTTTTATGATTCTTCAAATGTTTTTATTTTTATGTGGTAAAAGGTTAATGTAGATAGATGCTACAAATGAAAGACCAAATTTGAGAACAATTCAGAATAATATATGTACGTACCTTCGTTTTTTTAACATAAGGATTCTTATAGATATAATAGTCTCTTTAGAATAAGAGGTGCATGATTCATGAACCCCTCCCAATTTTTACATGTCATACCGCCTACTAGGTGAGCTATTTTGAATCTTACTATTGACTTTGGTCAATTGTGTCCAGACTTACCTTCGTTTGATGCCGTTGTCCTCGGAGACTCTGCAGCTGGTGTTTCCCCCGACTGGGTGGGGGGCACGATCTGCATACTTCACGACTTCAAGACTGGTTTGACACAATAAAATTGATATAATGATTAGGTTTTATTGACACAGCCTAACACTGAGATATTCTTAAAATTTCCAGTTTTGATTCTCTTCAACTGTTCACATTCAAGCACTCAAGTAGGGCTCGGTCTTTCTCTATTCTATTGTGACAATGTTTTTTAACCGTGGAAGGGAAAATGTCCGGGGAAATGGAACCATTTGGCATTGTTTCGATTCTTTCTCAGGAAAACCATTGATTATGTTGTTGGTGTTTGTTTCATGTGATAAGATGTTCATTGTTTTTCAGTTTTTAATAGATTTTGTTTGCCATTTGGCTAATGCGCCTAGATATACTAATAATATTTTTTCAGGCATCTACTTCCTCCAGATTTTATCAATTTCAATTAGTTTATATTTTCAAGATCCTGTATAATTGTTGGTCGTAACTTATAATACTCACCTAAAAGCTGGACTACGTAACCTTCAAGTTGGGAACCTAACTGGGTTAGGGCATCAAAATGGCTACTGCCTTAGTAAGTCCTTTTACCATACAACAAAAGATGGATTACCAGGTCATGAAAAATTCTATACGTATTTAATGGGTTAATCTTAAAGGGTAGCCTGAATGAACATTTTGATAGGATTATTGAATTTCAATTGAAGCCGGATTAGTAATTGAAAGACCCGAAATACGGAAAGTAAATTTTGTAGCAATTTGAACTGAAATTGTTTAAAATGAGGATTTGGAAACGAACTCTCTTTCCAAATATACATGAAATCATACTTGTATACTCTTCTCCATAAAAGAACCTAAATGTAATTGTTAGAAATCACCAATATAACGTGTTTGTTCACTTTTAAAAAGTTAGAAACTATTACGTAATATTTGTTTGCATTGAAGGGGTCTCTTTTCCGATCTGTCATTGTCGTCAGGGTGACAAGGTCAAACAATTCGGGAAAGGTCAACCAAAATTTAGAAGACGTGTTTTTATTTTTTGTAATATTTGCACGATTTATCAAAATGTATGAAGATAACAATTCGGAGATGGGGCCTAAGGGTACCTTTGAAACATATAGAGCAGAAGGAGATACATTGTTCAAACAAGGAGAATACAATAAAGCCATAGAAAGCTATTCAACTGTGAGTTCATTTTTGATATCTTTTTCAAAAAAAATTAAATTTAGGCCTAGGCCTATTTTTAGGCCTAAATTTCAATTCAGATCTATATGAATAGGTCTGCGCAGTACATAAACGGTTGTTAATTTGAACACGTACATTTTATGACATGAATTGATCATGCCCTTCAAGTTCTTCTTTGCCTTGGAGAAGAAATTTAAATGTGGATGTCGCTGGGGGTCAAGCCCGGGGGGTCATGGAAGGGAAGGGTTTCTTCACGTCACCAGAGTCGTAGACATACAGTATTGATGCCTTGTTATTTGGAAGAAATCTCATTTTCAGGCATTGGAGATAGAATCTACTGACAAGAATTGTCTTGTCGCGAGGTCGAAATGTTATCTTCAACTCGGTGATACAGAACGTGCTCTACATGATGCTGAATCAGCCTTGGCAGAAGATAAAGAATTTCACAAGGTATGGATTACTAGTATCAGAGACATACAATAACGTTTTATAATGTTTTATATGTCTGTGCTGGTATTGACAAAAACCAGAAAATGAATTTCATTAATATATCGTTCATAGTTATGCATCTCATTACTTATAAATTCATTCCTACAATATTCCAATTGATTAATGTAATTATTTAACAATAAAATGCAACAGATAGATGTCTACATCACTGGGGATGAACTGGAAACGAGGGAGGTTTTGCCTCGTATCAAAATGGCGGCGCGTGAAAAAATTTCATTCGGTAAGGTTTTTGTTTTTTACAATTTTCGTGCTTTTATCCTTCAAATTAAAACTTAATATTTGGCAAGTAAATAGTTTATAAGTTCCGGTTTTATAATATGATTGCAAATTAGAAATCAATACAGAAATTGCTGAGATATTTACATTTCAATTCTCTCACATAGGAAACGAGGCACCTGTCTACATTTTGTAACAATGAAACGAGGCAATGTTTGACTTGCAACGAGGCAACTATTCTTTCTGTGATAGTGTCTACATTTAATGATCTTATTTCCACCGTTCTGGTCACATACGACCGATTACGTTTCACACGATGTACATGATTATATATGTACATGTAAGAGTTAAAAAGAATAACCATATTGTTCATAACAGTCATTCCATATATAAGCAGACATTCATGTCGCCACGGGTTTTTTCTCAAGCGTTTATAGATATATATAGAAACTTTTTAAGAACATCTACTTAGGACCAATACCCACTTGTACAACCACCAAACAGAAAATTTTAATTGTTTGGTAGTAAGTGAGAATTTGTTCTAACTTAATTTGATGACAAATTCCTCAGGTACGTTATGTCGCCAGAGTGCATGGTGATGTTTTATAAGCACAACTGAAGTAGTTATAGATTTTAGAACACATCCAAACTTCCTGAAAAGATACCTGTGGGTATTTACTGTATTTTACCAACGTTTCGAGTAATTTAATCCTTTCCAACCTAATAATCAGATGCCCGGAACCCATGTCGCCAGTTTTTTTTTCTAAAATACCACTTTAGATATTTCAATTTCTAGAGAATGCACGAATCACTTATATGTTTAACCCAGAGTGATATTTTATCAGAAAATGATTTCTCAAAATGCATGCAAAGTTTAAAAACTGTATTCTATCCAGAACAAAAGTTATAGGTCATAAAGGTGTCATTTTTCAATTCAAAAGATAAGGATTTTAAGGTACGTTACAACATTTCCCAACATTTTGTAATATCTTGATGGAATTAGTAAATAAATTCTTGAATATGACAAGGCGGACATTCAATACAATGTGCTCATTACCTTTGTTCGCTCTGTTGTATTGCTTTATTGGAACATGTAATGAGTTTTCCTCATGTACGTTGCAATAAGGTACGTTACGGAAAGTGCGAAATAAGTTGATAACTCAGCAATAAATGCTGCTAACTAAAGTGGAGGAGATCATCACGTGATCTCATGATACGCCATACTTTATTTGCAGTCAAAGGAAAAGGGATTTCTTCCTAATAATCCCTAAATAATACAGCAATCGCGTAAGTACAACACCTGTATCTTTTGCCTAAGCAAATGTGGTTAATCAAAGATCTAGGATATCCCGATTCGGTTGAAAGGTATTCTAAATAAACAACTTAATTGGTCATTGTTAAAACATGGTGTCAACTTTTTTCCCAAATCACATACGACTTGAGTTTTATATCAATTACGGTACGTTGCTTTTGATAACGTCACTTAATACTTGTTTTATTTCTGTCTTAATAGTGGTAACTAACCCGGGAATTCACAATTTGTTGCAGAATATGGCCAAGACTAAAGCAGAAATTCAAAAGAACTATACAGGGCGTATAAAAAAAATCACAAAACTAGTAATTTCATTTAATGTACCATAAAGCCATGTCTCTCCTCTTTGCAATGATATGTCATTCATTCACACGTGGTAATGGTTGGGTGAGAAATCCTTCCATTTGCACAGTGGGTCAAAATCGGCTCTGCGCCAAGTTTTAGATATTGAAAAAATCAGTGCAAGGGCTAAGTGCCAATGGAAGTTCCCCTGACTTTAATTGTTGTGACTTTTTCTTTTGGAGCTATCTCAGGAGCATCTGTGCTCACAATTCATCCACCAGATATTGCAAAACCTCGAGAAAGATTTGCCCATGGGCTGCTTTTCTTTGCTTTAACCCACACATGATTCAGGGCTGAACCATGCATGACGTGGACAGATGAGCGCATCTTTATGTGCAAGGAAGTGGTGGCAATTTGGAGGGGTATAGGACATATTCTTGCAAGAGTATGAGTATGAACACTTTACTGTCTATGCCATACCTGTCACACCTTCTTCCAATAGCCCCTATGCCCCTTGTACTGACTTTTGCAATGTCTGGGCTGAATTTTGCCCCACTTTGCAAAATTAATGATTATTCGGCCAGAGAGGACTCCCTGTGAATGAATGATATTCCATTGCAAAGAGGAGTAATTTGGCTTTTTGGTACATTGAATTAAAAGGATGCAGTCAGCATTGGTTTTATGTTTACGTCTGAATATTGCATCGGGCTCCGTACACTGACTTTTGCAATGTTTATTACTTGATTCGAAGCCCATTTTTAATTAAATATGGTTGCCTCGTTTCATTCTTAAGAATGCTATATAGCTGCCTCGTTTCCTTGAGAAACATGCCTCGTTTCCTAAGTGAGAGAATTGATATGTAAATATCTCAGCAATGCCAGTATTGATTTCTAATTTGTAATCATATTATAAAACCGGAACTTATGAACTATTTACGTGCCAAATATTAGGTTTTAATTTGAAGGATAAAAGCACGAAAATTGTAAAAAACAAAAATCTAACCGAATGAAATTTTTTCACGCGCCGCCATTTTGATACGAGGCAAAACCTCCCTCGTTTCCAGTTCATCCCCAGTGTACATGCAATAAGTTGTTTATTTTTCATGGTATTTATACAGGGTGCCATAACGTCTTCTCATACTTTATATAGCCTACATTGTATTATAATTGTAAAGAAACTCTATGCGCGCATTTTATTCTATTCATAAATGCTTTTCAAGATGGCTGTAAAATCAGCCAAATCGTTTGCCAATTTAAATGTAAATGTGTATTGATTTTAGGGGTTGTTTCAAAAAGCAGAAGCCCTCTACAGCATGGGGAACTTTGAGTTGTCCCTTGTTTTCTACCATAGAGGGCACAAACTCAGACCAGAACTCCAAGAGTTTAGGCTAGGCATCCAGAAAGCCCAAGAGGCAATTGTTAACTCAGTGGGAAGTAAGTTAGATAATCTAATTTAATCTTCTTGTGAAATAAGTTATGTGGATTCCGTTAATTTGAATATACACATAGTTGATATTTCCAATTACATTTACACCCAATAATTAGAATAAATTTCACATTAATGTCATCAATGTCAGAATAAAATGAACAAATTATTGTTAATTTACAATGGCGTTTTTTGTGTATTCTATTGCAATACAACATATTTTGTATCTTAAATGACAATAATTGTAATTTGTACAACTGACATATATTTTTATACGGCAGATTTATATTTCCATCCAAGGCCATAAATTGATCCAGAAACCATAGAGTTAATTGCATATATGTTTGCTTATCAAGTCCATAGGTTTAATAACTACATAAAAATGTTGACATAATAATAATGGTTATGTTATGCCCCTGATTAGAAACAGTCTTGAGGAGATACAATCCGGGGATACAATTAACATGTTTTCAGATTCATGTATTTTCTATCACATTTTTTCTGTTGTTCAAAGTATAATGTCTAAAAATAACATTGCATTTGATTCTTAGGTCCTGCAGTAAAACTCACCAAAGAGGGTGACCTTTCATTCTTTAATCAACAAGAAGAGGGAAAGGGACCAAAGAAACGTCCTATGTATGGCAGACCATCTACCAAGCAAAAGGCCAAGGGAAGGCAACCTCCCCCTAAGACATCTGGTGATGAGAAGACTGTTAAACAGCTTCTTGGAGAACTCTATGGTGACAAAGCTTACCTTGAAAAACTTCTTAAGGAAACTGGTGAGAAGATTGATCTTGTCCTTTTGAAAATGAATTTGCATCAAATAAACGTATGAACTGAATTTGTTTATCTTATCATCTATAACTGATTTTATTTCATTTTGACTGAGTAAAAAAATCTTCCAATATTTTTTTATTTCCATGTGACTATTGAAGTTTTCTCTTTTTCACATTGATACACTTATCAAAGTGTCAGGTGTTATCAATATTTGTAAAGTTAATTTTAAAAGAGCAGAGACATTTTTAGATAAGCAAAAATAGTATCAAGCAATCCCTTTGAATAATGAAAAATAAAACAATATTTACACATGATCCTAAATATGAATATTTACACTGTTATAAATATAAGTAGTAAAATTGATATGACTGCCCCTTATTCTGCAGACCCCTCCACAACCTCAGGTAACACCATCTATGACTTGGTTTGCGAGGGACTGAAGTATCTGGATACCAGAACAGAATTCTGGAGGCAACAGAAGCCCATGTATGCGCGCAAGTTAGAGAAGCAAGACATTGAGAGGCAGCGCAAGATTGCCTCACAGGGTGGCACTCCACAGGCCTATTTTGTCAAAGAATTGGAAAAGATCAACAAAAGTGAGTCCAAGTTAAATCATCCTATTGAATTTGTGTAAAGTTAGCATGCATTACCTCTGTAAACTAATTGATGACTTGACCAAGAATTGTTGAAATATTGTTATAGCTACCATTCTGTTAAACCAGAATTGAGCATCTGTAATAACAGGTTGTTACACATTTGCAATTTGTAAGTGGGGAACCCGGTGGTGACAGTTGTCACGTTTTAGATAAGCCAGGTTTATGTCTTAAGGAGAGAATGTTGTACTCCATAATTTAACCAGAAACATAAATAAATGAGTTCAATAACTTGATAGTGATGCATTTCCTATTATAGTGCGTGACAAGGGGAAGCATGAGGAATGTCTGAGAATGGCCAAACAGTGTATGGCAACACTCAAAGCCATCACAGAAAAGATCGCCAAAGAGGAAAAAGACTCCGGCAACAGGAAAAATAGAGAGGAAGATGCATTGCCTAATAAAAATGATATCTTGTCTAACCTCTATAGCTTCATAGGGAATGCTTTCCTAGAACTTGGAAAGTTTGAAAAAGCTCTAACAAACCATAAAAAAGACTTGGAAGTAGCAAAAAAGAAGTGAGTACATTTGTCTAACTATTTATTCAATGTATTTTCTCTCTTTTGTGATTATAAACGTTAAACTCAAAACCTAGATTTTACAATAGGTCTCAAATTTTTCAGGGAGGATATACCCAAATTTTGACATTTGACAATTTTACTTTAAAATCATCAAAGAAATTTTTACAATAAATGTATCTCAGACCTTGTTATAAGCATGGTACTAAAATACATGTACACTGGCTTAATATAATAATCATTGTCAGTTATTATCAAAAATACCCTTTCCATTTCCAGTAACCTTTTGGAAGCGCAATCTAGGGCACTGGACAACATTGGCAGAGTACATGCAAGGTTGGGCAAATACGAGAAGGCAGTGGAAACGTAAGTGTTGTTCTACTTTCCTTCATTGTTAACCACATGATATTCTTAAAAGCCTACTCACAGATGTGTTAACTAATACATGTATGTATAGTGTTAGTATACTGGGTTGTGATTTATATGACAGAGACTGTGTTTAGTTCAAGTAATTTCACAAAGTGCAGAATAAGAGGAAACAATTTTGTATGATTGATATTGAGAATGAATAGTTTTGAGAATTAGAAGTTTACCCTTCAGAAGTATTTGACATATCTTAAAAATGTAGGTTGCTTAGCTGATGGCGATTCATGTCATATTCAATCATATTTACCATTGAATATAATGTTCCAAAGTACTTGTTACTTATTTTTCACCAATGTAATTATTTAATTAATTTCAGTTGGGAACAAAAACTTGCTTTGGACACTGAGAAATCCCTACCTGAACTGACCTGGCTTTATCATGAGATTGGACGGTGCAATTTTGAACTTAGCAAGCTAGAGGATGCCATGAACTATGCAGAGAAAGCAATGGCCACAGCTCGTGAAGCAAAGGATGAAGTATGGCAGCTAAATACAACTATACTTATAGCACAGGTCCAAGGTGAGTCAATAAATGGGAGTGTACCTCAAACTTGTATCATTCAGTCATCCATGATTAATGTCTGTTAAGTATAAATTGTATTATAGACATACCATAGTCTAGGATCTGGAGTTAATCAAATCTTTACATTGAACTGACACTTCATGCACATGGCAAAGCATGGAACAAAATAATGAGTCATTCATGTCATGCAAAAACATAAATTTGATTTTACTTTCATCTCCAGTGAAACAGAAAGAACTAGATGGTGCCCTCCAGTCATTTGAATTAGCCTTAGATCTAGCTAAGGTACAAGGAGATGACACAGCAGAACAAGCAATAACAAGAGCCATCCAGAACATTAATGAAGAGATTGTTAGAGGATTAAAGGATGATAATGAGGGATCAGCTAATAACAATAACAACACGTCGAATGAAGCAGAGGGTAATGATGAAGTTGTAAAAGATAAGGAAGATGAACCTGCTGAAAAGGAAGAAGAACAACAACAGGAGGGGGGACAAGAATCAGAAACTGAGAAAGAGGCTGAAGATTAGAGACGTCAATTTCAAACATATACAGTACTAGATGATAGGACATCAAGCTGTGAAAACAGCAAAATATTTTGCAATTTTTATTTCAGGGGCATTCAAATAAGGATTTAGAGCATTACAAATCATTATGGCTTAGCACCTAACCATTATGACCATGCTAGTCTCCATCTACTAGATTTCCCATGTCAGTTACTTTCTGGTGTGGGAAATGCAAAAATACATTAGTTTACATCAATAGAAAGCCTAAAATTAGAAAAGGCTAATTGAAGTCTGCAGACAAGTCATATTATACATTCTGCGCAAGCAGAGATCCCTGTTCTTTTGGAATCGCCTCAAAAGTAGTTCACCATTAACAGATTAATGGACACTTTAATAATTTCAACAAATATACTTAATGGACTAGCATAGTATGTGTCTGTGTTCGGTGGAAATAGACAAGGTTACTGGTAATTGTTACATTCTAGTCATTAGATCAATCCTTTTCAGCTCCAAGAGTTGAGGAGGCTCATATTAATATTTCCCTATCGATATCAATTTTAAAAACACGTATTCAGCTTTTCAGCGTTTGATTATAAAAAAATATTACTAAACATTATATATCAAATATGTATCTATATATATTATTTTTGAATTGGAATAAATAATTAAAACTGAGTTTCTTAATTTTAGTATTGTGTAATTGGCAAGCAGTAATTGTAAGGTTGGTGTATTAATGTAATATGATGATTGGTTCTGATCTTTACATTAGTCTGATTGTTTAAAAGGATAAACAGTATTAATTTCTGTTTAAAAATCTGATAAGTGAACATTGATTGCAAGGCTTGGTAAAACAATGTGTGTTGTTCGTGTTTTTATACGTGCCTTTTTAAACCAGGCCAAGTATAGTTTATCTGTTTTATATAGGTACCTACAAGACCACATGACGCAACTCGGACCTGGAAATAGTTTTTAAAAAATCTAATATTAGCCCTAATTGCAAACAGCAATTCTAGAATGAATTGAACAGCCCTGTACAATATTCTCTTCCATCTGACAAACACCATATTTTTTTGTCATGGTGTATCTCATATATTTCGCCATGAAGTCTGTGTATTCTTTTTAGCTTTTTTGGTTATGGTGATGTCCCGCTTTTGATCAGCGCAACTTCAGGAAAACCACACGCCGGATTTCTAATTGTATATGGTGGTACAAAGTGTAAAGCGCAGCCCCTCTTTCTCTGATCCTAAAATATATAAGCAATATTAAAGGAAGTTGGAATCAACTGCTTCAAAATTTTATTCAAACGTGTTTCTCTAAATGTAAAAGTTCTTTCATGTTTTACATTGTCTATATTACCCCCTAGTCACACCAAACTAATTCTCAATTTACCGCCTGCTCCGTCCAAAAATTGTACTTCGGTCCAGTCAGGTCTGTCGGCGAAAATGATTAACGAGCTACAATGAGATGGACGCCAGAATTTTGTACAGGCTCGGAATTCTGTAGCATTGTCATACGAGCACGTCCATGACGTTCTTTTAAGAACGTAGTAATCGTGAGAGCTTTTTTGCTGTGACCGCATCTTTGTCCATTCTTGGATTACCAAAGTATGGAGTTTTCATTGAGTGAAAATCAAACTGGAAAACGAGTACACGTCATTATCCTAGTTCAGTTTAGCCTTAAAGCAATTGAAATAGGTCCGTAGTCAGTTTAAAGATCATTCTCAAAAACCTTTAAACCCAAAATTGTGCCAAAATTTTGAAATTGTAAGGCCTAATTTCTTGAATATTTGGCCTAAATATTCATGATGTTCGTGAAAAGGTTCGCACTTGTTATTCAAGATGGGCAGGTGATGCACCTTTAATTAGAAATTCCTCGCGTGGAGAATTGAGTAAATTACTTGTATTTCATAAGGTCATTTTAACAAGGTTTTAGCCGTTTCTGTAGGAAGAAGATATATTGCTTAAATGCCTTATGAAAGGTGAACCATTTGTCAATATCACTGAAAACATTCTTTATTGTATCATCTTGACTTCAGCTCTTTTTATGTTCCATATTTTATATTTAAACAAAGTATAACAAGAATGATCTGACACGATTTGTGGAACTCTAATATCGTATATCGCAATATCGTATGAAATCCTCCTCCACGTTACCTAGCATTGTTTTTTGATCATTTTGCAACTAATTAAAAAACTATGGAATTTATTTTGTATCAAAATTGGACATTACATGATCTATGGGAAAAATCGAACTATATGATGCGATACTCGAACTATATGATGCAATACTCGAACTATATGATTCGAAACTCGCATCACACTATGCGAAATACGCATCATTGTATGCGAAACTCGCATCATCGTATGCCATTTTCAATCCATGTTATACCAACAGTTAATTTTCTTACATAACTTATTTTCATTCACACACGCACTGGTTGTATCAAGTGTCACACAAAGAGTTAGCACTAACTCCAATCACTTTCCAAAAATCCAAAAGCAATGTTGAAATGTCACACGGATTGTGTTATAAGTGGCATAGGATACTGAAAGAATTACACATGGATCAAAGTAAATTTCGAATGAACGTGTCAATTTTACACACGCATTGAGTTCAAACTCGCATAGGATGGTTCCCGCTCGCATAGGCTGTCACAAACAAGTTGCACTTCACACAGGGTGCGAGATTTGAAATCACGTGACATTTGCATCCTGGTTTCTACAATACACCGCCCTCCGTTGAAATGTTATAAAATGTAAATTTCAAATTAAAAATATATAATTTAGCTTAGCTAGGGAGACGAACACGTGGCCATTTATTGAGAAACTACAAACTAGATATTTTTATATTTTTGCCGCGCTGATGTGTTATTTCGTTCAGTGCAAAAGTAACGCGAGATTTAGAAGAAAATCTCGAACATCTCTAGAAAGCAATTTATGTTACATCAAGATGTGTGATCGGTACATCAAGGTGTGTGGTCGGCACATCATGGTTTGTGAAGTGCAAAACGTTTGTGCGAGCCGCATAAGCATTTGTTCGACTTGTGTACCCTGTTCGATGTCATTTTTAAACAATGCATACACAAATACGCATGTACAAGTGTGATTTTACAAACATAGAGTGTGCAAACTCGAACAAACCGTGTATGAAATCACACGGATTGTGTATGTATTCTGCTAAACGCTATTCTATGTGTTAGAGATATCACATAAATATAATATGTCCAATTTTGATACAGTTTTAACACCATAAAAAACAGCAATGACATAATAGTATTCTTTATAGGTCATGTAGACTTCGACTACTTGAGTCTTACACACTGCATGGTGACATTGCACCATTTTCAATAGATCTCATACCTTCGAAGCGCAGCATTTAAGCTCTACCTTGTCTTATTCATTTTGTAAGATTTATTTATATTTTTTTTATGAAAGATAAACCGGAAGATTTGTTGAATTGTACTGCAAAAGTCACACACGCCTCTCCCTTTTGAACGCGTTTTGTACTTTTTACGGACGTGATTTTGAGCCAAAACAAGGTCAGCAAGAATGTGATTAATCATGCAAATGAAATTTAGTCAATTAATTCTGCATACTTCCTAAAAAACTACTAGTAATCCGAAATGAACCGGTACGATGACTACAGTTTTTAACTTTAACAAAAGCCGAGATGGCGATGAAATGTGAGTTTTTTTGCTCCTTTGAAAATCAAATTCGAAATGGACCGCTACGATAAGTATAGGGTTTCGAATTTTTCCCAAGATGGCGATAAAATTTGCGTTTTCATTTTGCATTGTTTACTCAGTGAATTCTTAAGTACTATCAAAATGTACGAAGAAGTTTCTTACGCGGTGAGATTAAGGACGGATTGAATAAAATCAGCTACAAAAGAAACACCAGAATAATAAATAATCCCGGGAAATAATCCAAAGCCATAATTGTACCACAAAAATGTGCACTTTTAGAATGTTGCCCATTGTTCTTTTTAGTAAAGTTGAAGAGTGCATGTCAATACGTACATGATGAGTTTGATTATGGAACATAGATTGGATTCGATTGGATGCTCTTCCTCTGTTGTACTGAGTCTAATCATTTCTAATTCGTTGAATTGATGGATTATCTGTTCATGCTTTCCATCTGCACTGTCAGTTGGTATTTAGGAAAACATCACTATTATCTCACATCTCCAGGCCCCGAAACTCGGGGATGGATTGATAATTTATTGTTCATCAAAAGTACACGTGTTACATTTAGAAAATGAAAACTTATCACAAAATAACATAAGATTCACTTTTGCGTAAATTGTTGTTGTAAATGTCAAGTGTTCCGTCTTTTTATTGTTCCCCTCGAGCGCTAAATTATCGTTCCGAATGAGCTATACTTCTTCCCAACTACATTTTTATGTTTAATTGACAATACAAATTCGTAAACTGGTTGATATTTTATTTGATGATTTCTAGTGTTACATACACACGTATGGCTTATTAAGACTGCTTGAAAACATTGCAATTCTAAATGTATGAATCCCGAATCCTCCCTACAATTTTTGGGCAATTTTTCCAAATTTGTTTTAACTACAAGGTTGTAAAAGCCAAAAACAAATCATCAAGCAGACACACAGCAGATCTGTAAGGAATAATGAAAGCTGCACTGGCAATTAAAGCTCCCTTCTGCTCACCTGGGTTGAATAAATGTGTAGAAGTATGAAAATACCTGGATTTGAATCTACACCAGATTCAAGTACAATAGTCGACTGATAGGTAATACGCAAGGTAGGTACTAGAAAAAATATAGTACGTGTTTTAGCACTGCGATTTAAGGTGTAGTAATTTAGAATTAATTAGATAGGTTGTTTTGAAAATGTAGTTTTTATTGTATATTTAAATATTTTCTTTTTTCATGAGCGAGGAACGAGAACAAGGACTTATTTGTCATCTCGAACTTGAATAGTTATTCTACCGGGATACAAAAATGTGGTTTAAAGTAGCCTGGTTCTGTCTCCTGGTGGTTACCATAGTGACATCCGCTCCATTGCCTGCATTGTTGGATACTAAGGATATCCTCAGTATCCATAAAGACATGAATGTCCCTATCACTATGAAACAGGTAAGTTGATTCAACTTGAGAACAACGTGTTTATTTGAACTGTGACGTGATATCGATCTTTTAAGAGATGAAAATAAAAACATGTACGAACATTTAAAATCATATGTTTTCATCTGTATTTAAGGCGGAGAATGAAATTTTGAAATTACCAGCGAACAAAAGGAAGAACACAGATAAACTCGCTTACTATCTATTTGTGGAATACATGCAAGAACTTATAAAATCTGAAGAAAATACAACACCGGTTAACAAAGCAGATGTCGTAAAAATATACCCAACGAAATCTTCACCAGTGTCCAAGGAAACTAGCAATGGGAAATTGATACTCCCCAGTTCAAAAGATGCACTTCTCAAAGCGGGAATTGATGACTTGGATGTATCTCCCACAAACATTATGATCGCACCTACGACACAGAACAATACTTCTGTAGATATACTTAACACGACCATGTCAATCGAATCTGACAGCGTTGAAATAAACCAAACCACTAACAGTTTAGATATGACCTCCTCAGTCAAACCTGGACTTCTATCTACGGTCCAATACAAAGATTCTGTTGATCCTGTTAAAATGACCCATACAGCGGAATATGACAATAGTGACATAACTAGCGTAGCAGTCACAAGTGCCCAACAGGATGTGTCAACCACTAAATCTGTCCTTGCGACTACTCCACAATATGATACTTCTGTTAATACAGTTACAATGTCAATGGAAATTGACAATGCTGAACTGAAAACGGCCAAACCTACAACTGAGAACTTTAATGTACGTAATGCAAACGTTACACAAGTATCAACGACACAACATAATGATTCTTTCATTGCTATTACAACAGGAAACACATCCGTACCCAGTGATATGCAACATGATATCGCAAGTACCACAGTGTCACTGACACTTTGGAGTCCTACTGAAAAACTCACACAAGCACCAGCAGTGCACGATAATGATTCTAGCATTGTTGTTGAAACTGGTAATGCAACTACACTTAATGATACACTACAGGATATCGCAAGTACCACAAAGTCGTTGACATTTGGAAATCCTACTGAAGAACACACACAAGTATCAACACCACAGTATAACGACTCTTCTATTCCTGTTGAAACAGGTAATACAACTATGCCTAATGATACACTACAGGATATTGCAAGTACCACAGAATTTGGAGGTCCTACTGAAGAACTCACACAAGTATCAACAGCAAAGTATAATGACTCTTCCATAGCTGTTGAAACTGGTAATACAACTGTACCTAGTGATGTACTACAAGCTATAACAACTACCACAGAGTCATTGACATTGGGGAATATTTCTCTCACTGAAAAGGTCACATTTTTTGAAACAACCGTGGCTTCAAGGAATAACGACACACTTGGTAATACCGCGAATGAATTTCAAAGTTTGAATAACGGCAAACTTGCTAATAATTCAAAAGGAGATGCTGCACTGCTTGCTTCTAACGGAATAAATACAAAAGGTGGCATTAGCAATCTAACCGATTCACCAGAAGGATTTTCAAAAATGGTAACTGAAACATTCAATAAAAGTTCTAACAGTTCATCCGAGAAAGAACCAATGATTGCGATTGATTCAACAACACACAACTCTGCTTCAAGTACTTCTAAGAAGGAGAGTACATCTGATACATCTGATATTTTTTATCCAGGTATTCCGCCCACTGAATCTGATTCTGTGTCAACACATTCGACAAATCCCTCTGATAAAACATCAAAAAAACCAACACCGAGATCTGATATCGAATGGGATGGGATCTGACAATTAAATCCATTCTCACTTGGAAGGATGTAATTTGTTCACAGAAGATTAATTAACTTTGGTGGGAAAATGATTTAAAATGGTATATACAGTATGATACATGTAATTTTTGAGAAAGAATTATGTGTGACCATTAGTTTATTTAGTGACAATTAGGCCGGGTCAAACAAGTCGATCTAATCTTGATGAATGACATATTTGAACTAAGTCTTTATTAGACAGTCGAAATGCTCAATGACAAAGTGGGTGTCTCACCTTCAAAAGCACTGGTCAGTATCAAGTGAAGATGACGGCCGTAACCTTCGCATCAAAGATGGCGGACGGTAAGTGTCGATTTCGATATTTTTAGTTTTCATCGAATTAAACTACTTTATAGTTGATATAATGCTTTGGTATTTGAACAAAATTAGGCTTTTATGACATAGAAACTGGAATATGATCAATTTTCATATACCATGCGCATTGCGCACCGCAATTTAACGATATCAAAGCCTAACGTCAACTATAAAGTAGTTTAATTCGATGAAAACTAAAAAATATCGAAATCGACAATTGCCGTCCGCCATCTTAGATGCGAAGGTTACTACCGTCACCTTCGCTTGATACTGACCAGTGAAAAGGATGAATATTTTTTGGATATTGTTTGAATATAAATTGAAAATAAGCAATTAGACCTGGTATGTTAAAAAGTATTGTAAATACTGCATTGTATGCTTGTACTCTGACATCCGTGATCTTATAATAGTCAGTAGTCACTGGTGTTAAAAGAAGAAAACTGTTTATTCGGTTTAAAATTTACTTTTTATATCACTTACAAAACATAACTTTGAATCAATTTACAAATGACAACTATAGGCTTGATAAATGATCCAATCACTTCCAAGAAAACAATAAAATCTAACTCGTACGTTGTACGTTGTGGTAATTAAATCCAATTTCTGTTGCCGAAGATAAACATTTTTCTTTGGATAATGTTCTTTTTTGTTTGCCTTATTCATTTGGTGATTCCTTTAATGATTTAATTGCACGTGATATGCATATGAGTTGCCGGAAATGTGTTGAGTGTCCATCCTGATGGCCATAACTTGCTGGATGACGAGGTGATTTGGAAAATTCACGTCCTTAACAGCCATTCCCTGGAAACGTTTGTTGAATCCTAACATAGAACAAACATAGACTAACTCTTTAACTCTGATTTCATGAGTGCGTTGTACCATTTCACCAAGTAGATTCTCAGCGTCTAAGATGATGGGTGTGCCATCTACACTTGAATTTGTAAATGTTTTCAATTTCGCGTCCTCTTGATAAGTGCTTCTTCCAGGATGAACATTATGTTTCTGGTTTAGTCTGGTAATAAATATGGAATGTGTTTGTATCTACAAAGTGTTGTCCTATTTGATATCGGTATTCAGAAACAGTTTGACACGGAGAGTATTGAAAACTTTCATTTCACTGGTTTCACTGGTATTAACTAGCTTTCATAGTCATTCATCGGAATGACAGCCAAAGCCTGGAAAGATATATGTCATGTTTTATTATACCCTTACAATACAATACAATGCTATTATTAACAATCAACAAGTTCTAAATAAATATATCAATGCAAATAATTTTACTGAAGTACAGGGTGTCCATAGCCTATTTACACCTTTCATACTTTGTATTGTAATTGTAAAGATACTTTATGGTCACTGTATATGACAGCCTTTAATTGTTTCAAAAATGTAGACTCTGATTGAATTTGACGATGAAAATTTTTACTTTTTTTAACAACAAAGATGTAAAATCAAAGAACGAATCATCAAGCACCTACACCAGATATACAAGGAAAAATTTATATACCTATAAATTATGTCAAATATGTCGGTCACTAGCCTCTAGAGGATGCTATTGCAGAATTTATTACAGAGATTGAGTAATACATCATTTAATGAAAAAAATGAATGAAAAGTCGTGTCCTTGCGATTAAGGTGAAGGTGAAGTTCTTAAGATGGTCGAGACAGGAAGCACATGTTTTTAGTTTTGTCCATCAAAATTTATTTATTTCAGTCAATGTTGATTCCACTTATCATTTTTATGACCAAGGTCACCATGGTAATAGGAATATAAACACCAAACATATTAGAATAGGCATTTAATGATGACTAACATAAACCCCAAAAACAAACGAGCTGTAGAATTTTGAAACTATCTTAAATATTTAAGGTAATATAACTGTTCTGAGAAGTGCACCTTTTCCTTTTTGTTGCCACTATTTTTTGTTTGAACTATGTTTTCAAAAAAACGATGCTCGTTCATTTTGATATTTGTTTGAAGATTATTATGTGCAATATTCAGTTTTGGATGGGCGTTTTTTCACATACTAATCCCCAAAAATGTCTCAAAGTCTTCATTTGACAATTTTGTTGACCAAACTTCAGTTTCATTGTTTTACAATATTTATATATAATGATAATAATTGCATAAACACTAATGAAACAAAAAAATGACCTGTCGGGAATCGTTTGAAAATCCTTGCGCATTTTCGGTTTTTCTGTGAACTTCATCTTCACCTTAATTAAAAATCTTTCTTGATGTCCTAGCCAGGTGCTGTTTCAAATGGACATATAGGTCTAATGATAGATTTTAAACTGTTCTAAAATAAATAAAAAGAATTAAAATAGCACTTTAATTCAAATAATTTTTCTCTTTAAAATGGTATATCATACTTAGACTATATTTATTGGAATCGAGAAGGTGGATACAGAACAAGAAACTGCAATAAGAGGTGATTACTAAGCGGCTTTTTATTCTGATTAATTTCCCAGTCTTTTAATCATTCTCCCTTTCTTGAAATGAATACATCCCAGGCTTTACATTACAAAATCTTTTGATGTAATGGAAATTACGAAAGGAAGTTATCACATTCCCTCCGTTTTTACGAGGATGCCGGTTTTCGATGTTGTCCCACAGTGTGGTATTAATAAGTCAATGTTCCTGACGATTGATATCAATGTTGTAATAACAAATTAATTTAGTTTTTATTAAGTCCCGAGTGCTTTACTTTTAAGAAACAAAGTTTGTAATGAAGATTTGATGAATTGCCATATTAGCCATTAATAGTGGTCAATTATTTATTCTGTAATTATGTCAGTAAAATTGATATCTGATTTGAGGTAATGCTGATAAATTGCATACTAACCTGTGTTAAAATATGCCACCATTAGCTTGCTTGCACAGGGAAGGATATTCCCCAATAAACAAAAAAGCCAATCTGTAAAGGAACATGAAATAAAATGAATATATCCTTATAGTTCTTGTCACACCATAAACATCCAAAATTTAAAACAGAAATAGCCTATAAAATATGAGACGGTAAGTTGCTCCAATATTATGATGTTGAAACGTTGGGGCATATTGGTGCAGGTAAATTCAACATTTTTATCTCTCCTTTAACTTTATAGAGTTCAGCTTGTATGTCCCGAATCTTTGAATCGATTGTTTATTTGGTATTTTTTGCAAAAAATAGATATATTAAGTACAGAGTGAATTAAATATTTTATTTATACTATGGATGCTTATAAACAAAAAATTAAATCAATTTTCAACAAATAATTTTGAAAAACATTATGCTGTCACACGCGTACTTCGAAGTAGTCAGAAAAGCTTTAGAAATGTATATCAAGAAAAATAGATGACATTTTTACAAAACTGACTAGGAAGATTTATAAAATATAAATTGCTATGACATTCTCTTGGAAATGATGACTTATTATTCAAGTAAAAAGCAAAAAATCTACTTACTCGCACCAGAATATACAAGATAGTCCTTTATGGTCAGATGGAGAGCATTGACTTGTTTCGTATCCCTCAGTGCCAAGCCATTTATTCTTACAATCCGTATTTGAAATGCAATCAATAGGAGTTAATTTGCAATCATAAAATGTTCGTGGGTCACACGATATCTGAGCTTTACAGTTTGAAGCTGTGACAAGAAGTATAGTCCACACTATCACTATGTAACTGACCATCCTGCAACACTGACCGAGGCTTGGAGGTGTCTGGAAGAAAAGGGATCTCCTCATTGTAATGCTGTGTCTATATCATAAAAACCACGTCATTTTATTGCAGAATATAATTAATAGAATACATAATTTTTCTCAAAATTACTAGCGATTTTGTCTACTTGTACTTTTAATTACGATTTTATTAGAGACAACGTTTGCTCACACCAACGCAATGCATTATTGGTAGTCCTATGGTTTGCAGTACTGACAACAGTAATAACATTTATGGCGAATGCAATGAATTTTCAGCGATTAATTATACTGAAGTATAAAAGTCGTTATTTTGTGTAGGATACGTAACCACAAGGTTAGGACGAGCAAATATCAAATATAACGAAATAGGAATCACTCACATAAAATCTTTAAATATAATTTATAATTGTAACACCAAACCGTTTAACTCTTTATGACGTGTTTCTGTCTCGTATAGTGCTATTTTTATGATCATTTACCCTGAGTGAAATCATTTTTGGTTGTCCGTTTAGCAGTTTAGGCGACAGTTGTGCCTACGACAAGTCGGAGATCTTCTCGTTGGAGGAACAGTTGGGGATATTGCCCTTTGGTTTATTCCTGAAGTCCCTGTTGTAAGTATGATTGCCTATGGATACATAAAATAGTATTATGTCAAAACTATAGTTAATTTGCTTGTTATACTATGACACTACAACTATTTGTAGGCTATGCAATTTTCCATAAGCTTTCAAAGAATAGTATCGTCATTACATTTGGTAAAGTCTTGAATTCATGATGAGCACTTTTGATGTGGTGCACAGCAGAGAATATTTGTAGTTAAATCATTAATTTGTGATTTAATAATGTTTACTACTTCTGTAAAAAGTTAACGAACCTCGAAAACTAAAATCTAAGCATTTCGCCAACATATCAACTTATTTCAGGCGTTGGCCTTTTCAATATATGTTCCAGTGGGCAAGAGGATTGGCTCCCAGAATGCAATTCTAATATTTTCCAATAATGAAAATGTTGTTAAATTAATAATCAGCAATCCAAAAGATTTGAGCTCACATATTGTTCACTTCTTATGTGTTTTGAATATTTTGGGTTATGTAAAACCAAAATCGCGTTTCAAAATCAGAAGTGAAAAATGGTGTCTGGAGACCAATGCATTATATCAATTAACGGTTTTTGTAAGTGTGTAAGCAAATATATGCAACATCTTTAAACTATGGCTAAGTTCATGAGCATAGACGACTGATTTCACTTCATTTACAATTCTCATTCAGTTCTTATTTTCATCTTTAATTTTTACAGAAAGGTGAAAAATATATGGTGACAGAAGTAAAAAATACTTCTTTATTTATAGTCCTTATTGAATGAAATATACGTTCGTTTCCAGTTCTTCAGTAATAACCACGCAAATAACCTTATTACTATCATTAGCATTTTTGTGTGGCTTCTATAATTACAGTTAGACGTGACAAAATCATGTCAATTTGTATTGTGCGTAAGACTCGAAACCATTGGTAAAAAACAATGTCCAATATTTATCAAATCATATAATATTAAAGATGTACTAAAACTGTTCTCAGATCTTCTCATTAGCTTGTACTTAGCACAAATAACAACTCTTTTGGTATATTAACTACAAAGCTTGTGATATTTCCCCACAAAACACGATTTATTGTGATAAGACTGTCAACCTCTGAAATGTCCCCGATATTATTTGGAAGTACTGATGGTTCACCCGTATGGCCTTCATACGGTAAGAAAGTATAGATATAATCTAAGTCGAGTAAAACGGTTTTAGCATGTCTTTAAAAAACAGCGGGGATAGAGAGTGTAAAATGTTATTAGCAATTTTCAAAATGTACCCCCAGATTTCCATGACGACCTAAAGGACCTCGTTGGGTAAAGCAACCAATTTCAGAATTATATTTTCAATTGTTGACATCTCGGCACCATGTAAACAGTTCTGTCTCTTAGCTCCATGCATTACATGTACCTCTAAATAATGCATACAATAATAGTTCACAGTCGTTCTCTCTGATATGAAGGTGCACTCGACACTGGTTCATGAATGTCTATATTTGCTAGTTTATATCGAACGGACTATGTAATGAGGTGGCATCAGCAAATATAAATGTTTTTGATACTAGAGCAACTGGTAAGTCATTAATGTAAATCAAAAACAAAAGGGGCCTAGAACTGACTCCTGTGGTACTCCGGCATTAATCTCATAGCTCTTAGTATTAGAGTTGTCACTTTATATTTGGTCATCTGTTTCTTGACCATGTTGACCAGAAGACCAATCAGATACTTCTATGTTGTTATTACTAATTAATAACGTTGAATAATTGTTGTTACAACTATAACCTTTGATTTTGTTAGCAAAAGGTCATCAGGAACAACATCAAATGCTGAGCTCAGGTCCAATTGGGTAAGTGTTTCCTATGTTATTTCCTCATAGAGATAGGCTTTATCTCATTTTGGTCAGTTTAATTTCCGTCTCTTTAAAGTTCAACAACAAAAGCCACACATGTGAACCACACATGAGATGAATGTGAAGGTTAGTTTTCTAATATGATCGCATATATCGTGAGAAAACATGGCATCTTCTCTCTTTCATGATCTTAATGAATTGTTACCAGCAAAGGCCAGCCAATCATAGTATTTTGGAAACGGTAAAACACTAATCCAGCCAGCCTTTGTTTATGGACTATTGACAGTTTCATTCGAATTTGATGTTCATTTTGTAAGGTGTTGACATCTATAGTAATAAAATATCAAAGATATAACCATTACGCTGAAAACTGTCAGATTAACTTAGATCAGGAAGATGTTCATATTATCTTGTGTTGCAAGACAGGAAGTATCAGAATGACATGAATACAAATTGGAAGAGAATAAGGAATCCTTTAAAATTGAAGGCCTGCCAAAATTGAAATTGAAATCCGTATAAAATGTTACAAGATAGATGCATAGGCATTACCCTTTGTATTCGTTCGACTTCCCTTCTTAAAAGAGAGCTTCGTCTTCAAGAGGACAGTTTATAACTAGACACGCAGGGAACATGGGCATAACGCAATATAAACAATCGTAATCGAACATGGGCGTCATCTGTACACTAACTACTAATATAAATTGATCTTGTGATACTTGCACAATAAACAAGATCATATACACAAAACTTCAGCAAAAAGTCTTAAACACACAGCAAAGTCTTTTTCAAAAAGATAAAAACATTTGCAAAAAGACTTACCCTCTGGTTTATATCATCCAGTATCCTTTCTTCAATAAACAATTAGTCCAACTGGAATCATGGTGATGGGTTTCTTTTGTAATTTTTTATTACTGTTGTATTTCATTTATGGATTTGATGCTCGCAATATCTATCGACTGGTCTTGTTTTATAGACGTTATATTTTCAGATATATTCATAGGAGTTAAATGTTAACTAATATTTATGGTGTGTTACTCTGGAAATTAAATAAAAACGTTTTCTACGTAATCTTACGTCAGTGTTGTTACTGTCTTCATAAAAAGCTGTTTTTGTAGATTTAGGGCCTCTTCAGCTCGCCCAGACCTAATCTCTACCAAAGCACTAAATGTTTATTCTGTCTTGATATTATACCGATTGCGCACTTCTAGCGTTTCAAGTCCTTGGTGGGTGTGATTTGTTGGCCCATAGAATGTTTAGGTGAATAATGGTGAGTGCAACTGGTATTTTGATTTCCTTGTCCTAATAGCTAAACACTATTGGCTCCCAGTATAATTTATCATTTAATTTGCGTTTGTAGTTTTGCAATAAACGCTTGGCTCCTTTCTCGAAGATTTATTGTTCCTTAACACAAACTATAATTCTGATATGAAATAGATATTAACTGAGATAATGTGATAAGTTCCAGTGGCGACACCTCATCTGTCTACGTACGTTGACTTGTTTTTCCTAATATCGTTCTCTATTATTTTTATTTCTCCAACACGTGTCTAATTTCTCCCCTGAATAATGTTATGTCCATTCAAAATAATCATATCAGCTCATGCTAATTCAGATTTATACAAGCATAAATATTTTCGACATAATGTAATAGAAATCTTATTGCGAAATTGTCTAATTAGACGTGAATGGACATTTAGAAAATGTTTCATCGTAGGTCCTTAGTTCAAATTACTATTGCAAATAATTCTTGGAAATGTGTTTTTGAGGTGAAAATCATTCCTCATTAATAGAAGACCCTTCTAAGCTAATGATATAAACATGCCATTAATAGATTGGAATATAAATAGCAACCACCTTAACATATGACATTTGAACGAGAGCGCATAAACAGCAACATATAGAAACACATAACAATCGCATAAATCTTGCAAGATCTTGAATTAAATGTCCAGGCTTCCTTCAAAAACAAATCGAATAACCCAGAATTCCTGAAATGAGCAAAATATTTATATTATCCCAAGGTTTAATCAAAGCCATTGGGCATATGAAAATTTGCAAATGATGTCACCATTTGCGATTTAAGACTTTGATTCCGGAAACTTGGGTTCACGAATTAGTCAAAGCGATAAAACAAGGATATTATTCATCGTATATAATAAAGTTATTCCGCGCAAATCTCTAAGGTTGGTTTATTTCATAAAATATTCATTGGTAAGTAAATTTTGTGTCATTTGATCATCATCGTAGAAAAGGCATTGTATGAAAAGTTATATGTTTCGTGTAGCCTATTGGTAAGAAAACTGGAGGATTCTTAACATCTTGCATCTAAAATCATTCAAAACCAATAAATGTTAAAAATGAGTATTTTTCATGTAATTGAAAATAGCTAGAACTAAAATGATTTTTTATCATTGTTTTATGTATTTTAAAATAAAATGCCTTTATCTTGATTCGGTCAGCATACTTATTGATCACTCCGGTTGTAAATAACTTTGATAACTCGCGAATAAGTTGTGAATTTCGTGAATTTTGTTGATGTAACGGGACAACACGCCCGTGAACACATGCCATATCTCACTTATAAATGGTCGCATCTTTTCATTTTGGTTCTGTTGGCATAGAAAACATTCAGTCAGAGTGTGATGACAGCAGTGTATTTGCTTCTCACCTACTACCGATTATATGTACCCATTATAGTAAATGTAAAATTTATTCTGTGAAAAACGTCACGGTCGTTAAAACAGGCCCAGACGGCAGAAGGGAAACTCGAGATAAATAAATTGTCCGTGGTTATCAAGTCTTCAGTTCAGTTTATCAGACCATTGTGTTACAAATCGTGATAACAGTTGTGATTGAATGATAATGAGCATGATCTGAAAAATTCTGAAAAATCACCGTTTTGCTTGTGAAAAACGACCATGATGTTACTCGTATATTGACAGTAGTCTTGTTGGAAATGGGACACATTTCGAGAAAAACAACGTGTCCACTCCATCATAACATAAAAGGATTTTCGAAATAGCCAGCATTACCCGATCTATGAACTGATAATTTGCGAAACTGTGACAATCGTCACGCGTGAAAAACGTCACGGTTATAGCATTGAACTCAAAGCAGTAATACGCCATTTTTATAAATCCCAGATGGATTGGTTTAATTTTATATGATGACCCATATTCTTAAAACACATGTTTAACAGTTATTCAGTAATTACGCATAAAGCTCAACTCATAGACAAGGAAACGATAACGGCTAACGAATTTGCCATTTTGTAAATGTGCTTTTTACATTTTATACGTCTTTACAATAATATGTAACATGCAAGCAAATGACAAGTTATTTGGGAATTCCGTAAGCATAATTTATCGGAAAAGTCATAACAAAAAATGTAATATGAAGACCATTAAAGCCCAAAATATTTGACCCTCAGTAAATAACGTTTCGTTCAGTGTATTCCCGGGGATCGCTGAATTCAATCATAAAGTCCCTTAATATTTGTATTCTGATTTCTTTTCAATGGATGCAATTATTATTAATGGAGAACAGCATAAACCGAAACCCCTAGTTAAGTAATATGAACGATTACAGCTTTTCAACGATGCTTTTGTGTTATAACCACTGATTTTTATTTCAATTCCATTTGCACGATCTGTATATGATCTGTAATATTCAATATGCCTTTGCGAAACGCAATTCGTTGGAAAAGAGACAGAGAAAAGCAAAAACTAAGCAATGCCCGAGAATATTAAAGAAAATGTAAGGCAAGCAATGCAAAAATACACTCCTCTTTGAAATATATCGCCAACCGACAACAAAAAGAAATAGGAAACACAAAATGCACGCTTTGAGAATGGAGGCAACAAAGCGAGATTAATTCTTTCAAGGTTCTCTTTCTCTAAAAACAAAACCGGGGTAACGCATTGCACTGAACATTAAACTTCCAGAACTTCAAAGAAAACTGAAAATCACAGGAAAGAATTGAGTTTATGCTTAGAGTTATGTGATGTGATATCAGAAACCGTTGAAAAAGTATCGAGTCTGACAAAAAATTCGTTCTAGGACTGCCGACTTATTCTGACAGCAATAAGAACGTTTTCAGTTGCCATAAAAATGTCCTTGTGATGAGATCGGGGCATCGAGGAAGCGCTCCGCAGACCAAAAGAAAATTTCATATTCACAGTCCAGCATCCTCCGATCACAGGGCTTCAAAATCCAGAATATATTCTTTCTTACGGATTCTGGATACCTGCTTAGGAGGATGCAGTCCAGATGATTTTCATGCTTTGGCTACGTCAGACTTAAAAAAAAGTCAGCAATATCATTCTTATTTCTTTCAAATGATTACGAACAATCAAGTATATGTAACAGATTTTAAATGAAAAAGTCTCTCTTGAAATTTGAAATCTTTAAAAAGGACTTTTCTGATGCATGATTGAATGCCGTTAATGTCATTTGGGATGAACATGTATGGTTGCCCTGCTGTTTGCGGTGCATGCAGAAAAGACTTCACTACGTCACCCTGCAGCTGGTCTATACCTATAGTAAAAGTTTCTCAAATTGTAAAAACAAATCGAAATCAAAGTGTCTTGCCTCATATACTATTAGAGATTAAAAGAGAACTAGGGTGATTGCAATTGGGTGCTTGAGAACATGGCATTTGTACCATCGATATAAAATGTAAAAGTGCTGGTTTCTTGAATCAGTTAAAGGTTTTGGTTAAGTTGATTTAAAAAAGATAATGTGGCGTGCACATAGTTATTGAAAATAGAAAAGATGTGCTCAGTACATGTAAACTATGATTGCATATGAGTCCACAAATGTCACATGTACGTATACGTAACTGCTTTTTCCTTGGAGATAGTGAAACACGGCACGATTCTGCTATTCACTGATTCATGGTTTATGTCGAGTTTTGACGGAAAATTAAACATGAATGTGATAATATAAGACACAAATACAAACTTGTTTCTCAATTCAGCTAGCTATAGTCATCAAAAATGCCCATTCGTGAATTAAGACTTCTCTTAAGTGAACATATAACTCATTGTCATTTGTTTCCAATTTTCTTGTGAAAATCGACACGCGGAAAAAAGGTGAACCAGCTGAATGATCAATGCTCCCCAAATAATTTTTTTTATCATTTTCTATTCGTCTAAAGCATCATTTTTCATGATCGAATCGATTCATGTTCCAATAGGGTTGACCCCTTTTAATTTTACTTAGATAAAAAACACAACGTATGAAAAAATCGAGAAAAACGATGGATTCGGATGTTTCATGTTGACAAGTGATGCACATCAAAAGGGAAATACTTAGAGTCCAAATTCATTTATGATTTTAAAGGACAGTAGAGTAGCATAAGGAAAGCCATTGGCTTTTTGAAAATGCTGCACTCTAATGTGAATATCTTGGCATATTAATCACGGACTGAAAATGTGAAAATCGTCACGTTTGAGACGGGCCCTAATTTCAATTTGAAATTCCACCTATTGTTCCTCGGAGTTTACTTCAATGCTTTGGGTAACGTGTGTATAAATGTATATAGATACATACTACATGTCTATTTGAAAAAATAATTTTAATGATTTTTTGAATTTTTAACAAAATTTGTTTCACACTTAAGCCGTTTTCAGTGTAATGACAAGTTTAAGTTGTTCTCTTCATTACTCGTTGTGCTTTCCTTATTTTCATTTAACATCTTTCTGCCTTCAACTAGAAATCTATAGGGTAGCTAGTAGAAGGCCATGATTTCTCATGATGAGTCTTTGGCTACATGTGGTGCTTTTTCGTATCATAAGATGTATTGACAAGCCTTGTGCGTTTTAATATTGATTTGTGGGTTTTTTATAATGCTGTCCTGTTTTTGTTAAACAAATAGCGTGTCTACTGTGGCCTTTAGATATAGAAACCTAAAGGTATTTACAATCCTACAACTGTTATCCATCATTTTCATGAACTGTATTGTGTCCTTGTCCGGACTCAATAATGGATCATGAATAAAAAATTAAAAAAGGTTAGTCCCATTTGCTATTTCGTTTGACGATAACAAAAGCAGTAATTAAGGAAGAAACCCATTATATTTCATTTTATTGAAAAATCAGGGTTTCTCTGAAAAGCGGATTTGTGTAATTATATCTTGTGACAGATCACTCTTTTTATAGTGGTGAGTAATGTTAGCGATGTCAAGAAAGTAGGAAGGGGTGACAAAAAAGCATGTTTTTTGCAATCAAAACATCACATGCAATGTCGCAATCATGATCGCTACTCTACATAATACATTACATAATGCGAATATATCTGTATCTTAATTAATTTTCAGATGATGATGGATCATGATGTCTTGTCCAATCTTGATGTTCAGGGTCACACTAACCGTTATGAATTCGTCTTTGAATTTTCATAGTTATTAAAAAGGCATTCACACAAAGCTAAGCAAGGTATGTCCGATTCCAGCCGATCCGATCACAGTTTTTCATATAACTGCACTGCATTATATAACCAATCGCCACACCTAAGGTCATTCGTTGAATGGTTGTCAAGGTGACAACATGACTCTACAGATTGAAATTAATGCTTTGCCACCACAAGCAAATATGTGTGAATACATGATATCTTCGTTTTGTCAATTTCACGACTAATTGTGCATTACATCAAGAATTATTCAGTTCGAAAAAATACAAAATCTCCCCACTTTGTTTGTCTGGGAGGAATAGGATTGAATAGGGTTTCCACTAGAAAAATATTTTAACCACGTTCATTTATTTTTTTCAATTGATCAGACAATTATGATGGTGTCATGCGCACAATATAAGATGGCGCTAAAGAGTCAACATTTAGATCTACAATTTTCAAGAGCGGACTTAACATGCAGGGTCGAGGGTTAGGGGAATGGTAGTCTAGAGCTTGGTAGGGATACAGGCCACCATCGTCGCTCTCCACTGGGTCTAAGTTAGGAACAACTGAAACCTTGTGAACTAAGAAGAGACCACCGCCATTTCCATAAATAATTATTTTAATATCGCACTAGTCTTTAAGTAGCTTATCGTGAATCAGGAAATTTGTGCGAATATATCTCAAGGCTAGATTTATTTGAACGAGTCGTATTCGCACGCTCGATCCCACTAAGAACGCGGTGAACGGAATGAACAAACATGTGATAGAGAGTCACATTTCGTGATACCAATGCTGAATTCCCACGAGCTCGATCGTGCTAAAATAAAATAAGCGATGATGGGGGTTTCAGTCATCTTTGGAAATCCAAGATGAGTGAAACCCATACTCGTTTCGCAGTTTGAAAATCAAACTGGGAAACGAGTATGGGTTTCAGTAATAGGAAATTATAATCGAATTTTTATTACCCTTCGTATGATATCTAGTAGATACTATCTACGAACTTCTACTTTACTCATAGATATTACACCAGAAATAACATTATTTTGATAGGTAAATCATATACATGTATGTTTTAAAGGTCATGTCAAAAAGGCTATAAAATATAAATTAATTAAGAATAGATTATCATATTGATAAATAAAGAAGGTGTGTGTCTGTGTGTCAACAAATAATGTATCAATGTTCCATTTCTCGTTATAGAATACAGGGTTACCAAACCAGATTAAGTTATTCAGGAAGGGCAGAGTGGAAAAAGATCAGCTTCTATAGTGTCATATGAAGTGGTATCAAAATTGTTCCACTCGTAGATACCTTCAAGATAAGCACTGGTAATAGGCCAATTTATTAAGTTGAAAGTGAAGGTGCTACCACCATAGACAAAAGAGTAAAGTAAAATAGATATGGAGAAGAGTTGGTTTATTTTCATCTTTTGTTTTATTACATGCGCGTTGGGATCAAGTTACAGTTCGCTTCGAGCATTAAAACACGCTGCTGTATCGACTGAAGGGAATGTCGCACCTCTCCTTAATTTGGAAAAGTTCAAAGATGCATCAAAGAAATTAGAAAATGTCTTCACTGTTGAACCACCAGTAAAAAGCGGCTACTATCTAAAACAGCCCAACTCTCGGTATCGAGTACCACAAGAAGTTGGCTTGACAATCAGGAGAGAGCTTTTGAGTAATCCTGACAAATTGGAAAGATTAAAAGAAAAATACAAGTCCCGGGATAAGAAATGGATGGATGCAAGGAATCAGAAACCTGAAAACGTGAGCGATGCTTGCTGGTCAGACTGGAGCAAAATGAATCCCGCTGACGTTCTTGATATGCCACCATGGGCAATTGAGAGTATGTATTGCTACTATTATTTGCTTCTGAAGTATGATATGAAACGAAATAAAACTAAAGTCGCTTGGTGCTTTTCTAATAATGCCTTTTATGCTTTTTATCAGTGTTTGATGCGAGTGGCAAACTGCCTCCTGGTATCTTGCAAGGAAATCTCCATTTCGTGGGTAGCTTTGACCAATGTTTTGATATCCGAGATAACATCACGGATGATGGTTCAGTGAGGGAGGTACGTGGCAAGTACTGCACTGCCGAGGAGATACTAGACTTACAATTAGATGTTCCGATCTTAGACTTAAAGTTAGACCTCGCAGTAAGTATATGCTCAATTGCAAATCTTGAAACAATTTTGAAACAAATGCCTAAAAGTAGGCAAAAACTACGTTACTATTTATTATATATTTTTCACAATAGGGAGTTTACCTACACGTTTTAAGAGAAATTATACGTGAACGTGTAGAATTATTGTTCTCTGATGATAAGTTCTCCCCTTTCAAGCATTTTTTGCCCAATAAGTCTAAAGTTCAAAGAAAAATAGTTACTTTTATGTCCCTGGAAAAAACAATTGAGAAGGGGACAGTAATCCCTGGGGTTTTATATAATACACGTTAACGTATAAATACTCTTAAAACGTGTAGCTTAACCTCCCTCATTGTACGTGATTGAGGTGATGTGATCGTGTGATGTTGGATCTCGTAGGTTGGGATATAAATCCAGTTCTGCAATTCCAATTAAAGTGACCTTCACAGACTTTAGAGGCTGAATTTGGGGATTTCAAGAAATATTTTTCAAGAAAATAGTCTTACCTTTCTATTAGGATGGGTTCAGGTGCCAAAAATAGCTGACCCATGAATATATATCATTTTGAAAATTGGAAGCAAGAATTTGGTTTTGGAGGCCACGTTTGACAGGAAATAGATTCACAAAATGAAAACTGGATTAACAGCATTAATTCTGAATTTTGCTTAGAATATTTACTCAGATATGTATTCTAATATATTATTAGCATGATTATTGACTACTCTTTAATAATTGTGGTGAAGTGATAAAACCTTTTTCTAAAATTAAGAATGGATATTAAAAAATACATCCTCAAAGTCTAGCTGAGGCTATGGCAAATCATTTTCTTTTTTTCTTTATTTCCGAGCCACAATATATTTTCTTTATCTCATTTATGGCACAGTGTCATATTTATTACTTTTTGGGGTTTTAAAATATAGGTAGAATGTCTGTGTGTGGCTTTAACATTTTGATTAATTTCAAATTTTCAAGGATGCTTCGTTGTATGAGCGGACAAACAAAAAAGGTGGGTGGGGTTAATTCTTTCATAATTTCGAGATCGCGTTTCAGGCAAGGAATTCATGTTATGTTCAAAAGTGCCTCTTGGTTAAAAAGTCTAGACTTTATTAGTTATATGGCTTGATGTGATGTTATGTCATATTTATGTCTTGTTCAGTTGGTGTTCTGGATAGGGGAGTGCATTCCTCAAAAATGCAATGATTCTGAGTTGAACCAACTACTGAAAAACGAACTGAAACCCTCTACTGAAGACTGTGGTGAAGATTTGATAAGCTGCATCGTTCAGGAAGGTATGTGCGTTTTTATCTCAATGCGAATAACATTCTGTTTTTCTAATGATATATTTACTTGTTTTGTCCCTTAGAACAATATACAATGTAGGCATTTGCATCCAACAATATATACGTATCTTAATCAAGTTATTGCAAAACAAATGCCCAAATATTATTTTGAAATTGTATACATAATTTCTGTATCAGTGACTATTGTTATCCATTTGTTTTAGTGATATACGAGTACACGAGTTTTGACAGCTTCTGCAGGGTCCGATTATCCAGTGACAATGACCCATATGTGTCGATGACATTGTAAATATTTATACTTTCAAATCATTAATTAATAATCTCTATCATTAAAATTTGAAAAATGACTTTGATGAAGTGGTTTTGAAGGTCATTGATAGTAAGGTCAAGTGTGTTGCAAATGCTGCTGTTAGACATAGATAAATGGTCCAATCAAACATATAAGAAATATGTTTTATCTTTAGTTCAAAATTTAATTGACATTAATATCCGGGCCTCTTTGTAAACGATGTAGCATTGACGTTGAATTTATCACTTTTATGTAAGCCAATGAGAGAAAAGATCTCCATGTGGCCATATAAGGATACATTGAACACTCAAAAAAAAGAAAAAAAATGATATTGATTATTCATTCAGAATAAATTAGGCAAAAAAAGTCCATGGTTTGAAACTTCATTATTCACATCTAATTGGAACAATTACTACGTGTTTTCCAGAACAATAGGATGTACACTCCCCTCCATAAGTTTGACAACCGGAAGTCAACTCACAAAGCCTGTTAAAATATCATCAAATGTGTCACTTTACGAACTATCCATTCCAAACTATGTTATCAAAGAAAAATGAAGATTCAAACAATGACAGCCTTTAAGAGGGGGAGAACCCCCAGGGTTCAAAGATGAGATACGCTTATAATGTAAATCTGTATTGAGATGACATCGTCGCTGATTGGTTGAGCGAGTCGATCGTTGATTGGTTTAAAAATAGGTCAATTTGAAAACTTTGAAAACCAAGATGGAGGGTAAACAAATATACGTACTTCCGGGAAAGGAGGTGCGCGACATGGGAAATCGTATGTCATCAATTGAATCATGAGGTTTCCCCTCCTCTTACAGCCTTTGATACACTATCCAATCAAAACTTCTGGCTGCCAAACTGGTTGTGAACCTGCCATCTATCGTGATGTTTCCCACTACTTTCTATTGTACCGTCAGGAATTTTATTGAATGTTGCAGCACATGCAGTAACATAAACTAATTCACATTTGTTTTAGAATTATAGCAGCAGTATTAGCATTGCTGGTTATCGTGGCGACAATATTTGATTGGTGTCGTATAACAGCATATGGTAAGATTCCAAGTAGGCATTTCCGTGACATTTGGCGTCATGACAACGGTTCATTCACCTCCTTTCCTAGAGATCAACAAATCAGGAAACGAATATCATCGGTTGCCAGTAGCAGTTCCAGCAACGTTAGCTACTTCTTAGACAAATCAGGGGAACCACCACCATACAGCAGTATATATGTTTTATCGGATTTGAAACAGGGAAACGTGCAGAGATCAGTAAGCGAAGAATTCGCCAAAGGGGATGTTGCTGCCAAAGGGACGTACCAGGCCCCAAGTAAGAAAATCCAGTGTTTTAATGTGTTGTATGCCCATTAAATCATTCTGAAATTATATGATTGCATAACTGCTGAACCATTGCTATCCAGTACCATTTCTGGCCTGCTGTGACAAAATGTATCGCTTCTTCTTTACACTGAACGATATATTTATGTACATGTGATGCTTTCAGACAAGATGGAAAGACTTGCTCTTACATTCTCCGCCTATACAAACTTTAAGAAAATCTTGACTGGAAAGCATGCCCCGGGATCCTTTCAATGTCTCCATGGGATAAAAGTACTTAGCATGGGATGGCTCATCTTTGCCAATACACATTTCTTCGGACTGGTGTTTGCGGAGAGTTGGACGACCAGTATGTATAATATAATTCAGTCACAATTGAATTATGATTTACTTTTTATGTATCTATTTGTGATTTATTATTCAACACATTTTTAACCTCTTTTTAGTTTCATTTCCTAGCCTTTACTTGATTTAACTTGTTTATCAGCTGTGGGTAATACTTTTGTTTGAAATAACATATTTTGCATTTTCGGACATGTGAAATTCTACACTATACTGAGTTAATGGCATCCGTCCATTTCAGAGAATCTATTACCTGCACTGGATAGGATCAAATTGTACACTTTCCAACCAATTTTGAACGCCTATCTATCCGCCGATTCCTACTTCATGATGGCGTAAGTTGATATGATATCACACAAATGTTGGGATCCTTGCTTAAAAGTTTTGAATAATTTATACGTTTGTTTGTCTAAGTGTATATGATATTTAGCTCACGAAATACTATAGTTTGGTACACGGATCCCGAGCCAGATCCAGTCCCCATTGGTGGTAGGTTTTATTGAGCCTAGAGACCAATGGGAGAAATCTGACCGAGGTCCGTGGTTTGGTATTAATTGTCTAATACTACATTTTTCCTAGGTTATAATTTTGTAACACTAGACATTTTTATATGTAAGGATGTTCTTCAGAATAATAATTTGCTTGGCTGTCCTTTTAGTGGAATGATTCTGACATACTCATTCCTGCACTTCCTGAATCGAAAGAGGGGAAAGTGGAACGCGAGGAAGATATTCACAACAGCAGTACATTATATATTTCATCGCTGGTGGAGGTATGGTTTCTACAATGTTTTTATGGCCAGTGATGTTCATTACGGCCAATGATATTTATTTTAAGACCATGTTGCATTACAAGCGTTGCATTAAAAAGTATTTATATTAGCTCTAAAATGTTCATTTTCTAACTGTTCTTAAAAACGTTGACTTCATGAACTTCCACTATTCCTCTAGGCTGAGCATGGTATATTGGTTCTTGATGGCGTTTTATATCAACTTTCAACCATACAGTTCATTTGGACCCCTTAATCCCCGCATGGTCACTGACAGAACCAACTGTCTCACACGGTGGTGGAAGAATATTCTCTATATCAATAATATTGTCAGGGACAGAGAGGGGGTATACTATACACTACACTACATTAAACATAATATCTTGGTTATAATAATGTGTATCTGTTAAATATATGAACTATTGTCTTTCGGTGTAGCATCAATTTTTTGTTGGATAATAGACAGAACTAGACAATTTTAGAAAAACACAATACATACAAGAATCCGGTGACGCAATGGATACCATTTATTTTTGTTTGATAATAAAATAGAACAGTTTTAGAAAAACACAATACAATCCATATTTGTATAATCTATCAAATGAATTAGGTAATATGATGTATTCCATTTATTTTCTAGTGTATGCAGTACTCGTGGTTTATGGCCTGTATTATGCAGTTTTATTGTGTATCTCCGCTGTTCTTGGTCCCACTTTTCTAGTATGTACTTACTAATATAGTAAACAAATAAAAAATAAACATTTCTTGGACTTTCTTAATTTTATCAAAGAAGTTCTGATGTGTTTAAAGCGTATTGTAGGTAGGTACTGTATATGGTTAATCATCCATGACTGGACTACCGTGCATAGAGTAGATCATCTTTTCGACATGGACATTACCAATTGCTTGTGTCCATACATTTTTTCAATTCTACCTTTGTAGTTTTCCCCTAGTTGGAGTTTCGTTGCTGGCTCTTTTATTAGCAGGTAACCTCACAGCACTTGGGGTTCTAAATAACCGACTAGAAACAACATATAGTGGGTAAGTAAATAAAACAGTTTTAAACTGGACGTTTGTGTGTTTTCTGTTCGTTTTAATTGAATTTCAAATACTGTCCTTCGGTCTTTCGCATTTGTTATAACTTCGCATTGCAATTGGGTAAGATGTCCGTGATGACTTAAGATATCATGATTGTGCTTAACTTTCAGAAATAACACGAATAATATAGCAGGATACAATGCAGATTTCAACTTTGATATTAATATCAAGCCATACACCCGTATTGGTCCTTATGTTGTTGGAATGTTAATAGGGTTTATACTCTATAGGTATAAATGCCAGTTCCCAAAAGTCAGATTCCCAAAGGTAATCCAAATTCATAATTCAAATCAAATCATGTTCCTATCTCATCAAAGTATTCTACTGTATGTTGCATGCATACATCAGAAATAGAGAGCAATAATTGCATACGTTTCAGGGCGTATACCAAATAAAATAAAATAGAATCCGTGTAATTTTAATTCTTGCCATGCTCCATCTCCTAAACATTTAATGATCAAGCATTATCCCAAAGACATGCGTACACTTCAACATTGATAAAAAGGTGTTTATTTTCGCTAAGAACTTGCTATCAGTGAATGTATTGTGCATCGGTGGCATAAATTTTCAGACGTTGAACATCATCTGTTGGATCCTTGCTATTGTGTTATGCAGCACTGTTGCATATGGCACATATAGCAAGAACATGGAGAATGGGACAGACTGGACGAAGACACAGACTGTGGCATATGAGACTTTGGTTCACCTGACATGGTCCATTGGTCTAGGTTGGATCTGTTTCGCATGCATCACTGGTTATGGGGGTGAGAACTGTTTGGTAATGCATTCAGATTCGGGCTTTGATCCATCATAATTATCACCGCTCTCTTTCTCAAGTCTGGATGTTTTCTCATGTAAGAGAACTACATATCCTACAAAATGACCTCTTTGGTAACAGCCTTATTGTTGTATCTATAAAAACATCACATGTCGTTCGCTTTTCTATAGGAGTAGCCAATAGTATACTCTCATGGAATGCATTCTTACCTCTAAGTAGACTGTGCTATGCTGTTCACCTGTTACACCCCATAGCTATCAGTGCGTTCATATACGACCAACGGGATACTGTCATTATTACTGACGCAGAATTAGTAAGACCTTTTCGTATATTATCTCCTCTTGAATCATGTTTGATAGCCAAATTTCGTTTAATATATTATGTTTGAGAACAAACGATAATATAACAAAAACCTGTTACGGGCAGTTTCATTCTTTTGTAATACACTGGTAAAACAAAAATTATGTAGGCTGCCGGACTACTTTGGACGTCACAAATAATCATCAACTTATTTTACTTAATTCAAGCAAATGTGGTGGTTGTCTCACGTGGGCTATTCACTTGGTACAGGCTTTCTTACTGCAATTCTGGTCGAATGGCCCACCCGGGAACTAGAGAAGGAGATCCCGCTTCAATGGAGGGTCTGGCGAAAACCGGATTCAGTCTCTTTGGACGATATGAAAAAGTCGTAATTGAACATTATATTTGTGAATTCATTTATATTGTACATAGAATCATATCTAATTTGCATATAACCAACAAACTATGACTGCAACTGTTAATGACTTTGACTATTTCAAAGTAGACATCCTCGAAATATAGGGCTACTATAGTGAACTCTACTATTTGGCCTATTTCACAATATATATTATGTATTCTTCCTCAATGCCACGATAACTGTGTAACTCAGTATATGTATACGCATTGAAGGCCCGATTGATGGTTATGTATCATTATTCAGATACTATACTAGTAAGGGAGAGCGGGGTAAGAAGGGTCTTTGGGCAAAACGGGCCACCGAGGTTATTTTATCGTTTTAAAATATATATCGCCTGACAGGGGATCGATATGGCACCAACCTCACCGATATCATTCTTGATTTTGTTTCATTTAAAATCCAAATTCAAACGGTGGCACTTTTCCTCCAAAGTGGCCTTGCTTGCGCCATTTCTGTAAGTCCGTGGTAAAAACCTACGATTCATTCAAAATAGTTATTTGATAGAACGGCCTGTTTTGTAACACTGGGGTAAAATGTCTTGCCCCACACAAACCAATTCCCTCAATAGTAAGAAGCACATTTGCGATTCAGAAATTTATTTCAAGTCAAAGTTAATACCATTGTGTTTAGAAAACCAATTTTACTTGTTTCACATGGCTTCAGCGGACAGAAACCCTAGCAAAATATCTTCACACGTCGTTAAAAATGACTGCCCTTAGGGGACCCGTCTTGTCCCATTGTCCCCTTACAATTACTCACTAGCATCTGAGACGGCATGCACGTTCGCTTGATATGGTCGAAATTCCAAAGTCGAATGTCGGCTAAGTGGTTTCACATTTGAATTTTTGAAATGACGATTCTTCCCTTACAATAAAATTGTTAAGTAGTCCCAGAGGCAACCAAGCAATATTAGACAGTAGGCCTATTGGCGTGTGTTTTCTAAACAAAACAAACAAACGACTGTCCTAGCAACTAGATAAGTGATAAGCTATATGACGTCATCGTCAGTGTAAGTGTGGCGCACGTCATAAGGTGAATGGTCGAACTTATATATGACGTAAATATATCACGTGATTGGAAACAGAAGTTGCCACCTAAACACTCATTGTATTTCAGATGTGAATAGGAAGTCTTGCAACGTTTACGCGTATTGGAATATATACTTTTGAAAATATTTATGAAAGAAACAGGAAATAGGCCACATAACTGAACACTCATCGTGTTTCAGATGTGAATAAGAAGCCTTGCTACTTTCTTACGCGTATTGGAATCGGGATTGGAATAGATACTTTTAGAAATATTTATGAAAGAAACAGGAAGACACGAAACAGAATACTCATCTTGTCTTCAGACGTGAATAAAAAGCCTAGCTACGTGCTTACGCCTACTGGAATAGATAATTTAAGAAATATTTCAGAAAGAAACAGAAAATAGGGAAGAGACAACTGAACACTTATCGTGTTTCAGACGTGAATAAGAAGAGATAAGAAGCCTTTGCCATGTTCTTACGCGTATTGAAATAGACTGATTATTTCAGAAATATTTAAGAGAGAAACAGAAAAATAGGGAACGAAACTGAACACTCATCGTGTTTCAGACGTGAATAAGAAGACTTTGCCAAATCCTTACGCGTATTGGATTAGATAATTTATTTAAGAAATATTTAAGAAAGAAAACAGAAAAATAGGCCACGTTACTGAACGCCCATCGTGTTCCTGACGTGAATGAGAAACATTTGCCATGTTCTTACGCGTATTGGATAAGATCGTTTAAGAAACAAACAGGAAAACAGGCCACGTAACTGAACACTCATCGTGTTTCAGACGTGAATAAGAAGCCTTGCATCGTTGTTACGCGTATTGGAATAGATAATTTAAGAAATATTTAAGAAACAAACAGGAAAAACAGGCCACGTAACTGAATAACCATCGTGTTTCAGACGTAAATAAGAAGCCTTGCTACATTCTTTACACGTTTTGGATTAGACAATTTAAGAAATATTTAAAAAAGAAACAGGTAAAACAGGTCACGTATCTGAATACTCATCGTGTTTCAGACGTGAATAAGAAGCATTTCCATGTTCTTACGCGTATTGGATAAGATCATTTAAGAAATATTTAAGAAACAAACAGGAAAAACAGGCCACGTAGCTGAACACTCATCGTGTTTCAGACGTGAATAAGAAGCCTTGCTACGTTCTAACCCGTATTGGATAAGATCATTTAAGAAATATTTAAGAAACAAACAGGAAAAACAGGCCACGTAACTGAACACTCATCGTGTTTCAGACGTGAATAAGAAGCCTTGCTACGTTCTAACGCGTATTGGAAAATATCATTTAAGAAATATTTAAGAAACAAACAGGAAAAACAGGCCACTTAACTGAACACTCATCGTGTTTCAGACGTGAATAAGAAGCCTTGCTACGTTCTTACGCGCGTTGGATTAGATAATTTAAGAAATATTTAAGAAACAAACAGGAAAAACAGGCCAAGTAACTGAACATTCATCGTGTTTCAGACGTGAATAAGAAGCCTTGCTGCTACGTTATTACGCGTATTGGATTAGATAATTTAAGAAATATTTAAGAAGCAAACAGGAAAAACAGGCCACGTAACTGAACATTCATCGTGTTTCAGACGTGAATAAGAAGCCTTGCTACGTTGTTACTGGTATTGTATTAGATAATTTAAGAAATATTTAAGAAACAAATAGGAAAAACAGGCCACGTTACTGAATACTCATCGTGTTTCAGACGTGAATAAGAAGAGATAAGAAGCCTTTGCCATGTTTTTACGCATATTGGATTGTTAGTTTAAAAAATATTTAAGAAAGAGACAGGAAAATAGGCCACATAACTAGACACTCATCGTATTTCAGACGTGAATAAGAAGCCTTGCTACGTTCTTACGCGCATTGGATTAGATAATTTAAGAAATATTTAAGAAACAAACAGGCCGGGAAAAACAGACCACGTAACTGAACACTCATCGTGTTTCAGACGTGAATAAGAAGAGATAAGAAGCCTTTGCCGTGTTCTTACACGTATTGGATTGTTAATTTTTAAAAAAAATTAAGAAAAAGACAGGAGAATAGGCCACATAACTAGACACTCGTCGTGTTTCAGACGTGAATAAGCCTTTGTCACATCCGTACGCGTATTCAGACGTGAATAAGAAGCATTTCTATGTTCTTACGCCTATTGGATGAGATCATTTAAGAAATATTTAAGAAACAAACAGGAAAAACAGGCCACGTAACTGAACACTCATCGTGTTTCAGACGTGAATAAGAAGAGATAAGAAGCCCTTGCCATGTTCTTACACGTATTGGATTGTTAATTTTTTTAAAAATTTAGAAATAGACATGAAAATAGGCCACATAACTAGACACTCATCGTGTTTCAGACGTGAATAAGCCTTTGCCACATCCGTACGCGTATTGAATTAGATGATTTAAGAAATATTTAGAAGGAAACAGGGAAAACAGGCCACGTAACTGAATACCCATCGTGTTTCAGACGTAAATAAGAAGCCTTTGCCATCTTCCTACGCGTATTGGATAAGATAATTTCAGAAATATTTAAGGAAGAAACAAGAAAACAGGCCACGTATCTAACACCCATCGTGTTTCAGACGTGAATAAGAAGCCTTTGCCATGTTCTTACGCGCATTGGAATAGATTATTTCAGAAATATTTAAGGAAGAAACAGGAAACACAGGCCATGTTACTGAGCACTCAACGTGTTTCAGACGTGAATAAGAAGCCTCTGCAATGTTCTAATTACGCGTATTGGAATAGATTATTTCAGAAATATTTAAGGAAGAAACAGGAAACACAGGCCACGTAACTGAGCACTCAAAGTGTTTCAGACGTGAATAAGAAGCCTCTGCCATGTTCTAATTACGCGTATTGGAATAGATTATTTCAGAAATATTTAAGGGAGAAACAAGAAAACAGGCCACGTATCTACTGATCTAACACTCATCGTGTTTCAAACGTGAATAAGAAGCCTTTGCCACATCCACACGCGTATTGGATTAGATAATTTCAGAAATATTTAAGGAAGAAACAGAAAAATAGGGGACGAAACTGAACACTCATCTTGTTTCAGACGTGAATAAGAAGACTTTGCCAAATCCTTACGCGTATTGGATTATAGATAATTTAAGAAATATTTAAGAAAAGAAACAGGAAAAACAGGCCACGTAACTGAATACCCATCGTGTTTCAGACGTGAATAAGAAGTCTTGCTACGTTCTTACACGTATTGGATTAGATAATTTAAGAGATATTTAAGAAACAAACAGGAAAAAACAGGCCACGTAACTGAATACCCATCGTGTTTCAGACGTGAATAAGAAGCCGTGCTACGTTCTTACGCGTATTGGATTAGATAATTTAAGAGATATTTAAGAAACAAACAGGAAAAAACAGGCCACGTAACTGAATACCCATCGTGTTTCAGACGTGAATAAGAAGCCTTGCTACGTTCTTACGCGCATTGGATTAGATAATTTAAGAGATATTTAAGAAACAAACAGGAAAAAACAGGCCACGTAACTGAACACCCATCGTGTTTCAGACGTGAATAAGAAGCCTTGCTACGTTCTTACGCGCATTGGATTAGATAATTTAAGAGATATTTAAGAAACAAACAGGAAAAAACAGGCCACGTAACTGAATACCCATCGTGTTTCAGACGTGAATAAGAAGCCTTGCTACGTTCTTACGCGTATTGGATTAGATAATTTAAGAAATGTTTAAAAGAAAACTGGAGAAACAGAGGCCACCTAACTGAACAGAGGCCACCTAACTAAGAAGCCGCCACGTTCTAACCCGGATTAGATAATTTAAGAAAAATGAATAGAGAAACAAAAAAACAAGCCACGTAACTGAATATCCATCGTGTTTCAGATGTGAATAAAAAACCTTGCTACGTATTTACGCATATTGGATTAGATAATTTAAGAAATATATAAGAAAGAAACAGGAAAACAGGCCACATAACTAAAACCTCAACGTGTTTCAGAAGTGAATGAGAAGGCAAGGGGCATAGCCCCGAGGCCATTATTTTTCCTAAGACCCAAGACGAATTGTTTATCTAACTAAAACCACACAATAGGCAATGACTCGTATCAAAGGTAAGTCCATGATCCAATTTTAGGAAAAATTGATTTTTTTATTGACTATGAGGTAAGTGTATTAAGAAGTGAGTGGGTGTAGTTAAGCTTCAGTGAACTGCATTTAACATGGCATGTATAGTTTTAAGTTTGTTTCTTTTGTGTTTACTATTCAACTATTGAAAGAACGAATAGGGTACTTAACCTTCTGAGCACTGCATGAGCCGGTCAATCATATTTTGTGCCACATTGGTTTTGGATAGCTAATGCTGAATGCCAAGTGTACATTCTTAAAAGAATAGAAAAATAATGCACTCCTCTTTGTTACAGCTTTCTATTGTGTTGCTACCTAAGTGTGGTTTAACCTCATATAGATGGATTTTTAATGTATAATTCAATTTAGAAACTGACAAAGACAAAACTTGCCAAGAAAATGAACGCATATCGTGTATCAGACGTCGATCAGTGAATAAGTATATGCTCGAGGATGTATATAACACAAACGTAAGAAAGATAATAAACGTAGAAGGTGTCATCTATCGTTCGTGTTGCGAAAGAAAAACAAAACGTCTGACACGTTAATATGGTAACCGTATTTTGTTAAATGTTTTTCATATTTATTTCATGTCTTTCCTAAAATGCAATCGTTGTTTTAATATAGAGGTCGGTGATGATATTTTTTCTGGTATTGATGAGAACATTGATGGATCGCACCTGTCTAATAATCAATCCACCGTTTTACTATCTCTGCTTCGGGATTTATTGCGAAATAGCGTGTATGAAAAGAAGATAACAATTAATTGCACTAACTCCACACATGGGAAACAACCATTTCCACACAACTAAACTTAAGATAATTTTTATTTCTGGCGATATATCCAAATCCCCTTGAAAGATTCTGACAACTCTCTGTGAATTCTGGATCTGTTTATCTAATCCGTCGGGACTTAGAAGATGCTATTCGTGTTACCTGATAGCCCATTGCTGTTGGCTTACTTTGATAGACTACTACACCAACTCCTACTTCAAATCATCTGCACTACTAGAGATATAGAGCCTGCTTTTTGAATAATTGCTCAATAATTAATAAAGAGAAAAAATGGCCAATTTGGATGTTCCTCAGCTACAGAAGGATTATGCCGATTCTGGTGATGAATGGCATGATGCCGAGCAGGAAAACACTAATGTAGAACAATCTGGAAATAGCTCCTGTTCAGCTGTCGAGCAACAATCTCACCAGTCAAAAAATATAAACGTCGAAGAACAACAGGGAGGAGGTAGTAGGTCGGCAAATGCAATAAATCATCGGAAAACAATTCCAATAGAAGCTCAAGTTAATTCAACTCATAAGCAAGAGTCAAAATCTCAACAAAAGATAGAGGATTCTAAAATGTCTGCACCCGGAGACGACGAGGAAACGGTGTGTTTAAAGTACCAGCCACACGCATGGAAAAAAGGAGTTTGTAACATTTGCTTTAAACCCCGGGATGAGCACCCGGCTGATGGTCAAGCTGAACCTGTGATTGACGAAAGTCTGAGCCTTGCGGCGAAGCTGGAACAAGCAGCAAAACGCGTCAAAGAATTGGAATCGCAGATCAAAGTTGTCAAACACAAGTAAGTCAGTTAATTTTTGCTCATTTCTATGACTACCAGCCTTCAATACGCTCAATACCCCTTTCAATATCTTCCTTCACAACAGGTAAAAAACATTTTCACGAATTCAATGGGAATGTAGATATTCTTCAGTCATTGTGGTGCAGCCTTGTATACTCCAAAAGAAAACATAAGGATAATTGCTTGTATTCTGACCTGCAAAAACGGGGACCTTAAGAAAACTATTTTCCTCACATCTTCACACTCAATCGGGCAAAAGATCAGCGAGGAGAAAATAGTCCATGGAGGACAATTTTACACGTTTCACGTAAACGTACTTCAAAACAGTGCTCACTTAACCTCCCTATCATTTAGCGAGACGGCTCAGTAACACACACATCTATAGGCCTCGTTTCCACCATTCCTTCTCAATTACACACTTTGTGCTATTTACAAATATTAGATAACTTTGATTAGTTGATACGTTACCCTTTGCAACTCGTCGACACTGTTTTTCTGAGAGAGTATTAGTAGATCTAGCCTATAGACATCAATTTCACATTTGAATTCAAACTGAGTTCTAGAGATCGTCAATATACTTTTAACTATCAGCATGGCTGAAAAAACTTGAACTGTATCTGATGTAGTCAGTTTAGGGTAGAATGGCTACTGTTTTGTCTGTAGAATCAGGGTAGTGTATGGCGGGTGATTAATCAAATGATGTAATCCAGATCCATACACTTAGGTCTACGTACTCATTCTAAGAGTTTGACTAGTTATTCAGAAGTGGGAGAAAATTAACATTGTACGTACTTGCATATGCGTCTGAAGTTAAATGAAGAGTTGTCCATTTATTGCGAATATGTTGAAAGTTGTAAGTTTTATGGGCTCTTTATTGGGCCTTCATGGCTGACTTTCAGGATATTACTTCCTATATCTCCGGCCAATACTACCCTTGTGATATATCATCACACCTCACATTACCGAAAATTTCAAAATGGATGGCCTATGAAATAACTAGTATAGGTATAGTAATTTTAATCAACATATATTTGTCTCTGCGAATATTTTCATTAACCCTATCACTGAAACTAGTTGATTTCTCCACAAGAATTCTCTAGAAGACATACCAATTCAAATACCGTCGCGACAAGAAATGTTTTGGCATAGTATATTTTAGAAGGGAGAGTTAAAAGTAAGATCGTGTGTATAACGGACAAAATAAGTGAATTCTCTTAATTGGGCGTCATCTTTTTATCAAATATTTAATCCTGTCAATTTTTTTCTTTTTCGCTCATTCCATACACATTTAATTTGCTGTGTTTAAAACGTTTTTATTGATATTTTCCAGTCACTCCGTCCTCGACGAACAATACACTGAGCTCGAAGACAGTGTCCTTGATAGGGAAGACCAAATCCAGCAAGTTCGGAACGGCGCCGTACACGAAATAAAAGACCTCGAAGAACGTTTAGGAATGCTCGAAGATGAAAATCGTAAATTGAATAACAGACTACAGGATGTACAAAAACGTAGACCAGTAAAGCTTTTCTAGAATTGAAAAGCAGATCTGTGAAATCTCTAAATATTTGGTAAAACGAAGACGAGAAAGTCAATATGAGTCAATGATTTCGGGGTGATATGTGCGGTAAGGATTGCATAGCTGTAAGGTGAAACAACATACGAACTCCAGGTGAGGGTTACGGAATGTAAAAAGGCACTGCAAACTTAAACAACTGCTGATATACTGCTTCTTCACACCACATGGATGTATCTACTCGTTTAATTTCCAGAATAATTTAGATGAAACTCAGAATTACAATTTACTCAATACAGAACCATATCCGTGTAATATATTTAAAAGGGGCTATTTCGATGATTCGAAGCTATTCGAAGTAAAATGTTAGAGAGGCATGCCAGAAAGGAAAGTACTGCAATTTGTCTAACACATCTGGTTAATTTTGACGTGGAGAAACCAAATTCCATTAGTCTGGATGTACATTTTGAGTATGGGAAATCAACCCAAAATTGTAGCTTTTTCTTAAGATGAAACGGGTTCACAAAGAAGGCATTGTATTTAATCTTCTAACTTGTATGAATTGTAAGTAACGTAGTTATAAGGCCATTATTGCATCAGGTATGGTCGTCATCGAAAAATTAATCTAAATGATGCCAAAAACCTGAGCGCCATCATGTGCACAATGTTTAAACTAAGTCGTAGTGATGCAAGAAATTCACGAAATCTATTTTTGTACTAGTTTATCAGAAACGTATATCTAGACTGGTGTTAGATGATTGTTAAATATTTTTCATATCTCAGCCTGGGAGCGCTCTTCCCTACCTGGCGCTGCGCAGGTTAGATTAGGCCCTTCCAAATGTTTGACACTCTACTACAGTGATACCCTGTATTGTGAAAACCAGGAGGGGCTAAGATCATATTCATTAATAAATAGTTTTACTGGATCGTACAGTATAGATTATTTTGCTGTCATGAGAACGTATGTCGCTCAGGATTCTTTGCTAGGCAAAATGATTAATAGATGATTAATAGCGTGTGCAAGAGTGTATCGTGCAAAAGTAAGAACTGAACAGCCGTTTTTGTTGATGTTCCGCCAAATTGGCTCCTAAGGATGAGAACCATGTATTCCTTGATGTATAATCATCTCTCAGACCCGAAGTCTCCGTATATAACACTAAACATGGATGTGATAACGTGGGGGGTAAGGATAACGAACCTTTGATGGTGACGATAACACTAAACATCAGCTCAAATCTGATGATCGCTGATGTTCATAGGAATCGAAAATGCAATTTTCCATCCGTCCACGTTATCTAATCCATTCCTTTCCCATGTATTACTCCTCAACTAAATCTATTAGGCTATATTAGACTCAAGGTACATGTTGATAGTCAATGTATGTATGAACATACAAAATAAGATGGGTAAATGTATGATCCGGGTGTATGATATTTTGTAATGTAATGACACATAACGTGCAATTGTAAAAAAAAGTTGTTTCATATCTTGATAATGTATATATGACCATTTGTATTATATTATACATAATGTATGGATGTTTGATTGCTTCAATATGTGTAAATCTCAACTACATTATTATCATCTTGTATTTAGCATTATCGTATAAATGTGCTTTTGTAACTGTATTCGTTTTAGAGCATAAACATATACCAATATAAAAAAGTCAAAATAGATATTGTTTGCAATCCATATTGGTAGAAAATGGTGTGTAAAGATAAGATATACATCTGTTAGGCTTATGTGTAATAGATTTAGAGTACGATCTTATGATTTAATGTTATCCTTCTTAACAACTAGATTCATCCCATTTTTAATTGATTATGCCTCGTATAAATGTACAAGATGTTGTCATTTACAATAAACCAATACGTAATATGTATGTGATGTCATATGAATTACAGTAGAATGAAGCCATTTTCCATCCCCTTGTTTTTGTTGCTAGATAGATATTTTTTCGAAAAGTTGATATCAAATGGATTGGCATATACGCGTGCTTGAATTACTTGAATTTTGGGCCAAAATATCAGGTCTGTGATAGTTCAAATTAGAACATATCATTGATCATGGAAAAGGGGCACAAAATTATTTTTTACAATTTAAGAGAAACATTCTTAAACATGTTCTTCAGGTTGGATTATTAATCACAAAACTATTTTTTCTTCTTTTCACAACCTTTATTTTACTAAACAGGACGTTTCGGATCCTGTCATATAATTAATAATTTCTGTTTAATCTGTTAATAGAAACATGTTTCGCTGTTATTGGTCATACTCGTTTCCCAGTTTGATTTTCAATCACACTGGTTATGAAAACATCATACCTTGGAAATCCAAGATGGTTATTGAATTTGGTAATTTCATATGTACATGTATATGCAGTTTTGCACATATTGGCAGACATATGCAAGACAAATATGTCGATTCATGTACATATAAACGATTTCGCCTACACCGAGTTAAACCCCAACTCTTATCTAATTTATTCTTGTCAGTAACAAAGAAGGGATGAGAGAAATTCAAACTTCAGGCTCAAAATAACCACAACTGTATCTTTACATATCTATTTCTGGCAGCTTGGTTAACATTACGTATTAACTGCTCACTGCTGATTGCTTTTTGTTGGTCTTGAACTCAGATAGCCTTGTGTTTTTAGTTACATCATCAGGCCACTTTCGAGCTAATGCCAGAACCAGTTATACACCAAACATTCTTTAAATTGAAGTAATGTAACACATATTAATGAAATAAAGTGTACTTTACATGGCGATAAAAATCCCCTTGCATATTTTGGCCATGAAGATTTGTCGAAAAACTTCGTGTTGACCAAAGTATTTTCAGAATTTTTTCACGCTGGTTTTGCATACTATACGTCAAGTTACAGTAAAGTAATACATTTAACATATTTCCAATCCCTAATGAGCATTTAAGACACCTTCTTCAAAGAGCTCAAAGCCTTGAAACTTGTTGCAAACATGTCTTGGTCTAATTCCTTGACTGGCTTGTTTATCTGGGATAAAGTTGAGATAACTTGATAAAACCTGAAGATAAAGTGTGATGAATGAAAGATCTAGTTATATATAGGATGTCGACAGATATTCACAGGGATCTAACCCGAACCAGGTGGGCTATTCCTGTCAGATAAAATGTGGCACTAATCTGGAAATATTTCTCTATTTGAACCAAAACTGGAAAGCTGAAAATGAAGAAGAGTGTGGCGGATCCAGAAGCAAACAAGGGGGGGGGGCAAATTTTGAGTCAGTAAAAATTTTCGAAGCTTGCGCGGAAAAAACTTTTGGGCCCCTTAAACCAAAAATTGTGCCCAAATTAAGAAAATGTAAAGCCCATCTTTAGAAAAGTTGGTCATAAATTGTCCCCCCCCCCCGGATCCGCCACTGAGTAAGGGGTCGGTATTACCGTTTTCTCAACCAACTACTACACGACAATATCATTTTATGGAACATTGTATTGTGCTGCCCTCTTTCTTATGTTTGAATGCTATTTGTCTGCAAATGAACTTGGCCTGGTCTTCGTTTGCTGTTAATGACAATTTGAATGTGAAACATATAAATTGCCGACATATGTTAAACCTAAATGTTAAAAACAAGGGTTTGCATTGATATTTTATGAAAAATGAGACAAACCAATCGAAACATCGTGGGTTCATTAAGTGGAATTTTTTATCTTCATTGCATGTTTCTGACATGAAGTTCACGTCAAACGTCTCAGCTCAGGCTTTGATTTTGGCCTTCGAGTCCTTAGTTCTGACCAAAGGAGAGTGTAAATGTACAAATTGCAAGACCACAACATCAGATATAACCTTCATTGTGATTGCGTCTCGAGAGAGTTTTCTGTTCATTCCGTTACCATTGCACAAAAATGTGCGAGATAAACCAGGTATGTTTTATTTTGGCTCCATGGAGAGAGCAGAAACATCTGGATGCTGGTTGCTATGGTAGCAATCTATGTTTCACGGGAGAACATGCAGTAAGACATCCCACCTGACCTCGATTCTGTATTTGGGCATTGATTACCTTATGCATACTACGTCAGTCCTCATTAACATATCTTGATGATTCGTTTACCTTTGATTGGCATTACCTGTTGCCACAGAGTTAAGAACCCCGCTGCCCGTTATAATCTATACTCTTTACCACTTAGATGTTGATGTAGGCAGAAGTATGGACATTGCCCGAGAGAATTAAATACCTCATGATCACAAAATAAAGTGTTTTTATATTGATTTGGAAGAGCTCAGACGTACAACTGCGTTAACTTGTGTAATAAAGATAGCGGTTAGGAGATATGGATGTAAACAGCGTGGAATGTGAACCTACTCCTCCTCAGGCCGTTAGCATGGCAACCATTACATTGGGCTCGAATGGTAACCACAGCGACGAAAATCATGATGCCTATCGGGACATACCTCCTGTGAATAATGATGATGTTGATTTAAGCATAACACAGAGAAAAAAGAAATCCAAAGGTCTATACTCTGCGTCATCTACTGCGTCCAAAGTGTATGGAACAGTGCATAGTGAAGAAATCGTAAAAATGTCAGACTCGGATGTATCCGCACCCCCTCCTAGCAGCTCACAGACCATACAGACACCCACGGGCAACAGATTTGTGACGACAAGTGGGGGAAACGAGGTTGGCGAGGACGACGAAGTTTGCCCAGAATTTCAGCCCCATGCCTGGAAGAAAGGGATGTGTAACATTTGCTTCAAAAGTCAAGAAGAACATGAAGGCAAAATACCGGACATTTCCAAAATGAGGATAACGTCGGGAGGGGGAGGGAGTTTGGAGAAACGCCTTGAAATAGCCATGAAACGTATCAAAGACCTGGAAGCTGAACTCAGAGAAGTTAATGGACAGTAAGTAACCAATATACCTATTTTGTAGGGCCTCGATTAGTGGGCCTTTTGGCATTAATTTGCCTTTTTGGGCCTTCTTGGCCAAATTGTCAAAAATGGGCCTCGAATTTTCAAAATTTGGGCCTAGTTTTGGATATAGGGGCCCAAACATTTTTCCCAGATTTGAAATTTGCCTTGAGCTTCTGGATCCGCCAGTGTATTTAGACAAAAGATGACGAAACAAAAACATCTATTTTTGATCTCTTACAAAACAGATTTAGATTAATCAGTTAAAACTCATTATTCACGTTACCTTGACTGCCCGTTTTTTGTAAATTGAACTATTTATAGAATGTTTGCGATTACGTACATCTTTATTATCTCGTTAACTTTCGGTTCAGCTTCAACCATTCGCCTACCAGCCTTACAATCCAGCTACAGCTGGAGATATTGAAGATATGATAGCCTAAGATCAAACACTAAGGATGGATCGGACATCTTATCAGACCTCACCTATGAACCGAATCGCAATTTTAAGTGTTTTCATGTATTATCTGGGTTTTTTCTTTTTCTGAGGTGCTTTGGTATTTGGTTGAGTGACCTTAGCGTTCGGAAACTAATGGTTGTTCGCTTTAAGGACATATGTCTAGGATTGTTGTTGTTTTCTATTTTGTTGTTTTTAGAATATAGAGCAATGCATCATGGAACTTCGTGTCCATTGTTCTACACCAGTATACTAATTGTGGGAAACATGATCGTTGCTCTTGGCAGTTGATTTTCATTTGTGATATTTGTCAGGTTGCCATTGCCTCTCTAGACGTGTTTATTTCTAGACGTTGCTAGATAATACTCTATGCTATAAGTCAGTGTTATGTAAGATGTTTGCCGAGAATGTGATCACTGTGTACAAGTCATATACCTGGTCTCTCATAGAATAAGAATTGTACCCAATAACATGAATAAAACTCTTTTTCCTCGATTTGATAAGATGAACTTTTCACACGATAAAGACCAAAGACAATTTCTTTTCCAATTAGCATTTGATATTCATAGTTTTGTAAATTACTTAAACTGAGAAAGGACCAGGTGTAGTATAGCAAGGGATTTTGGAGTCATTTCTTTCACCATGAGTACTGGCCATAAGTACAGTGGTTTTTATTTAAGCAATATATTTTTATTCAAGTGAAGTCCCCGTGATAATAGAATATCAATCCAACTCTCTGGAAATTATGGATTAGGCCTCCACCTTGTCACTTTTTTTTAAAATGTTAGGCTTATTTTCTAAAACAAAGAGGACCTCTTTTTCTCAAATTAAATATATCAAAAGTTTCTTTTACACTATATTAACAAACTTCTGTGACACAATTAATTGTTTCAGCATAGTTTTGGTCATGGAAAATTAATATCTTCAAAACTAGACTTTCAACGCCATTCTACTTTTGAAGAAGATTTAGATCCCTTAATCGTTTCGTGAAAGACACCATATAATGTGTTGATGAGAAACTATGTCGTATTCAAATTCAGAAAACTGTCTAAAATCACTTGCCATACTATACCTGGTCCTTTGACATTTTAGATGACAAGTGGCCTCCATTACTATCAATGCACAGCCAAATGTTGCTATCGCAAACATGGAAATGTCTGATGGTGCTAGAACAATTATTTCGCAAAAACTAAGTAAAATCACCTAGTGAAACATTTTGATGTTGCCGATACGAAAATGTTACATGACCAAATGTTTAAAAATTCCTTCATTGTATCGGTGCAGCATGGAATGGATGATGGTGCTAGAAACTTTCAAGAATATTAGCGGTTCATCACTCACAGAGTTATTCGATGTTTGTCTAGCTTCAATTTGGATTGTGGATTGCGTGTCACCACAGCAAGAGCTTGTTGCAAGGCTATCAGGTTCACTAATCTACAGATGAATTTTAAAAATCAAAAGGGCCCAAAACCGCGTTAAATGAATATATTTTTTGGTTTAAGTCGTGACCCTTTGAACGTTTATGCCTCAATTACATTTGATCATCGGCGATCGTAGCTTCACCAAATCGAGAGAAATACGACGAAACATAAAATATATGGATAAACATAACGATAGATTATCTATTTCAATTTTGTTCAGCTACGGCCGCCATACGCCTGTCGTAGAGCAAATGTGACCGGGGCTTTAATAGACAGCATGTTTTTCTGTATTTACCATGTCTATTTGAATTCATTACTGAATTTGAAGAAACTTATATTATATGCCCCGAAAGTAAAAAGGTTAACTCGAATAATCTCAAATGAATACTTAGCTGCATATGATATATTGTGATTATACAGATGAACCGACAAAATCTGAAACAGTAGCGGGTTCATGTTTTTAATATAAATCGAACATGAAACTTATGTAAAGGCCTCGAAGTTTTTTCTTCAAAATCCTTGTAAATCCTTGTTACGTATCATGTTCTGGGCTAAGTTGGTTTTATAGTTCTACATACATTCCTATCAGTTATATTTACGTAAACACGATATCGGGAATCTCTTGCTATCCCAGCGGTTGTCTGGCTGTACTTTGCGTAACTCAGGAAATACCTTGAGGTGAGATAAACACTACCCACTATCTGCCAATACGTCCTTGCAAGTTACACTCCCTTCCATAAGTTTGGCAACCTTAGCTCCCCCATTGAACTACGTGTTAAAGCCTCTTTACGTTTGAATTTTTATTTACTTTATATTGTCTATGCTTTATGGAGGCTATGAGAGGTATATGATATATATATGATTTTGAAAAAAAAACTCTTTGGTCGAGCATATGTTTGAAGCAAGTTGAAAAATATATTTTTGCCCTTCAATATCTCATTAGTATAACGACGTTTGTTACGTCGATTGATAAACTTGACTTTTCCTTCAGAAATCAGTCTTTTGTGATGAACTTGAATTTCTAGATTGAATAAATCAATTCTTTGACCTTCCGAATGTCATATAGGTCAACCAAAGGTCAAATCTCAAATCAAAGGACGGATTTGAACTCCTGAGAACTAGTAGTTGATTTTGAAAAAATTGGTCAAATTGAAGTTGAAAAAAGACTTTTTGACATTTTTTACCTTCAAAACAATATCTCAAAAAGGCAAAATATATCCGATATTGGTGGAAATGTGTTGGAACTCATAACATGTTAAAATATGCTGACAGTAAAAATTTGAAGTCAGTCTAAACAGTACTTGTTAGTTATTGAAAGTAGTAAGAATTACGGTTACAGACGTCGAACGCCGGCCGGCCGACCGCCGTACACAACACACACGTCTGGTGACATATTGTAGTCTGCTTGTAAGATAAACCTGGACACAATAGGCATAGAGGGAATTACCCATATATTTATAGATGAACCTATATTTGTGTAAAGATGAGCCCATTTTACATCTTTGAATTTTGGGATATTTCCTGTTCTTCATAGACATCGTCCACTGAAGTTGTAGCCTACTGCACACAATCCAAATGGTGCATTTGTTACTCTGCTTCCATTTCTCTGAAACCACCATTGTATCATTACAGGTATGCTCAGCTCCAGATTGACTTCAAAGAACTGGACGAAGACTGTATGAGTAAAGAAGAAGAGCTTAAGAGAGCGGAGGAAGAGAGCACTGACATTGTGAAGGTCCTTAGAGAAAAGGCAGAAAGACTAGATGATGAAAATCATTACCTTAAGAAAAGGATTGAAGATCTTCAACCAAAGTCTATAAAATCTATAGGAAGAGGAAAATGGAAGTAACCATGGAAATGATTCGTGGTTACCTTAGTTACTAGTTACCATACATGTGAATACATGGATGACAGTGAATTCTAATGTCACAAAGGGGCATTAGTATATCAAGTTCATACCCTGGGAATTCGAGGGATATTAATAGCTTATTTAACATGGAAGCAAATGAGAAATGACAAATATGAATTTTGACTTGAAAATGTGTTCACTAGCGATATTGTGTAAGTTTTCACTGTATCATATTCATTGATTATATGCAGTAAAACTACATATGACTTTATCTTAAAATGATTGGAGAATTTAGGGTGCACAATCACATTATCTAAGAATACATTCTAGACATTTTGGATGAATAAAAATAGGATATAGTCGCGAAATAGAATGTATTTAAAATGCCAAATACATCTTACCAGTGACATGAGTGAGTCATTGTGAGATTATTTGATTTCATTTTGCTTCAACCTTACCAGATACTCTGTTATAACACAAATCTTGGCACAAAACCAGAAACCAGTAAGATACATTCTTCTTCAGCCTCGGATTATCAACCAATCTATTAAGTTGAACTAAACATTCTAAAATAGACACTGTAAACCTGTAAGCTGTAAGATGAAAGCTATTCAAGCATCATCTCTGTGTATGACTGTATACACCCTGTACCTGCATAATTTCTAATAAGAAATGTGTTGAGGGTGGTGGGGGAGCAAAGATCTAAAAATTAAATTTGATATTACACTATGTGTAAAACAATTAAAAATCATTCTTGATATGGGTTAGCACTGATACTAGGTATATGTGTTTTCAGGTCAGCAACAGTATTTTTAAAATGAGAAGAAGAACATTAGCCTTGCCCAAGTCGGTCTCTTAAATACTTATCTTGATTTCTATTATCTTGATTTCTATTCAAAATTAGATAAGTAAAAAAACACCGACTTGGCAAGGCTAGAAGTACATATTCCCTTGCTTGTTTAAGCAATGCCATAAATGAAATCTAGCATGCCATCACTGCCAACTAAGAAATATTTTCAAGCGATATATCATATACATTCATATCGGCATGTGATAGCAATTTCTTTGACTAATGCTATTTCTGACTCTACACTTCTACATTTTGCAATCCACTGACAGAATGAATCATCCCACATCTGTGAGTTGATATCTAAGGTACTTTTGGGTTTAAACTAAATTCTTTGAGAGCTCAAAATTAGATTGTTTCTGGGCTCAAAACATCATTTAAGTCCTGTAACGATATGTCATAACACAGGCCCGTAGCCAGGGGTGGGGGGTTCGCTGGGTTCGGGCGAACCCCTCCCCCCACCCCTGGCCAAAAATTCTGTCAAGATCATGCAGTTTTTCACCATTTTGAGCACTTCTCAAGTGATTTTAGCCATATTTGGACCAAAATTGTCAAATGTGAACCCCCCAGGAAACTTTTGAAAACTGAACCCTCCCCCCTGGCAAATCCTGGCTACGGGCCTGTAACATTTATAGGTAACAAATGTAAGTGACGAATAGAACATACATATCCTATTATTATCTGTAATTCTGGTCCTACATTACTCTAAAATATTTTCATATATCATTGTCAATTTGCTACATCAACAATTTTTGATATAATTCATCATTTCAATAATTATTCGAACTTAAAAAATTCCTCGTTTAGAAAGTGTACTAAATTCAAGTTGGAACTTGTTCTGGTGCTACTTCATGCATTTAATACTCAAATTTCTTCAAGGTTTGATGATTTCAGAAATTGTTTACACCCACTTCTCTACTGTGTTTAAAGTTCCAGCTCAATATATAAGAAACAGTTTTGGGATTTTTAAAATTCATAAAAAATGTTCCAATCAAGCAGATAAACAAGTAGGCTTAACAGCAACATTTTTGGATGAGATACTATGTGATGCTATCGCTTTCCAGTTCTGAACTTTGCATTCTTGATATATCTATTTTACATGTCTGTCTAACATGTCTAAAGGTCGGAATTCTTAGTGTTATAATGAGATAACTCTACGGAGACAACAGTAATGTACAATTCAACCATATTTATTTATTTATATTTATTTATTTAGCAATCAATTAACATTTGCTTTTGCTCTAAGATTTCATGCTAGCAATAACAAAGATGTAAAAGCATATCTGCAATATTATGAAAAATCAAACAAAACTGGCTTTATATTTATCATACTAAAATGCTTATTTTTAGTTTTGTTCATCGTGTTCCTGGATCGTGTTCACAAAGATGTAGATATTTAATTACAATTGTATAGATAAACAATGTACAAAATTGCAATAAATAATTTTATTTGACACATCATCATTATAACGGATAATACTGTTCCGTGTGTTATTCCTTAAAATACAATCCTCTTTACACATGTTACCTGACCTAAAAAAAAATTAAGAACACCTTTAACGAGGTCAAACCCCATGATAACTATACATGTGCTGCCATATGGGGTTTACTACTGAGATTAGTGATTACCGACATTTCCTTTCACATTTCTTTATCTAAAGGGAAGCGTTGCTCTATCCATAATTACTTTAATATGCACAGTCTAAGATACAACCCCCAGAGTACATGACAAATCAGGTAATTTCACCATGTCAATAAAATGGAGGGTTCACCTCAAGTTGAGCCAATTTTTGGAGCTGTGCATTAGTGTGAATGGGTTAACCTGTTCTGGTGGAATTTAACACACAATGATGACAGGTACAAGACTGTGGTAGTAATCTAAGTATATTAAGAATATTTCAGACTGAGCATGAGTTATACAGTACAATATGCCCTCCCCAAGCCTCTTATAATGAGTTAAATATTATGATTTTTTGACTTTTTGTTTTATTTATTATTTTATTTCAAATAAATATCATTAACATTTTTATGAGTAGAACTTGAAGATTTCAATCATTATTACGGTGTCAGGTTTCTGCCCCCCACTATTCTTAACTTCCCCAACAAGTATGCAGGTGTGTTGTTTGGGGGAGCTAAACATGGACTTGATGGTTTAAAAATTCAAAATAGAATGAAGAGATAAATAAACACTTTCAGTTGTATAAAAATGCCAGAAACCCAAGAAGGGCTATTGGAGGTCCCAAATTTTTTTATATCTCTTATATCTGTATATTTGTTGACCTTGTACCTTATCTAAACCTCAAATACACTTCAACACATGTGGGTAGGCTAATGGTCTTTGTCTCCCCTTCAACAATTTTTTATCCACCTTTTCTAAAAAAAACTTCAAGAACTTTGTAGGAAAAATTGGCAAGAATATTGGCATTTTTAGCACCAAAATTCACATTTTTGGTAAACTTTCAAATTTTACTGAACATAAAAGACCACCCGACAGCCCCCATTCCACCTCTCTAAAAAGCCCATCTAAAAATTAGACTTCCCCTCTGATGACAGCTAGCTGGCCAGGGGCCTGACTTCATAAAATTTAGAGAGAAAATCTTAGAATGAGCATGACCAAATACAATAGGTATACTGTCACTATTGATAAGAAAGCCTGGTTGAAACAAAATAGAATCCATATTCCTGGGCCATATTCTGGTGTAAATTCTGGAAAGTTAACATGACCTCAAATCTCTGGAAAAGCCACTCAAAGCCACTCACACATGTCGTCTAGTAGCTGTTTATGAGATGAAAGTTACCACAGTCTGCTTAACACATGATAACTTTCACAAACAGAGAAATAATAGTCGGATCAGAAAGCATTAAGGGTGAACCATATATTGTCTGGGACCAATCCATTTATTCATATCCAGAATAAAAGTATCAGTAAGATATATGTGCAGGTATTTGATGAATAAACTACCAATGTGACATCTATTTTTCAAAATAAATGCTAACCATAAGTGTAAGCGTGTATTCGCGAATGCAACTAACGCCCGTCAGCTACTGGATTGACCTACTATTTTATGGGTAACTGATTTAAATATAAATAGTACCTGCCACTATTCCTATCATAATTAAATAAGTTGGTCATAAAATAGTAGATAATCCAGTAGCCGACAGGCGTTAGTTGCATTTGCGGATACAAGGTTAGTTAACAAACTGAAACAAGAACGCAACATGTTTGGTAAACTATTCCAAAGATCATACTGAACTCAAGAGTGCTTTTAACAACACAGAACTGATACTCGTATTGAGTTTAAAATGTTGCTGTACAGGGGAGCATCCAGTTGGGATGGGGCATTCAGCATTACTTCATTATTTTATTTTACCAGAAGAAGCACAATCATAAATAATCAGTTATTACAGTAACCAGAAAATGACATGAAATAATTATACTGTTGAGAACCAAACTAAAATCCCCTTTTGATCCTCTTTATGGCTGATATTCCTGGATCCATCCCTGAACTGATACAGTATAAATTACAAAACTGTTTAAGTGGCATTAAATCCAAGTGGTTAATTTGCCGAATGGTCAAATTTTATCATTTTCCTAATCTAATTTTCCTAATGACAAGAAACTTCCCATTGAAAATATTATGAAGATAATATTTCTTATATTTAATTTTTCGAACCTGGCAAAATTTAGCCAATGGGCAAATTAAATGATTAGGCAAAATTACCACTTATATAATATTTATTGGCGGTTCTGTGCAACATACTTGTAATGTATACATATTCTGTCTATATATATCAGGCACATAACATCCTAGTTAATTAACAAGTGGAGCATGTTAACCTTAGAGGTATGTGAGTTCCACCAAGTGTCTACCAAGTGTAGATACATATGCAAACATGATATGAAAGATGGCATAATGCTAAGATTACCATGGGGAGACTTAACCAAGATGATAATTCAGAATTATGTTTCAGCACTGTTTGCTTGAAGAGACATCTTTTGATTGATTCATGTTTTTTTTCATTCATGTTTCAGCACTGTTTGCTTGAAGAGACATCTTTTGCTTCATTTTGTCTTTATAAGCGTGTTTTAATGCCATTAGTTCGTTTTGTAGAGAACTGATTTCACATGATGAAGTTAGAACTTTCTTGAAGCAAGCCTGACTCTGTTTTAAGGCCTGTGGTACAAGAACACCAAACCATTTTATGGGATCAACTGTATTATCATCATTTGACTTTGATTCCTTGCTTTTTAAATCACTTTCATCTTTCTTAACATTTAATTCTTCAATTCCCCTGGTCACATCATCAACGGTTGACTTGATGTTCCTTTTCCTAACAGCAGTTTTCTCTTTATCAATCTCGGCTGTTGTTGTATCATTAGGACCAGTTAATTCAAACTTAAAAGCATCAGTATCAAACATAGATTCTGTATAAACATCAACCAAAGCACTTGCCACCATTTCCTTCTCATTATACTGCACAGTGGACACTGACTTATTCCCCATGGAATATCGGGCTTTTGACATTAGGAAATATCCATCCTTTAGTGTTGATTCCAATGATTGACGTGTCTCATTGAGTTGAGATAAGACATCAAACACCTTTAATGTAATGTTGTCCAGCTCTCCACATACCTCGTGGTATTCCGAGGCAACATTCTCTGGCATTGTCATTCCTGGAAAGATAAAAGTATATGAGCAAAAGTATACATCCAGGCCTGAACAAATGGTAGAGGTGTACCTATAAGAGAATCCAGGTACCTCTGGCGGATCTGGGGGGGGGGGGGGCTGGGGGCCATAAAAATTTTGGGCCCAAAGAAACTGTGCCTTTTAAGACCTTATTTTTTAATTTCAGGCCAAATTAAGAAGAAAATGCCCCTCCCCCTTGTTGGTTCCCAGATCCGCCCCTGGGGACCGCCATCCACCACCCACTCTGTGTACCAGGGAACAAATCTTTTTTTCTTGGTACACAGAGAGTAGAAGGTTGGATTTCCAAAACAGGACAGCCTTTTGTTCTTGTTTTATATGTCTCTGTACAGAGGCACTGTATCCCTTGAAGCCAAAATGCATTTCAATGAAGTAATCAGCATATGCTTCAATCACGTAATCTGATGATGATGAAAAGACAATTATGCACTAGCGGATCTGGAGGGCAAAAATTGGATCCAAAATATTAGCCCCCCCCCCCCCCCCCCTCTTCATTTTTAGATCCGCCCCTTATCATGTGGTTGTGACTGTACTGTATTTCAATGAACTCTATACTCACTCTAAGATATTCCAGTAATCTTTTTACAATTTTGGTGAGAATCTAGGTTTATCTCACTGTTTGAAAGCATAGATGTACGTGATTTCACTTCTTAATCAAGATATATCAATAGATAATAAAAATTCGAATCGAAATATTGTCACTTCCGTGTTTCTACCAACCGGAAGTAATTGGACCACATTTTGAAAATTAGTTTAGACTGTAATTCTAATTGAAAATGTAAATAAAACGATTTTTGAGACTAAGAAAATAGATTTTATGCAAACTTCTGTAACAATATAGAGTTGCAATATCTTACAAAGGAGGTCAGGAGGTTTAAAGTTAAAATATTTTGGCGACGTAAACTTATCACATTAAAAATCCAAGATGGAGAACAATTTTTTTTATTTTTTGTGAAAATTCGTAAATATTACAAATATCGAGCAATTGCATCACATAATTGAATACGATGGACTGTTCAGAGGATTCTGCAAACATGGCTGGAATCTCGGACCTACCAGAGGAGGTTCAGGAACATATTCTGTCAATGTTATCGCCATACAGAGATCTTCGATCCTGCATGAATGTTTGCAAATTATGGCATGAGCTGACAAAAGGTAGGCCTCGTCTACCAATAAACAACTTATAGATGACACGTATTAGCTTGAAATCACGTTTGACTAGAAAAGTTACCCCACAAAAGCAGCCCTGTCAACCCTCACGCAGGCGTGATTGTCACGCATTTGCCACAGGAAGTTGTATTAAGTCCTTTTTGGGCCCTAACGGCCTTCTGCCCTCCCCCAATCTCACACAACAGACGAATCTATAAGGATGCCAACAAACATCTAGACCTGAAAAAAAAATGAAATCAAAACAAAGTTTTTTACAAGATCCTTGTTCAAAAAGCCTCCAAACTCGCTCAATATGGAGTAAAAATACTTCTCAATTGAAAAGAAACAAAAAAAGCACGAGCTGACAGATGCTTGATGACGATATAAGCCCTGCAAAACATCTACCCATCAAAACTCGACGAAATGGAAGGAAATGAAAAATTCAAATATTTACCGACTCTGTAACTCTTCAATGACACAAGGTACTACAAAAAATGTTAAATCTGATAAACCTTACACTATAAGCTTTGTATATTTTTGCAAATACTTAGCTGATTTAGCGTACATACCTTTAAATCTCAAATCTTTCTAGACTTTATTTTTCAAACTTTTCGGAAATGCCAATATGGCCGATGGACACCCCAAAAAAATTTCATGATCAAATTAAACAAGTAATGTATTAATAAAATAATAATTTCTGTCTCCTAAAATTACATTTAAGAATTATCTTGGTTTGATTTATGTTATTCAATGCTCAAATACGGTTTAATTGTAAAAATGATCATGACCTACTTTTAGGCTGGCCAATCCAATCGCAAAAGATTATTAGATCCGTAAACGTGTCATGGGCGCTGAAAGAAAAGTTTCTCAAAAAATTCAAATTTGAAATAACTATCAATACGGCATGATTTTCAATATATATTGGTAAATCATAACAGTATTTCTAGTCAAATACGTAAAAGGAAAAAGAAGACGAAATTTGAAAAGCAACATTACAGCAGGAAGGGAGCTACAGAGTCGGTAAATATTTGAATTTTTCATTTCCTTCCATTTCGTCGAGTTTTGATGGGTAGATGTTTTGCAGGGCTTATATCGTCATTAAGCATCTGTCAGCTCGTGCTTTTTTTGTTTCTTTTCAATTGAGAAGTATTTTTACTCCATATTGAGCGAGTTTGGAGGCTTTTTGAACAAGGATCTTGTAAAAAACTTTGTTTTGATTTCATTTTTTTTTCAGGTCTAGATGTTTGTTGGCATCCTTATAGATTCGTCTGTTGTGTGAGATTGGGGGAGGGCAGAAGGCGGTTAGGGCCCAAAAAGGACTTAATACAACTTCCTGTGGCATTTGCAGGAAAAATCACACATCAATCTAGAGTCTATGATCAAATATCACGTAAAAAACACCCATTATGTTGATATTTTTAGAAATTGTTTTTTATGAAATGACGATACGGTAAAAATCCTAACAGCGAAAAAAGCGAACGCATTCCGTTTGGTTTTCGCACCGATTGCCGTTCATGACACGCATTTGGTACGAAAGATGTGTATATATCACGCATTTGTTTCGAAAATATTTACACCTACCCGAAAATCCACCAACCCATTTTTAAAAGTTACAAAATTGTTATTTATCTTTGCCTCTGAGCCTTCATATTCTCCCTGTTTGTTGAAAACCTATCCATAGACAAGCAATTAACATAAAATTTGATTCACTGTCGATTGCAGGGGGCCATCGTCTTCTGTCTTTGACGTCGCAAACTAGAGCGATTTGGGCAAACGATTTCCTTTCATCTTGCTGCCCACATTGGTGTGACGTGATATGTTGAAACGGGCTTCTGACTATCCTGTATATAATCAATGACATCTCGATAAACACTTGACTAAAAACAGAATTGAGGATACAAGTGTTTTGCTTTAAACAGCGGTATTCATGATAATGTCTAGTGATATCATATGGTGTATTATTGAAAGATATACATTGCATTTAAAAATGATGAATAATTGGAATTTTAATTCTTTTCATCGAACCAAAGAACAAAATGGGCAGTAAGATGGAAAATTAACCATCATGAAGGCAGCTCACTGCAGTCGATTGATTACGATATTTTGATGGCTGAAGTAGACCTTCTTTACGAACGACTAAAGTATGGTTGCACTTGAGAAAACTCAAGATTTGATTCCTTACCTTTCGTTTGTATATCACTAGTTTCAGCACAAGCAACAACCTGACAATTACAGAGATGTTTCATCCACTTCTTTGAAATGTATTTGCAACCGAATTAATTTGTTTTACTTCATTTATATGGTGTTATTTGCAATGTTTTTGTATCTGGTGTTAAATTTTAAAATATTTTCAATTAACTTAGTTCGTAAAAAAAAATGAAATTAAATTCATAAAAACTACTCAGATCTAAAAATGCTGATTGATTGAGATGTTTATTCAGAAATAACCTCTACATGTGAGGGTGGAATATCTGATAGAAACTAGCGATATAGGGACGAAAAGCTGAACACTTGAATTTTTTCAATGGGTAACTTGGAATGAGGCACACTCAGCACCAGTGTATCTGATGTTTCTATTATGAAAGGTATAACATGCAGAAATATTTCTTTATTTTTCCAGGCATCATTGTTCAAAAGTACCAGTCATTTAATAAATCACTAGAAACCCTAGATGTAGAATGGATGCCTCTTGTTCCGGAAGCCGGGCCGACTATCAGTGATCGTCACTCCCACAGCAGTTGCTACTTTGACAAGTCAATGTATGTGTTTGGTGGTTGTACTTCCACCAGTACAACCTTTAATGATCTGTGGAGATTAGATCTTGCCACAAGACAATGGATCAGACCCCTTGCAATTGGTGAGTAGTAATTATATTGTAAATCCAAACCCTCCTTATACCAATCAGATGAACAAAAACATATTATCAATTTTATGTTTTTTCATCGGTTTAAATAATTCTCAATTTTCATTAAAAAATATGAGTCAAGGGCATAAATGCCAATCTGTCTATATTTTGCCCATAAAAAAGTCCAATGAACCAACTCCTTAAGCCATGTCATTTTTTCAGGTACCTATCCTTCCCCTAAGGCTTGTGCCAGTATGGTTGTTTATAGAAATAGCTTGGTGTTATTTGGAGGCTGGAGCCATCCTACACCATACCCTTTACATCAGGTACATATTTACTTCTTTGGGCAATTGGCACATGACATACATGTACTGTTATCACAACAGCAAGAATACCATTTATGTGTTTAACTTTAGCGATGTAAAATCCAAATAGTGCCAAGATTTGATTAGGTTATGGCCATGATGTCTAAAAAGGATGGCCATTTTGATCTCCAATTGCAATATTTATCACATTGTGTCTTGTTCACAATGCTCGGATGTTCTATCGCAAATCTCCATTAACTTAGAGCAAATTATAACCAAGTTCATTCTTTATGTATCAACCCTTTCATCCTCTATTTTTATTGATATGTCTCTGTATAAAATGATTCATATGATTCCAGGCAGCCAGATTCTTCAGTGAGCTTCATGTGTACACCCCATCAAGTAACAGATGGAATCATGTGTTCACTAGAGGCTGCCCCCCTCCCACTGCAGGCCACTCAGCCTCCATTGTTGGAGATACTATGATTGTATTTGGGGGATCCCACGGCCATGGTGCTAGGTAAGTGTATTGTGCTTATACTGTAGTTTGTTGCTCAAAATCTTTACATTTTGGTCTTTTCCTAGTTTTCATCAATTTGAAATTTCACAAATATAAATATGGGAATATGGATATCTCTCAAATGTTGAATATTTTTAAGAATTCTGACATTCACCTTATTATTGACAGTACATTACAGTGCAGGTACACCAATAAATTAAGTTATTTAAGTCCTATTGCTTGTTTCCAGCTCAGGAGATTTGTGGTCATTGGATCTGAAAGAGATGTTATGGAGCAAACATGAGATACCAGGTCATAGGAAGCCGAGGCCAAGATATGGCCAATCACAGGTCGTGTTAGATGACAACAATATACTTATACTAGGAGGATGTGGGGGTCCGAACATGGTAGGTCAAAAGTAGAGTGTCCTTTTCCTCATTTTAATATCCCTATTGCAAAAATATTACAATACGAAATAGCATAGGTTTTGGGCCGATATAAAGATGGCAGCACCAGAATCCCATATTGATATCTTCTCTATCAACCTTAGCCTATGCAAAATACTAGTATGATTAAGTCTACTTATTTGTTAGTTTTCTATATTTTTCTGTCATTGTACCAACTTAATATTGGTTCATTAAACGATACAAGAAAATACAGGCTTATGGACCATGCTAGCCAATGCGAAATATGTTATTGGATCGTGTAACTGTGCTAAATATTTCATTATTATATTAAAATTAGACCTAGTTGATATGTACTTAATTGTCCATATGATACAAAATATAATTTCAAGATGTGCTCATTTCTTTCAGCAATACAATGATGTGTGGCTGCTATCAATGAACACTTCCCCATGGCAGTGGAAGGAGATACAGGCTCATGAAGAAGAAAATAGACCTCCTAAATTATGGTGCCATCCTGCTTGCAAGGTACGTCACTTTTGTTTAAAACTGAATGAAGAAAAGAACAAGATCATATTTTGCATGCTCGCTCCCCCAAAGTAACAGTTCATGTATACTCACTGGTAACAGAAACCTTGACCACTATCTGTAAAATGAATTTCAATATGAGTATGTGGAGTCTAAAGTGTTTTTTTCGGAGTCTAATTTTACATTTTTGTTACATTATTCGTGGTAAACCTCTTGAGAAAATACATAAAACAGGAGTCAGACAAGGAATAGGTAGTCAGAAACCTTTTAGAAATGTATATTGTGATTAAAAAATAGGAAGGTTATATTTTAAAAAGTATACTACTAATAGGATATCTCTGGTCTCACATGGGGGAGTTGCGATAACGCTAAAAATCATTGGTCTGAAAATTTCCTGGTGAAAACCCTGGTATGTATTTATGAGAATTGTCTTAAATTGCAAAAGATTTATGGCATGCAACTAAAGAGTGATGTAACCCCTCAAACTATCTTACATAGCCAAAGCCTAGAATCACCCAAGCAGTCACCAAACCCAAACATCAAGTACAAGCATCTACCCTATACCTTCTTTATAAAACTAGCAATCTGATGCCCTTATTGGTAACTCTAACTTAAAATACATACACAAAATAGAAAATATTCATATACACGTTCTGTAAACAAATCAATAATGTTATTTCCAGGTGGGGAATAAATTGGTGCTCGTTAGTCGCCTAAAGAAACAACCAGTAACCCAAGCAGTGTTATCTCAGCAAACAAACTCTGATATAAGAACAAGGACTTCTAAATTGTGGATCCCTCCCACTGAAAATAAAGACAATCCAACACAAAATGTTGAAAAACATGGAGTAGGTGGTGTAGGGGTGCCTGGTTCAAGCTCAACCAGATCAAGTGCAATCAGGGCAAGTGTACAAGGACCAAGTGCACAAGGATCAAGTGTACAAGGACCAAGTGCACAAGGAGGAGCTCCTGCACCAGGAGCAAGTATCTTGACCATTCCAAGGATTTTAAAAAAGACTGGCAAACCAGTGAAACATCCCATGCATTTATATGTTTTGGATATAAGCACTGTTTTGACTGAAGGGTGTGTTACATGGCAGCCAATCAGAGAGGATGTAGATAGCGACGCCCCTGAGGAGACAATATTTTATTCCATAGTTGAGGGTCGTGGTGAACTTATTGTGTTTGGAGGTATACAAACTGACTTGAATACTATGTCTAATAGAGGCTACAGTTCTGAACCTCAAATAGTGACCAATCATGTTTATTTCATAGGTTCAAAGAAGTTTATGATCTAGTGACTTACATGTCTGATGTATGACCTAAATGTAGTGTATGGTATTTGAACTGAAGAGCTTACACCTTGCTGCTTGGAAAATGCCATACATGAAATGATATATAGCCATATCTGTGGCAGTTTATATTGTAGCCTATACATTTTATATGGATACACAGTATATGTAGCATTTGGAAAAACATGTATGGTCTTAATCAAATCAACGGTCTCTCTCATTCTAGGGAATTATCCCTCAATGATATCTGAAAACATCTACCTTTCTTAGTAGTACATAGATATGGAGGGAATAAAATTCAACTATGGTTGTTTTTATTGGGAAATCCCCAATGTGTGAGTGCAAAGTATAATGTCTTTTCCAATAATTTAATTCCCTGGCCCCCAGCAGGGTTCAGGAATACAAACTTTTTAACTTAATGTTCTCTTGCCACCGTTTCCACAATTACATTATTGATTCAGGAATTCTTATTTTTATGAAGTTTCTGTTGGTGACCGTATGTTAAGTGTTGAAATTACATGTCATGTCAAAAGCAGTAAAACATAATGATTTGTTATTACTTAATAGAATTTTAGTGTTTCACTTGAATCAATTTAACCCCATTTTCAAAAGAATTTACATTCATTTTATTAAACAGTGGATTTAATTTAAATTCCAAGGTAAGGGGATTACGTTTCAAATTAAAAGTATTGTGATGCTCTTAACCTATTACACACACATTCATTCAACGTCTTAATAGAAATTATTTTTTCATATGCATCAATGTTCGCTAATGTTCACTGATCGTTGTCACATTACTTTAAATTCTGACAGTTAATATTTTCATTAGATTTAGAAAAAATAGCAATTCATCTTGCCATTTCGGTCATTTGACCATCAACTCTCAGATCTTTAACCCAAGCCTTGCATATATGTACATTTTTGTAATGTACATCTACCACTGATTTTTGCTTAATTTGGGGCCTGCTTGAATTAAAGAGAGAATCAGGTCTAAAGTAATGGGCAAGCTAAAACAGAATCTTTTTCAATTATCGAATATTTGTGGCTCATATCATGTCTATTTTCTACAAATCCCCAAAGTGCATACTTTCTTCCAAGAAAACTAAAGTTTTTTACAATAATGTATTATTATTTTCCATATGGTTACCATTTTTATTATCTGGGAGAATTTGAACACTTTTCCCCAATTTTTGCACTTTTAATCCTTAATAACTTCACCAATTTTTTAGACTATTCAATAATAACATATTGTGGGTATTTTGTGAGATACATGTATTGTATTTGAGATCATAAGAATAGATCGGTAGGTCAATTGTACAGGGTGTCCAAAAAAAACAGGACCGTAAGAAAGTTGAATAACTCGGTCAATTTTGTATATTTTGCCTTGAAATTTCAGAATTATTCAGTTCATTTAATGTGAATTCTGTTGTGAAAGTTTGATAATAATCTACCAGTTGAGTAAAAAACTACAGCTCCTTACAAAACATACCCCAAATGTGCAAATCTCATCTCTATGCATAATACAATCCGGCGAACAAAGCTGTTGATGATCCTCCTACACACATGTCTTTCTGAATGGACAAATTTGTTCCAAAAACAATTGCTATTTGGGCTTACATCCTCCTGATGAAGTGTTACAGCATCCATTGCATTCTGAACAATGCACTCCCTGGGTGGCAATGAGGAAACATGGAATCATCAGTCCCTTTTGGTTTGAAGGTGACTGGGGACTTGCTATCACCATGAACAAGGACCAGTAAGTTCTCACCAAGTTTTGGAGGTCACTTAAAGCACCAAAAGGGACATCTAAGGAGATAATTAAGCAGTGGTTTCAACAAGCCAATACCACCCCAACACTGCAAATGATATGCTGAAAAGGTTTAGGCAATGCTTTGGTGGTCAGCTCATCAGTTGCAGAAAGCAAACCATATGGGCAGCTCATTCGCCTGATCTAAATCCCCCAAATTTTTATCTTTGAGGATTTCTCAAAGCCAATGTGTATAGTGACAGGCCCCTAACAATCTTAAGAGGGCAATAACTAACCCAATATTTACCATCCACATTAATGTGTATAGGTAAGGATCATTAACAACTTTGTTCGCAGGATTCTTTTGTGCATAGAGAGGAGAAGTGCCCACTTTGAGCATGTTTTGTAAAGGACTGTAGTTTTTGACACAATAAACAGATTATCATCAAACTTGCAGAACAAAATTCACATTGAATGAACTAAATAATTCTTAAATTTCAAGGCAAAATATGCAAAATTGACCGAGTTATTCAACGGTCCTGTTTTTTTGGACATCCTGTACAATGTACACATTTCTTGCAATATTGTCAACTCCTTTATTTCTGACTTCTGATTCTAAGTTATTCAGTTTTTCATCAAACTTGAAAAATGCAGATGCAGAGGCAGATTAGGTTCTGGGCATGTTGGGTAATTTTCAGTTTACTTGGTGGCTCTTATTCTTCCTGAGAAACTTTTTTTATTGTTAACAAAAATCAACAAGACTGCATTTTAGTGATCAATTTGTATAATCATATGAGACCAAATTACTGTACATGAATTAAATCTCAACTTATATATCAAATCACTAAACAATCTAGTGCTGAATTAATAAGTACAATTGTACCAAATATTATTTAGGGGATAATCTGATTTTAGCTGTCATATATTTACTAAACATTGTGTTATATTGTTCTGTGTGGATAGAAATGAATATTGATTACTTTGCATCATTATAAATTCCACAGTGCTACTTCCCTCTACTGTCTGTGACAGTTCTATTTTTCAAAAATATGTATGTGCTTGGAGTGTATGCAGTTACCAATACATTAAATTACTACATGTATATGGCATAAGTAATGTGTTGTCTTGATACTCATATTGATGAAATATAATTTATATGAATTTAAAATATATTTATTTCTTTTGTTCAGTTCAATCAGTTACTGAGGTGCCAGGAGTAAGTTACCAGGTTTACCACCTGGTGGCTTTTTGAATATGTCCATTCAAAGAAAATCATATCCGTCCCAAAATGTAATTTGAAATGTAGATTTCAAATATGATATTACTTTGACTAAAACAATATTTAATGTTAAAAATCAAGATCGTCTCTGCTTGCATCCAGTGTTTTGATATAGCTAATCATTATGATTGCTAAATGGGACCAATGACTTGCTTTGATCGAATGCATGAATGTCCATTGCCAATTTGTTATGTGGCTTCTGAGGATTGAGCATATTTGATAACTTGGGATTGTGTCACTTTATCACTCTGTTTATTGTACTTAGTTATGTCTAGATAACTGTGATTGTGCCATTTGACACGGTGAATCATTTTACTGTCAAACATTACTGATATGTTTGATGACTTTTTATGGGAGGAAAGATTGTATTGTTGCTGTGTATGATTATACTTTGCGATTGCCTAAAGATTGTGTATAGACACAGCGGATTAAGTTGTTGCTTTGCATGATTGTGCTATGTGGTTGATTAAAGAATGTATTAGGCACTGGGTATTGTATAACTACTGTGTGTGATTGTGCTATGTGGTTGCTGAAAGGTTGTGTTTAGACACTGGGGATTGTGTCACTACTCTGCATGATTGTGTTGGCTGATTGTGTTTACATATTGTGTCAGTTTACATAGTGTGGGCTCTGTTATTGCTATGAACGATTGTGATATATAATTGTTTAAATATTTACTAAAAACAATACTGATTTTGTTTGTGATTTTGCTGTGAATGATTGCTCAAGATTATTTTAATTGGGTCTTTGAATACAAGAATTGAGCCACTGCTATGAAGTTATTGGTTATGGATATTTTATGATTGTGTGTAGACACTGGTTTTTACCGCTGGGTTTTACTATTCCTGTGGATGATTATATCATATTATAGTTTGTAAAGTATGATTTTGAGACCCTACTGCGTTTTTACTGATGTACTAGGTGCATTCATGCACCCTCTGGGTCTCTGAGGATCGTGTTGGACCCAGGGGTGCATAACGTGCAATGTAAAGGAAGAGGCTCGATAGAGAGAGCTTTTTAGATGGGTATAAGTTTTTTATTATTTCGATGATCAATATAAAATTGTAACACAATTTAGGAGATGAGGTGAATTTTCATATTCTAAAATATTATTTCTGAATCATCAAAATGGATTTTTCTACAACCTTTTTGGCGAATCGATGAACTCGTTTTTCAGGTTTAACCCTTTCTTTGTGGTTAAATATAATGCCCTTTATATAATTATAGAAACAAAATATTTTGTTTCTAGGTCTTTAATTATCTAAAGTCTTACATAATGTGGACACATATTTGTTTAACTGATCAGAAATATTTTTTTTCCCCATTTATCAATTTTTCCATGTTAAAGTATAGGGGGGCTGAGATCCCCGGGAATTCCTGAGGTTTGACCCATTATGTTATGGTTTTGAACCGATGATAAGTTTATAGAGGGAAATGCTGTTCCATCGAATTATTTGATTTTGACTGAAATTAACGCATTACGTTATTCACACTGGGAGCTACAAAATATTGGGTTACGGATTTATTAAAACGTACCTTTTTATCTCGCATTCTCGGTTTACCTGCGTATCATGATTTATGATCATGATTTATCGTTTATGCTTTGCTCACATAAGTTCAGATTCACCTTATGGGTGCCTACCGATTACGGTATTTTTCAACTGCCAACCGATCACCGGCAGACGTTGCGCCGGGAGAATTTTCACAATCAAAATGTAAATTACATTATAAAATATGTATCAAATGAAGAAAAGGATGTCCAGATGGGTGCTGTTCGGCAATTGTAAGATTATAGTGTTGCTTGTAATATCATAAGTTGAAGAAAATTGGATTCTTGGAATACATGTTCGTTAACGTTTTGATTTTGATTGTATATATTTATAATTCATATGTAATATACGATTGACTGTACTTTGAAGAGAAAACAAGTATTTTACCAATTAATAGAAGAATTCAAAAGCTCTAGCGAAGTAACCTTTT